TCATACCATGGACTAATAAATGAAGTACGTAGATATGAAAATAAAGACATATTTCGTGAGGTCTCATAGTCCATATATATGAGCAGCGGGTATAATCATAAAAATTGTACTTTTATTGACTTAAGAGACCATGTAATAAAGAGATGGTTCTCGGAATTTCGAAGATTCAGAAAGGAATATTCCTTATTTGATGTTGCCTGTGTTCATTTCCTTATTATTCCCCTTTAGTGCAATGATGTTCTCATTTGGGAGAGGCGATTAAAGGAGCTTTCGATGATTAATTCAACTCTCAATGAATAAAGCCGAGGACTTTGTGGTTATTGTACCTTTGGCAATTATTACAATAATGGTACTCGTGGAATGTTTCATTGGAAAGATAGTAATAAAACCATACCGCATGATTGTAATGAACTTACGTAAAATATAAATCTGTCCGGTAAGAGCAAGCTTTCTTTTGAGTAACATCATTTGCAGTAAGTGTTATTGGGAGATAGCGATCCAAATTCGCCAAACATATCTTATTTATTTTGTGATTTGGCACGAGGTTTGATGTAACGCATGTTTTGCAAGTATCATTCATAGGAAAAGTGATAAGCTGGTAATTTATCATAATCATGATCCGGATCAACACACTGAAAAATTCTGATCGATTTCTGTCACAGTATTATAGAACTTTCTAAATTTTAATTCTAAAGGAAATAGATGTATCTACAGTTGTATCTACAACTCTTATCTATGTACTTAAACCTGGTGACAATTTATTTTACTTTATTTCAAATTAAAGCGCTAAGTGCTGAATAATATACTGAACTTTGATTTGTTAAAGAATTGGTATCGATGTGGCGAAATGAATTGAACACATGTTTCTCTTAAACCTGTCATCAAAAAATTCTAAAGATTTTACACATCCAACCAACCTTTCCTTTGTATAACTATAATATTGGGAGGTCTAAGAAAATGTTGTTCCAACAAGGTTCGGAAAGATATTTTATTTCATTATCAAGAATTGGTCGAGGGAACTAAAAACAATTGCACTAAAAAACAAAAATTGTTCACAGAAATGATAATATAAAATATATTTAAATTATTTTCGCATTAAACTGTTGTCAATCAGTGACCATTACATAAAGGACAGTGTTTTTTTACAGAATGATTTGTTTGAGAGAAAAACAAGGTTGAAATCAGTTCGCCATATCGATACCAATCCTTTCTTGATTTGTTGTGTATTCCACAGTCAGTATGCAGTAATGATTTGGGGCAAGCCCTATATTATTATTAAATTTATTTCAATAGAATACAAAAAATGTAAATACAGACATGTAAATTCTTAAATCGCCACAATGGCATTATATACAGATATAAGAATAGGGGGCAGGTGGAAGTAGAAGTGGCAGAGCAGGCAGGGTCTTGGACTAGGGCAGGTGTGATGGGACTTGAGGATACAAGAGATGGATAAGAAGGAGGGAATTAGCTATTGTCTTTGATAAAATTAACAATGAGAAGTAGTATTTGGGAATTTGCATCTATGTTTAATTTGGGAATTCCTGTTTTCAAAATAGCTATGAAATCAGTTTGAGAGAGATTATGACTGAAGATGTTTGGTTCGAGATCAGTGAGTTTGTCCATGAATTGTTGTCTTTGTATAGTAAGTAAGTCACATTGAAAGAGAAAATGTTTCAGAGTTTGTGGTTTCCACAAGTGCAATTAGGGCTGTCAATAGACTGAAAGTTGTGAGCGTAGAACTGGGCTTTGAAGTATAGGTCAGCTCTCACTTTATTGAGAACTATTTCTTGAACCCTTGTTAGATTAAGCTGGCTTGTTGACAAAATCGAGGGCGTTTTTTGGAAATGTACTCTTTGGTGTTTTTTAAAATTCGAAAGAGTATTCTTAGATTTAATAGCAGGTGGAAGGAAAGCCCTATATCTATATCTTCTAGATCTAATCATGATTGAGGCTTGACCCAAATCATGAATGCATACTGAATGTAATGTATTCCTCATACACCCCAAACAAGATTGGCTCCGAGGGCTCAAACCAATGGGTTCCAATTCGATATTGACCTTGACCTTGAGCTTGATCGACAACATTTAAAAAGACAAGTCTCGGTTGGGAGAATAATCTGCTGGCCTAATATTGAAAACGTTTATATTAAAGTAAATCGCAAAAGTGCACTTATAAATAAGTTAAGGTTGTAAATAATTAGTGCTCATAAGGTTTTATAATTTTTTATTATGTATTCTATTTGTTCAACTTATGTGATCGTGAGTTTGTAAATTAAAATGTTTGTAATCTTCATTTATTGAGGAAATAAAGAAAATACATTTTTCGAATAAAACATATTCGGGTTGATTTTATATTAATTCATTTTAAGGGGTAATACATGTAATTAGCATCCTAAATAACTGTAATTTTTTAAATTCATAATGATATATGATGTATTACACGATCATTAAATAATTTCCTAAATTATCAAGCTTGACATTTTGGGGGTTATTTTATCAGAAAGTCAGGAAGTTATAGGTCAAAATACGAGGTCAAACAGAAATCTGCATTTTCCCAGCTAGAAGAGATGGTTTGAAATCCACAGCTGCCTGACCGCCAATGGCAACTACTTTTCACTCCCAGCAATGGACTATGAAAAACTGGTTGCATGTTGGTCAATTGATTGAATGCTAATATGTTTAGATATGGCGATCATTTTTAAACCTTAGTCACGAATCCTGGTCAATTAAAATGTCCGTAATCTTGATTTTTTAAATTCATCAATTAATCTAGTTTTAGGATCGGCTATCATCCTGTCAAAGTAAAATATTCTTACATATCTAATTACTCTATCATCAACGAAGCATAAAATTAAAACACGTTTCGCTTCATGATAAACTCAATCGTTTTCATTGCTACCAGTTCGAAATTGCTCGGTGTAATAAATTTTTCAAATATTTACTTTCGTGGCGAATGTTAGAGGTTCTTAACCGGTAGCAGTGAAGTTATTTGAACTGAATTAGAATCAAACAATCTTGAATATCGTAATGGTATAAATGTCTAAGACAAATGTTGTTCGACTTGTTATCGAATCAAGATAGAACCTATAGAGAAAGAAAAAAATATGAAAGGATTAGGAGGAGATTACATGTCTTTGAATTCAAATGGCGAACTGAAATTACAATTATAAAATATTAGGATTGGTTTCCAAATAATGCGGTGAGGCAGGGGACAAGAGGCCATTAGACATACATGTAACTAACTTCCGTTGATGAATCCTCCTGTAAATAAGCATGACCAACCATAATATGAGTGAAAAATAACTAGCGTATGTAGTTAATTAAGATGCATACTACTCATAATATCATGTTTGCCCAGAACAAACCCATATTTATGTTATGTCACGTACGAGACACTTATTTTTTGTACCATATGCAAAGGCTTATTTTGGGAGTTGAATTTCCGGAGGATAATGGGGAAATGTCTGATGATAGAGCTTATTATAGATGAACTAATATCATGTATAAATGAAAGATTTGGTAGCAAGGATGTAACGCTTGATTCGGATATTGTTAAATATCATATTCAATGATTTCCATTACTATAGTTAAATGATTGTATTTATTGGACAACCATTATTACTGAAGGCTAAGCTAAATTCAAATATAAAGAAATCTAAAACATGAAGTAAAAAGTACTCAGATCGTCTTTTCATGTTGCTTTTATACATTTAAAAAAAATTAAAATCGATGTAACATATTTACAGGTTTTAGTGGCTATGACCCCCAAGAGGGAGTATTAGGTGCCACTTTTAATCGAATGTACCAGATGTACATATACTTCACATTGTATATAAACATATGCATTCTTCGTTTTATATAAAACCTGTTATTTAAAACCAGACAGTGCCCAAAATATAGTATTTTCCAAATGAGAAATATAATCAATTTTTTTCGGAAATATACATTTTGTTCTTAGACATGTTTTGTAAAGATTTCATTTTAATTTGTCCAATGAACTTTTGGTTTTAAGATTGTGATCATGGTTTCTAAAAGGTGAAGGAGTATTTGACAATGTGAGTTAGATCTAAAGGAGCACGTAGGTTATCGCAAACAATTTCAAACGATTCTAACTTGAATTATGAATATTTTCTGATCATGAACATGGGTGTATCTTTTAGATCCATTCATTATCTTCAAGAAAAGTATATATAATGATCATTTAGTTAATCAGACCTAAGTGATATTGAAGGGGCAATGGACCAATGAACATACTTTTTCAAAAATGTTGACCCAATTTTCACCAAAAATGCAACCTATTATTACATTGTTGAATACGTAATTAGAATGTGCTTTGAGACATGTTCGATTTCCTAAAAGGAAAATTTGATTGCTCCAGGGACTTTAAAGAAATTCAATTTGGATGACCAAAATGAACTGAAACCAATGGATAGCATGGGATTTTTCAATGGAGAAATAACATGGGGAACACTTATCTTAATGCAATTAAGTTTTTCTTTCAAGAACTATTTGATACATCAAAATAAAGAATAGTAATGCATTAAACATTGTAAAAAATGATTGCATTTTTGGTGAAAATGGGGTCAACATCTTCAAAATGGGGTCAAAAAGTGTGTTGATGGGTTAATTGCTAGTTAAATATCATCGAGTTTGTTTGAATTTATTATTACTGTGCATAATTTTCTTTGAGATAATGAATTGATCTAAAAGATAAACTTGTCTTCATTGTCAGAAAATAGTCATAATCCAAGATATAACCTTCTGAAATTGTTTGCGATAACCCACGTGCTCCTTTGGTATATCAGGGATTTATTTTGCTTATGATTAATTACCTGAATTACGCTCTTATGTTTCTTATATACTGTGTTTTTGTAATCATTTTGGTCATTCAACTCTTTGGACGATTGAAACGAGAAATTCCTTTATTTCATTATGAGATATTTTTACATCACGCTTCGCTTATTAATTTCTTAAATCATTTTATTTTTTATTTTTCAGGTGCTATATTCGACACAACAGAGGATGCCCAAAGAGCTGAACAGTTTTTCAACTTCTCCGTTGAATATTACAAAAAGCAAGAGGGAATCAGAACAACATTTGTCCAAAGAATAGAAAGAATATATCGCCAGGAAAGCTTTGAAATTAGCAAAAAACGTAAGTCCTAAATGATCATGGGATTGACGGGGCTTGATTAACTTACTTATTTAATTATTATTCCATTTGGGCGTATACTGTATCGGTTTTTGAAGGCATTTGGGTGAGATGAAACACGTCTAGAACATATGCCCCTTATGTCACCTACCAGTAACTTGTCAAATTAAAAAACTTATATTCATGAAATAAATGCGTAATGCTCAAGCATACATCGATAGTGTCCATATGGGAATTTTTAAAATTGTACGTATATGAACTACTTGACCTTCTTCGTGCTATTGTTGGAACATTACAAAATGTTCAATCTCGCAAGCACAACAATATCAACATTGTTATTTACCCATTCGGGCCGAATATAAACATCTTTATTTTTAAGTATATTTCTGCAGTAAAGTAAAAAACAAAATTTACACATCATCACGCTCTGATTGCTTGTGTCGTCGGGATGTGCAGACTTTGGCTCAACGTTTGGCGGATAATCACCTGGATAATTACAACCCGGGTAAACATACAATTCAAAAATAAAATGTCGGCTGATGTTTTTTATTGACGGTAGGAACAACCCAAAAGAGTTTTGATATTGGTAGCAATTTAAGAAACCTTATCCATTACCTTTCAAAGTCAATGCTTTACACAGAGCTTGTAACTACATATTGGAGCTACATTGCTATATTATGTCCCATGTTAATGAATGCTGGTTTCAATATGTTGTGCTTTAATTTGGTTCTTGATTAGTCCTATTCCTCAGTCAATAGATTATATTTACAGAACACGTACAGCAAATGAACCACAATTCACTGTAGAATCGTAGGTCCATAGATTAAATTATTAAGAATAATTCTCTGGAATAAGAAAACGAAATGTATAGGAAGTGCAACACGAGTAATGATCAAAAAGCTTCAAAACCAAGATAGGAATGGAACGTTTTTAGCGTTTTTAGAGTATAATCTACCAGTGGGAAACAAATCCCACCATCGGAAATATAATCTAACGTAATAAGAAGCAGTCTATAACAGCCCTCCCCTACATTTTGAAACCATCACTATACAATACTACTGTCAAAAAGTTAAGCAGTTTTGTATTGGTGAAATATGTTTTTATATCTCCAAAACCATAACGACCATTGAGTATCTATAGTCCTTCAAATAAGAATAATATCTCCCAAGACTCGCCGAATTGGGATCTGCAGTTGAAGTTAGACTTTGACATAAGCTATTGATCCACAAGACATTCATTCCAGCATGTCCAAATTAATGTTATATTTTTGGACAACAAGCAGATACCACGTCATAAACGATACCCTAGGGATATCAAATAGTCCCGAACACTTGCTATACATCTATGTTTCTTGTAATAGCTTTGACTATATGCCTTTAAACACTCTCGCAAAACAATTTCAGTTGCATGGAGAATATATTATTAGTGTTTGCTCCATGAACGAGTGCCGCAGATAGTCAACTGGGACAACCAGCTTCAAATCTCTTTTACATTAAGCCATATGCAATGCTACAAACATAGTTATTGATGCAAATTTAGAAGTAAAATGCTCATTTAATATAATGCTATAAAAGCCACCAGCAATCCATACTATACATGATATACGCATGATATACGCATGTCATTAATTTTCGCGTCGTTTCATATTATAAGTGTACCTTAAATGATCAGGTCTGTGTCCCCCTTAATGCGACATCTATCATTTGCCCTTATTTAGCATATTAGCAAAACTGTTATTATAAAGTAACTGTAAAAAATATAAAAATGGAAACAATCACGAGAGACACAAATCTCTATCATGCTGTTCCTTATTTGCAGTTGTACCATTGACTGATTGGTTCACGCCAGTCTTGTAGATAACGGACGCCGAAATAATGGCTGTGAATGAAAATAGAAAAGATGAATGGGCAATCTGTCAAAATGTGTGAATGTATGGCCATTTGATGATTGGATGTGTCTGTCAATGGGTTCTTGTCATTATATCAGTTTTAAAGGAGTTGTTTTTTATACTAATTTTTGAATTCATGTATATATTTCTGATTTTATAACTATGTGTACATCAAGTCTGTTATAATATTACACGATTTGTGAAAACTGATAAATTTTACTTTTTGAACATTACGAAATATAATATACGATAAATATGTATGTGCAAATCAAAATAAGTATGCTATTGTCTCGTATCTTATAGCCAAACATAAGAGATTTATACTTTCCAAGCTTAATTCAATCCTAAATGAATATAAAACATACCCTAAAAATTAGTTATTCTTTTGTATATACTTGATAATATAACAGACTGCATTTTTATTAAGTCATTTATTTATTTTAGAAATATAAACATATGTTTAAAATGATGTGGATAGTATTCACACGTTCCATCTTGAACAAATTCACTTAAAAATAATTGTAATTCCAAAATAATTGTTATTATCTCTTCACGATTGCAGTCATAATTGACTTAATATTATGGTATCGATTTTTGAACTCTAATTTATAGTTAATAAATGTTTATTTCGGTTACAAAATATTGCACATCGATATTAATTACATATTTATAAACCAAATGCATTTCAATGAGTTTCCAAGAAAATCCCCGTCTCAATTTCAGTGAATCAAAAAATGTTGGCCATTGTAGAGCGTACTCGAACGTAAATTGTTTCATATTTAGTTTCGGCCTCTGATGAGTAGCTGCATAAAACATCTCATCGTATGCCATAGCTTACATTTCTCATAACCTATTACTTTCTGATTATGAAGGATAGTGGTTATAGAGAAGAGTTAGCTATTAGACGTTCCATTTTACTCAATTTGATTGATTAAGCTAGATTGTGGCCATGATTGCTACTTATTAATGATATTATTGCTGCAAATAATAGCTGTCAATGGAACGTTACAATAGATCAATCAAGAATTTTGATTCAAATAAAAAAGAAATGCTTTTAGCAAAGGATTATCAAGTTATTACTCAGAATATTGTCTCAATATATACTCCACTTCAAACAATTTTGAATGTCTATAATTAGCATTATTTTTTTGTAAGTAGTAATATTACAATTACACCCCAATTACATTTAATGTAACATATTATGCAAAAGTTAAACACATGATTTATAGAATACAATTGCCACATTCTATAAGGAGTACTAGTAAATACATTTTAATTATAATGGGTTGATAAACATAAGCAGAGTATGTAATATATTCAAATTGAAGACACTTAGATAAACACAGATGTTATAATGATACCAAAATCAGTCGATATATAGACTTAGGGGTGTCGTAATCAAATTATACCGCCTGTGCCACGACAGGGTTATATTATATATAATTATAAATGGATTATTAATGGGGTTATCATACTCTACTGCTCCATTGCTTTCAGGACGATAGGCACGAAGTTGTTTCGCTAGTGATATATTTTATGCCATTTCTTTTTCAAACTACACACAAAACGTCCAGGAATTTAACCAATGTTCTTAATTTTTGGAGAAGAGTTAATGAATTTAACAAAACATGAGGGATTTTTAGAGGCCAGTGGATCCAGTATAATGCAAATTATAATCTAAGGGGATTTTCAGTATTGCATTCAAGGCGGCAGTCTGTGGTGAAATCGCATTTAGCTGACCTTTTTATTTAATGCTCGACTGGTTCTCGGTTGTCTTGGTAATCTAATGGACCACTGTAGGAATCGCTTTGATGGACTGTGCAATTATTTCAGTTGTCAGATTGACTAGATTGATACCATTGCGTGTTTAGACTGAATTTCTATCATATATTAGAAAGTACTCCGACGTGTTTCGGGAAATTGAAACAAAGTATTGAGCCGTATGCTAAAATACATTTGGTTTAATTAATATCATCTGTTAGTGGAAGTCATTGGAAATTCGTAAGATATTTGTTTCTGTTTTTGAGCATACATCAAGGCAACGGAACATTTAAAATGATTGGATATATCAGGTTACCATCAAACATATTTAAATATTTGAAAAATTCATTAGACTGGATTCCAATTTAGTGATATAGTAGTTCAGGAATCATAGATTGCTCCAAAACATTAATACTAGGAAACTACAGTCATAATGTTGAAATATTGTTCGAGAAAGTTGTTCTTATACTTATTTTGCTTACTAACTTAAAAGAGTATATGGTTTTCAATTTGACAATTGTAATGTGCTAAGATCAAATAAACGTAAAAATAAAACTATAACCTTTATATCAATAAATTATTTGGGATATACAAGTATAAGTGTATGTACGACAAGTTTCGTATGTTGCTGTTATATTTTGTGTTAATGCACACATTTCCCGTATTTCGATATTGTCAAATGGGTAATTTCATCAATTTTGTTGACGTAGAAATATAGCAATAGGGGTTGAAATGTGCTAGGTGGCTGTTGGAGCTGCAGAATGATAAATTATTCAACTGACATATATGCCGATGCATATCTAACATTGTATCTCACGTTTTGACAGACTCGCTCACTAACTATTACTGACTGTGTGGTCGTAATGCATCACCCTGATACGCCGAATTGACATTCTAAGTCGTGGATCAATGATGTAATTCCGAGTCTAACCATTTTATCTAGATAAATATCTGATGTGTTCAAAAATGGATAGCAACATGAATATATAGATGAGCTGCATCTGCTTCGGGATATATTTAGAAAAACATGTTTTTGTGATGAAGGTGAATTGGTAAAAATATCTCTGTTGTGAATGTCGAAGACATGTTTTCATTTTAGGTCACATGGTATTTGAAATCAATCAGCGACATGCGTAATTTGTTTTTCTATTTACTATATAGATTTATAATGGTAAATGTGTTTCAACACATCTGAAGGGAATGCTCTAAAACCCCTTCGACCTGCACCTTCAACATTCGACCTATTGGGTATCCAACAAGAACAGTTAATACGAGCTATTTTTGCCGATCTCGTGGAACAATAGGGGCCACGAGTAACATTTTTGGTTTGAATTTTTGCGCAAGCTCATGAATGGGGGTATTCCATTCACACGATTCAAATTGCTTTTCTGTTGTTGGGGCGAAGTTGTATACTGTCATGGCACTTTTGTTCAGTTGGATACATACACCAAATAAAAAATGCCCATAACATAAGATCATTATGGGGAGGGATTGGTGTGAAATTTATAAACATTTAGTGATACCTATCTCAAATTATATGTTCCTATTTCAGTTATAGATGGCGCGTGCATTTTAATAATTGAAACAAATGCACGGTAAAACCGAACCCAAAAACGGAACTTTGCGCATATTGATCCACTGAGAGTATATAGGCCGAAGGGTTTTCATAACATCAAGAATTTCTGAACACACGATAAGCCGAAGGTTGGAGGTCGAAAGTGCAGGTCGAAGGGTTTTTAAAGCATTCCTACGTCTCTCGAGATATACTAACAAAGGAGGGGCACATTTCAAGTCGGAAAAAATTCCAAGCGCTAAAAAATATGTGCCCCTTAAACCAAACCTTGGATCAAATTTTAAAATGTAAGGCCCACCTTTGATAATTGGCCTAAAATTAAAAAAATAAGCCACCTAAAGTCTAATTTATGTTTAAAATGCCCACTAATTGAGGCCCCGTGCCCCTTGGATCCGCCAATGGCCTTAAAAAGAGGTAAACAACTTTTTAATATGAGCATAAATCTCGTAAACGTTTGTGTTTTCAGTATGCATCCTATTGCGCAATGGAATGTTCGCCCTGTTTGGAATCACAAATTCGAGGCATATAATAGACTCATACAGTGAAACATTCCACATGCCTTATATTTCACCAAGTCTTCCGCGGCTGAATTCGAACAGCCGATATCTGCTGCACATGCGCCCTCTATATTCTCAAGCCATGATTGACGTAATACATCACTACGGCTGGACGTCACTAAGTTTGATATATGACAGCGACGAAGGTAAGGGAAAGTTGAATGTATTGTAAAACTAAATTTTTGTTTGTTATTTCCATTTCTTTTTTTTCTTTTTCACTTTTAGAGAAATGACAAACATCTCAACAGGCCTTCCCCCGAGATCTTAAGAATACATAACTCTTTATTGTTCTTCAACACCCTACCTTTCCGAATACATAACTCTTTATTGTTCTTCAACACCCCTACCTTTCCGAATACACAACTCTTTATTGTTCTTCAACACCCCTACCTTTCCGAATACATAACTCTTTATTGTTCTTCAACACTCTACCTTTCCGAATACATAACTCTTTATTGTTCTTGAACACCCCTACCTTTCGGAATACATAACTCTATATTGTTCTTCAACATTCTACCTTTCCGAATACATAACTCTCTATATTGTTCTTCAACACCCCCACCTTTCCGAATACATAACTCTTTATTGTTCTTCAACACCCCTACCTTTCCGAATACATAACTCTTTATTGTTCTTCAACACCCCTACCTTTCCGAATACATAACTCTTTATTGTTCTTCAACACCCCTACCTTTCCGAATACATAACTCTATATTGTTCTTCAACTCCCCTACCTTTCCGAATACATAACTCTATATTGTTCTTCAACACCCTACCTTTCCGAATACATAACTCTTTATTGTTCTTCAACACCCTACCTTTCCGAATACATAACTCTTTATTGTTCTTCAACATCCCTACCTTTCCGAATACATAACTCATTATTGTTCTTCAACACCCCTACCTTTCCGAATACATAACTCTATATTGTTCTTCAACGTCCTACCTTTCCGAATACATAACTCTTTATTGTTCTTCAACACCCCTACCTTTCCGAATACATAACTCTATATTGTTCTTCAACACCCCTACCTTTCCGAATACATAACTCTTTATTGTTTTAAAAAACCCCTACCTTTCAGAATACATAACTCTATATTGTTCTTCAACACCCCTACCTTTCCGAATACATAACTCTATATTGTTCTTCAACACCCCTACCTTTCCGAATACATAACTCTTTATTGTTCTTCAACACCCCTACCTTTCCGAATACATAACTCTATATTGTTCTTCAACACCCCTACCTTTCCGAATACATAACTCTTTATTGTTCTTCAACACCCCTACCTTTCCGAATACATAACTCTATATTGTTCTTCAACACCCCTACCTTTCCGAATACATAACTCTATATTGTTCTTCAACACCCCTACCTTTCCGAATACATAACTCTTTATTGTTCTTCAACACCCCTACCTTTCCGAATACATAACTCTATATTGTTCTTCAACACCCCTACCTTTCCGAATACATAACTCTTTATTGTTCTTCAACACCCCTACCTTTCCGAATACATAACTCTATATTGTTCTTCAACACCCCTACCTTTCCGAATACATAACTCTATATTGTTCTTCAACACCCCTACCTTTCCGAATACATAACTCTATATTGTTCTTCAACACCCATACCTTTCCGAATACATAACTCTTTATTGTTCTTCAACACCCCTACCTTTCCGAATACATAACTCTATATTGTTCTTCAACACCCCTACCTTTCCGAATACATAACTCTTTATTGTTCTTCAACACCCCTACCTTTCCGAATACATAACTCTATATTGTTCTTCAACACCCCTACCTTTCCGAATACATAACTCTATATTGTTCTTCAACACCCCTACCTTTCCGAATACATAACTCTTTATTGTTCTTCAACACGTCACCCCTACCTTTCCGAATACATAACTCTATATTGTTCTTCAACACCCCTACCTTTCCGAATACATAACTCTTTATTGTTCTTCAACACCCCTACCTTTCCGAATACATAACTCTATATTGTTCTTCAACACCCCTACCTTTCCGAATACATAACTCTTTATTGTTCTTCAACACCCCTAGCTTTCCGAATACATAACTCTATATTGTTCCTCAACATCCCTACCTTTCCGATTACGAGTTTAAGCAAATTATTACATTTTGAAAATTTATTGAATTTTGAAAATTTGGATTTCCCCATTTAATAACATTGTCTGAATAAACCAAGAGTAATTGTTACTCTAGAGCTATGTTTAGTTTGGACACATTTTTGAATACCAATAACCAATTCAAGAATGAATTCAATTATATAGATCAAATTGATTAAATATATAATAGTCCTTTAATATATACATATTAAAGGACTATTTCTGATGTAGTTTGGGAACTTAATATCATGACGTTAATAATTGTATTATGGTGACAATATAGAATAAGAATTGACTTTAAAGCTTTGAAATTTAATCATCATAACATGTCAAATAGCACGTTACGTAAAATTCATAATTTATGTATGTTTTAACAAAAATAATCCCCTTTGATATTAATATTGCCTCTCTGATAGTAATAAACATTTACGTCCTATTTTAAATTAATGAAGAACCTCGGTAGAACCTCTTTATTTATATATTAACTGTGTATAACTGTGTCTAAGAGCATTCATAAAGTCCCCTTGTTTTCAATATGTTACAGAACAACTCCAACTGAGGGTTGTCTATCTTCCTTGTCTGGTTATGCATGCAAAAAGATCCAGTTGGGTAGAGAAAATCAATAAATTTAGCAATTTCTTCATTGTTTACATTTCCATAATATCACAAAATTACCATTTTGGCTCTTTCGGAGTAGGCCTAAAATGCAAATAATGCAATTCCGTATATGATAACAAAAAATATTAAAAGCTATTTTATAAGCTCTACAGAATAATATACACAGGTTTAAATACATCCGGATTATCTTAATCTCCCAGGCAGATGTATAAAAGTGAAGTCATGAAGACTTGCAAGAGTAAAGAAAATCGATATATTCCTCCAATTTGTTCTGTGTTTAACCTTTCATCCATTTGGGTTCTCCTAATTATATCTGAATGAGCGGGGAATGTATGCTCATCCATATTGATACTAGAATGTCGGCTTCATTGTAACACCAACTGAATCGTCTTTATTAAGATTAATCCATCTGAGGATGTCATTTGAAGCACATCGCAACCAACGCTCATTTACTTTTAGATTGAAATATTATTATTGAAACCATGGGCTCAACCACCTGATAGAGCCCATGTTGAAACGGTATGGCTAATGATATTTGTTAATATATTATATTCATTTTGAACATTATTTTTCCGTCACAGCATCAATCAATGTACATCTGAAATGTCTTTTAGCTGTTTAGATGTACTGTATGTATAGAAAATCAAGTGTCTAACTACATTTACACATATTCAGGACACGGTTAAAGTTGATAGTATCCAAGGGAACATGATTTTGAAACAGTATTACTACATTCTCTCAAGTTAATGTCTGCTATTTTACAGACTGTCAAAAAAATGTCAAAAACTGTACTTTGATTTCCAGCGCTTTCCAGACTAGATATGTTGTATCAGGCAAGTGATGAGAAAAATATTGAATTGAGTGTTGATTTGAAGAGAATAAGTGATCCAAATGATGCATACGAGACTCTAAGGCATGTAGATAGTTTAGCACATGCATCAACGAGGTATATCGTCCTAGATCTGACTTCCGAGGAGGCTGTATCAAGCGTCCTTCAGCAAGTAAGATTAAATTTATTTGATTTAAGTCAGAACGCTATGCAGTGTGTGAATGTGAAACGATCCATTGGGATCAAAATTATTTTCTTCAGCTAGTAAAAACGAGGTCGCTTTCATATATTTTTCCAGTATACGCATCAAGTATAGCAGCACTTGAATAAACGGTGATATAACGGATTGTTACATATTTAAATAGAAAATAGCGCACCATTTTTGTTTTGCAGATAAGGGATCTTGGAATGAATAGAGGAAATTATCATTACCTGATAGCAGGACTGGTGAGATGACTTCAGCTGTATTATTTAGATTATACTTTTAAGTAAACTTCCCTTTATAGCTTTGGAAACCGGAAGTTTTTATCAAAGTCTACCGATGTTTGATTTCTAATTTTGATGATTTTCAAACAAAATATGTTTGTCAAGTGGTCTAAATGGGCTTCTAGTTTCCTTATGGGAGGGAGTGAAAATCACTATAATTATTATTGTATATAGTATCGAAGAGCTACTGTTGCATACATTATACTGAAACAATCTCCTGGATTTTGTGTATTTAAGGATTATTGCATTATCTGCTATATAGTTCTGTCGAGTTTATTAGTTAGCAAATAAATATCAATGACAATGGCGTAAATTACGACATATACAGCAGTCTTTATATTGGCTTATCTATTTACAGTACATTATTCCACATAATAAATGAGACTGAATTTGTATTTATTTTTCCAGACCATAGACCAAGATGAACTTCGGGGTTTTAGACACGGAGGGGTTAACATTACAGCGTTTAGACTAATAGATCTAAAGAATAGAGAAATTGCGAAATTTTATGATAAGTTTCAAAAAGCAATAGGCTCAAAGTCCAAAAAATCAAAACAAATAAAGAAAGGGAAAGTTCTAAAGGTAACTTGTCATAATATGTATTTAACAAAATACTCATACCAGAGACAAGACACGATGCATGCTATGTATATATTATCAAATTATTATTTATAAAATCACAGTTTAATTATAGATTTTTATATATCGTAAAATATTATCCAGGATAATAGTAGTTTTATATAAATTTATTTTGAAATTGATTTAAATTACATGATTGTAATGTAAGCAAATGTTCGGACGTTACCAATCAGAGTTGATCAAATGGTTTGATTTCATTTTGCCGTTTCCAGATGCAAAGTGCATTGATGGTCGATTCAATGAATGCTTTCGTATATGCAATGGGGACTCTTGATACGGGAAAGTTTAGGGGGACCATACGGCGCCGCAAATTCTACAATAATGGCTCAGAGGGCATAAGTTGTGCTGGCAGTTTGGCCAGCAGTACAGTATCACCATGGGAACATGGTGAATACATTATGGAAGCATTAAAAAAGGTGAGCCATACACCATAATTCATAGCTTATGTTGTCATTTTCAGATTGATGACGTTTTATTATATGATGGAGCGAAGGTTCTTGCGAAAGCCTTCAAAAGCTTTAACCCTGAAAAGACGTTTAAAACAAACTTCAGACGCAAGATATTCTATAACAATGGTACAAAGGGTATATCATGTTCCCGTGGTAGCAATGAGCGAATTGCACCCTGGGAGCACGGCAAACGCATTATAAAACAACTACGCAAGGTAACATGTTTTTAGAATGCGGCATGGGACTACACTCCGTTTTGTGCATGATACGATAACATTATGCATTTGTTATGCATTGAATGCCCATATACGGTAATTTATTGAATGAAGTCCTGCATATTAGGCAATGATACAGCACTGGAATTTGGCTGGACTGCTATATGGAATAGATTTAGAAATGTACATGTAGATGCATACACTTTGATGTAAATATTAATAGGACGTTTACATACATTGACTTGTACTGTAGGGACATTGGCTGAATTCATGTGCTTATATAAACATATTTTGTCGACTTATCGTTTTCTCACTGCTAGTGAACACAGAGCACGTACCAAATTAAGCGTGACAGTTGAACGCGCGGGATACGGTACGGTACAACACGAGAGTGGTGAAATGTAAGCAAATAGATGTTTTCATCATTTCAGAAAGATAACTATGAAATTCACAGTCAAGTTCATTGTCTAGGATGTTGTTACAGACATTCCCATATGAAAAAATCGAGAAATTAGAGCAGATCTTTCGGAACGATGAAAACATCAATTTGCTCAAATTTCATCGACCTCGTGTTGTACCGTACCCTACGAGTTCAACTGTCACGCCTTTGGTACGTACCCTGTGGTCACAGTTAGTCAATTATTACGTAAGGCATGACACTTCGCTAACACGCTTAGATGCACACAGGCACAGTTAAACCTCCAGTTTTAAAATTATTTTAAGCACATTTATTTAGAAGTAACTGTGTTTTATTTTTACAGTCAACAAGATTCCACGGACACACTTGAATCGTTACTGAACGTTCCATAAATATTTCAACATCTTAAGAAAGTGAGATTCTGTTTGGAGATCCATGATGATACACACATATATATCAGATATCAAAACATTTTTGCCTTGGTTATGATTGGAATATATTTGGCTGAATTAAACTTTAACACAGCACAGCACTTTTTCAATATGTGCACATTTTAGTATAATGTCTCCGTAATATGTCTTCATAATATGATCATGTCCTCCAATGAAGAATATTTTATTGTTGATTCCCTAGTTCAGGGTAACAGGGCGACACAAAAATACCAATCACAAAATGTTAACTACTTTGTCTGCATGAATTCTGCCTTGTTCGTCACTACATCAAAACTAGATTTCATTCCATTTTTGATGACTAGCTCAACGAGATGCACTTTTATTAGCATTACAAGATGTGCTCTAAATGCCGTACAAACCTCGATTCTTGAAGTAAAGTTTTTGACGACCCTAACACATTCCTTCACAGAAATGACCTTGGTCTTTCTTGCAAACTCTCTGATCGGGTCTTCTATGGTTTAGGGGTTTGTTTCATACACATGATATTTCAAGTATTCCCAGCTTGTTGGTAAGTTTTAATGTGCTAAAGAACAAGGCAGAATTAATGTATATAGATAAACAAGTTTACATTATGTGGGTGGCATTTTGTGTCACACTGTAACTATTATCATTATGAAAGGTCAGGTGGAAATACTTTAATGTGTACATCTTCAATAATTATTAACAATTTCTTTGCTACTTTAAATATGTCATAATTTAACGGACTAGACTATTCCCAGTTTTTGATTTAATAGACTAGTTCTATGTAAACGCTCAATATTAGTGCTACTAGAGACCAAGTAAACGTATCCTTATGTAACTAAACATTTATTAGGTATATGTCGCCTATTGTTCATTTATCCTACGTTTACTAACTGCAATTGAAATACACTACTAATTCTCAGTTTGCCTTAATGTCTACCTTTATATCAAAACATAACAATAAGTTATTGTTAATGCTTTGGCACTCTCGATCACAACAGCTTTATTCGTTCGCCATTATTGTAATAATGTTGTGCATCTATTTCAGGTGTCTTCCACGATGTCTGGGTTGCAGTGTCTACTGCGCAATTATATCTTGCTTTTTAGGTTTAAAAATATTCTTTAATATTTATAAATGACAAACTTCATCGAAGGTACCTACGCCAACCCGAGTTGGAGACGGAAGTATAAATGTTTTCGATTGGCCACATGCACGTCCCTAGATCATGATCATCTAGGTAAAGAGGTCCCATCACCCAAACCATCTGACATTGTAGTATAACGCACTTCTTTAACTTTTGCAACATTCTATCTTAGGTTAAGTTGCAAGGTCTGTCAGGGCATGTTGAGTTTGACAAGAATGGATTTAGGAAGAATTACACATTAGATGTTATTGGAGTGAGTTTAAAAACTGGCCCTGAGGTGGTAAGTGAACATTTTTGACATTTTATTTTCAAACGTCAAATTATTGGATTTAATCATAACATAGTCTTTGGGGTGTTATGTTGGGACGTTTGTTGGTGTATTTCCTCAGTGTGTAATTTTAGGATGGTTTATTCTTCGGTTGTACTTTAATTTGAGAGTCTCTTTCCAATATAATACACCCCGTTCAAAATCGATACGTACTGTTATTAGTTTAGCATGCTGCATACTTATACCGATTGCTTTACGTACGGATGGTCAAACATCAATACAGATAAACATAAACCTGACTATCCAAGCCAGAATGAATATGATTTCAGATTGGCTCCTGGAATGACCAGACAGGCCTATCGCTTGCACCAGTCACGGCAGTGAATGACGATATCATCAGTAATTTGGCGAATAAAACACTCCGGGTCACCACCATCTTGGTATGTTTCATGTTTCGATTGGGTAACTTGAATAACTTTGAGCCAACCAATAATGTTCTGAAAATCGTGACTCACTTTATTGAGTGAAATGAACAAGATTGGCAATATTCAATCAAAACTATAACTGTGAAAACAATAATTGATACAACGAAATAGAGTTGATCCATTTGGTCCATTATTTACATACTACTTTGCTTAAAGGACAGTGATAATATAACTATGTTGTGAACATTTACAGACTCCCCCTTATGCTTCCCTAAGAGAGCAAGACGCAACGGAGGATCAGTACGTTGGAAATGATAGATACGAAGGATATTGTATCGAACTTGCTGCAGAACTTGCAGCTCATGTAGGTTTTAAGTATGAGATCATACCAGTCGCTGACGAAAAATACGGGGCTGTGGAAAACGGGACATGGAATGGCATGGTTGGGGAGCTTATCGACAAAGTGAGTTAAACAAAACTATGTAAACATATTATATTTTCTATTTAGGCTATATCCTATCATTGAAAGACTCCACTTTCATTGTAATTTAGCTATACAGCTCTAAAGAACTGTTTCTGAAACACAAATATGCTATAAATATGTTAACAGAGGTACTAAGTATCTATAATTACTAGAGTTGGTGAAAATACTGTCTCCATTGTTTGAAAATTACCGTGCTATATATATTGTATAATTTATATGAAAAAAACATTGTTAGGTTGCTGATATGGCGATCGCTCCACTAACAATATCATCACAGAGGGAGAGAGTGATAGACTTCTCCAAACCCTTCATGAGCTTAGGGATAAGCATTATGATAAAGAAGCCAGAAAAACAAAAGCCAGGAGTGTTCTCATTCATGGACCCCTTGTCCACCGAGATTTGGATGTGCATCGTTTTTTCGTTCATCGGCGTGAGCGTAGTCATGTTCCTAGTCAGTCGTTTCAGCCCATACGAATGGCACTTGGAGGAGAGAGTTACGGGGATGACAGTCTCAAATGACTTCACAATGTTCAATAGTTTGTGGTTCTCGCTGGGGGCCCTTATGCAACAAGGCAGTGATATATCCCCAAGGTTGGTTGTCGATATAAGCATTTTCAGACAATAACAATTATCTAGGTTAGATAAGCATTGTTCATTCTGATTATGTCTTCAATAGTTTACAACATGTCTCGATCAGAGGTTGATATATAAGTATATATCACTGGTTTGTAAACTTTGAAGATAAGATCTAAAATGAACAATGTTGAGCTTATGGACAGAAAGTGTATGCACCGCATGGTCCACTTATTTGATAGTATTATTTTAATCATAAATATATTTGAATGAATGTATGATAAGCCTCATCTGAAGAATGAATTTATCAATCATTGATTCAAAATAATATTTATGCATATTTAAATAAAGTTCAATACTTGCTTCGCTTATATGCATGCTTACTTTGAGACGCTCTAGCATTTTAGTTAGCTTAAGATTATACAAAAATGTTAAGAAATAGACACAACACAACTTCATATGTGTTCTATAATGGATTACTAACTTCTTTATAAAACATATAAATATGTATCTACCAAGCTACTGCATTTAAATAAGCTAGTCTCAAATTCCTATTCTATTTAACCATTTATAACGCTCTTATTAGCACGTTTTATGAGATCCATCTCGTCTGGCACTGGGCCGTGACTTTTACTATGGACTTTCTCCAGGGAATTTCCTTCTATCTTAACACTTGTCTTCCTACAACACGCATTCGTACCTTTTAAGTGAAACTGTTCCTTGAATCTTACTACAAGCATCAGTGCTTAATTTTAGCACTCTATATATTATTTTCACCATGTCAACACTGTTTGCACAATCTTTACCAGGGCATCCTAACTCTTATCTTGTAAATATTGTCCCCTCAACACCAGACTGTCCATAGGTAGACATGGTGACTATAGCAACGTTCACATATAAAAGCCAAGAGATTTAATATTTCCAATAAATGAAATTATGTTGGTAAGTTAATATATAGTTCCTAAAGTATTCAGCACACGTTAATCTAAACACCAATGCAACGTGGTGCCAATTTGGCTGAACCAGCTGGTGCTATACTCACCATGTCCGATTGTTAGAAAATGCTGAATTGTTTGCACATCTAAGTTTAGGGACATATCACAGTTTTGATGCGAAGGTTCTATAGTTTGTGATTCTTAGCGATAATCAGTTCAGATCTTTGTTTTCAATGCTCCAACGTTAATGTCAACGGTGCTCATGAGACTCAAATTTACCTATGATTAGATTAACCTTTTACCGAAGTACCTCAATTCCCTAGGGAAATTCTATATCAATACAAGCTCAGGTTTCATTGTAGAGAATGAAAGCACATTAGCTAAATTATAAGTGCATTGTAACATAAAGGCGCTTATGAGACACTATATATTCCTTTTGAATTAGTTCAGAATTAGCATATATAATTAGTTTAGTTATTTATCGTAGCTTGGTAGAAAAAGACGCATGCAGTCAATGTATACATCAAATGGAAGCCATTGTGTTGTATTTTCATAACCCCAAGGGAAATATTTGAAGAACACAAATCACGTGTTAGATGATAACAAAAAATTACTGTATATAAAAAAACATAAACGAATATGAAATCCAATACATGGCTTTTTAAATTTGATGTGATACAGTCCTATGTTATATTCTGGATCGAATTGGTAAGTGATATAAAATACTTGGATACGAGTTAACTGGGATTTAAATATTGCATAGATATATAAAATGCAATCCAAAAATAATTTTAATCGATTTATCTTTTCCAATGTAAATGTATTTTTATACAATACACTTCTAAAAGCATGTATGCATTTCTATAGTTTGAATTATAATTGTAGGTCGATATCAGGACGCATCGCTGGGTCAGTTTGGTGGTTTTTCACTCTTATTACCATATCGTCTTATACTGCTAACCTAGCTGCTTTCTTAACCGTTGAACGAATGGTATCTCCCATAGAATCAGCTGATGATCTCGCGAGACAATCCGAGATTGCATATGGAACAGTTGACTCTGGATCAACTAAAGAATTTTTCAAAGTAAGTTTCAAAGACGAATGGCGATTTTAAATTAATTGAGAATATAAGTCTAGATTTGCTACTAAGAATTCATCTTTACAACAAATAGTAAAACTTCTAGACATTCTTATAAAACTTAATTTTGTAAAAATTTAATCGTACACTAATAGAATGGGAAAATCAATCGATCTCAAATGTATTGCTTCATTTGTATTCCTGATTCTAAGTTAGAATATCTCATTAGTAAGTCTTATGTTTGAGTTATTTGGATTTTGATTTCATTTATTTGGATGATATTATAGTATTCAATATGTCGTATTTTGTTTTATGAATTTTGATATAGTTTTATTTCGGATTTTATATACTATATACCTAAATAGTTCATTGTACATATTCAGACACATATTCAGCCTTAGTATACAAAAGTTTAGATGTAAACGCTATATCAAATCCTAAATGAAATAATTTATTAAGAATCATATATATAATGTTGAAAATACTGTTATAATATATATATTATACTGAATTCGTTGATTTTGAAACTCTATCGAGTTGTGGACATTGATTTAAGGCTGATTTTAGGCTGATTAACATTTACATTTTATACCCATGTGTATTCCGGACATTCATTTGTGTACTTATGTTTTTATGATCAGTACCCGAAACCATCATAAAATGATGGTCTCAGTTAGTACTAATGACCATCAACGTCTTGAAATCAGCCACCGTACTATACTATTCACATGTTGAAATTTAATGAAAGTACCCTTAAACATAATGTGTTTCTAGATTATACTATATAGGGTCTATGATACATCAATTATGGCTGAGACATTTTCGGATAAGAATTGAAAAATATTCCTCATATTTTTTTCTCATACGGGTTTTGCAATGTGTTATGTTGATATCATTGAAACCTTTATTTGGCCTTGGTTGATCTAGTTGATTGGGTTTGTTTTGTCAAGGTGCTGACTCTTGTACAGTAGAGCTGAAAAATCGATCAGAATGGACCAGGATGTTAATATTTGTAAATGTTGCAGGGAATTCATAACCTTACTGGCTTTATGCCGATACTTTTTCTAAATGTTTGATGTTTTACTTTGTTGTTAATTATGCTTATAAAATAATCATATTGCCGGAGGTTGCAGACCCCAAAAAATCACGATCGATAGTCTTGGAGTTGCTTATGCTACATGTTTTTAGGCGGTATACATATGGAGTGAAGATGTACATAGCCATGATTTGATAAGAATTGGTCGACTTACTGACACAACATCTTGTAGTTTCTCAAAATGAAGATTGTTGTTGTCATAGTAACCTAAGTCCAGTTTCGTTATCACAATTATTGAGCATCACTTCGTTTTAGAATTCAAAATTAGACATTTACAAGAAAATGTGGACAGTCATGAACACCTCAAGCGACGTATTCGTCCCAAACACTCAGGCTGGAGTTGACAAAGTCAGAAAATCAAAGGGAAAATATGCGTTTCTATTGGAGTCCTCAATGAACGACTACCACAACCAAAGGAAACCCTGCAATACGATGATTGTCGGTGGCAATCTAGACGATAAAGGATATGGCATTGCAACGCCATTAAACTCTAATCTGAGGTAATTTCAGATATGGCACTGTTTATTTGAAATTGAAACAAATGCGATATGTTTCAGTTTCAAACATGTTGTACTTTAATTTTTCTTTTGCAGCTTTATGAAACAAATTTGTCCATTCCAGTGCAATAAAGACATCTCCAAAGGGAGTAAATTTGCACTGAATGGTATTAATATTGTTTCATAATAAAACACACTCTACACCTCAAACGGATTTCTCCGTAAACTACTGCATGTATCTTCCAATTCTAATTATTGTGAAAATCTTATTTGCAGAATTCAAAAATAAGCGTTTATGAGCAAATGTGGAGCTTTATGGTGGCTGCCAAGCCACCTGTATTTAAAATTAGTGAAACAGAAGGCGTTAAAACAGTGCGTGAGTCGAAAGGGAAATACGCTTTTCTGTTAGAGTCTACCATGAATGAATATCACAACCAAAGAAAACCTTGTAATACTATGAAAGCCGGTGATAATATTGACTCTAAAGGGTATGGTATTGCAACACCTATGGGGTCTTCCTTAAGGTAAGAGGCATGGTATATGTCTCTGCGCATGCGCAATTAATAGTGCCTTAGCGTGTTGTATCAAAATGTGCATTGTACCGTAGCTACAGTAACGTTTGTACCGTAAATGAACGCTTAAGTACCTTGATATTGTCCGTAGCAGTAACTGATGATGCGAAGGCTGATGACCACTAGCAAATTGCTAAAATGTGCTGCATTGCTTTGCATGCGAGGTAAATTTATTGTGTCCGCACAATATTAATGTGAAACCATGTGTGGTCATTGTCAAATGTCGCAACACGAGCCCCATATTCAAGACACGAGTATATCCCTATAGGTCACAATATCAAGTATTCAGTCACTACACTTTGCTCGATATGTAGCTCCGTAGTGGTAGCAAGTTCTAGCTAGTAACCTTAGAGAAGTTGTGTCCCTATTTATACACCATTGCTCATATGTATTTCAAATTTTCACCAAACGTGTCAACTAAAGTAACTGTAATGTAAGCACTGTACCAATTACAATAACCCAGCCTTCAGAATATAGTATTTTGAAGTAGATTTAAAGTTCAAAATACTCGAGTTGATTTTCGGGGAAAATTTGTGAAGTCAATGGTTCATTAAAAACTTCCATATATATGAGCAGGGGTGTATGTATAGCTATTCTTGTGAAATTAGAATATATTGTTATACTTATATATTGTTATTGATCAATTGTTTTTTCATCAAAGATGATCTTATGATAATAAAATACTGTGTTCATCGATGCAACTAAAACATAACTGATGATGCATCATAGTAACAGTGAAACTTAGTAAACTACATTGTATATTTTATATACATGACATATATTATTCTATTGAATAAACCAGTCCAGTGGGTCAAATAAAATATTAGAAGTTATTGGAGACAGTGATAAATTCTAATCGAAGCCATGACACCAATTGTCATCAAATTCTAGAACTTCTCACTTTACTTATTTTACCTAATTCACATTTTAGAGAAAAAATCAGTTTAGCGGTGCTGCAGCTTCGAGAAAAAGGAGTATTAGCCAAATTGCAGAAGAAATGGTGGTTTGACAAAGGAGAGTGTGGCCATTCCGACGTGAAGGTATTGCTTAGTTTACACATTACAGTGAGATAGCATATATTTTCGTATATTTGGGTTGCACAGATGGTAGTTTATTAGAATAGAATATAATCAAATAAGTGGTGATTTAAAGTACAATATCAATGTGAATAATGGTGACAAATGTTTATTATATTTTAGGGCTCAACCCAAAATGCATTGACGCTAAGCAATGTTGCTGGGATATTCTACATACTAATAGGGGGCTTGGGTCTTTCGATGGTCGTCTCACTACTCGAGTTCTTCTATAAATCAAAAACAGAGGCTCGGAAACGAAAGGTATGCAATTACTCAACGGTCTGGCATTACAAATAAATATTAATTTGGTAAAGAGAAGGGTTTTCTAATGCTTTTACTGTTGTTTCATTTCTGTAAGATAGTGCAGTATGTGTACGGTGTACGACGTATACGATACTGTTGTTTCATTTCTGTAAGATAGTGCAGTGTGTGTACGGTGTGTACGACGTATACGATAAATGTATAAAGTAGTCTCTATAATAAATTGGCTATGAACTCACAATTTTTTCACTTGGCACCTTTTGAGGTGGATCCCGGCTATGGCATTAATGGTTGAGAAATAGGGATCGAAACCAGCCATAGTTTTCTCCAGATGACCATTGTGAATTGTTGTGTTTTATGGATTATGATGACGGCTTTGTGAACGGGTGTTGACCCTTGAATTGCGTATGGACTTTCAGACTGGATTTTATCTATCCCACATCATTTGAGACTGAATACTCTATCTTTTATGAGCACTAGTATCTACAACTATTTTTGATGTTATGAGTATTGGCTATCAATTTTTCTTCAACATGTATGGTAATGACTTCAGTATGAATGAAATGCCCCTTGGTGTTCTGGTCCTTGATTGTGATATTGGTTCTCGATTGGAGGGGGGATGTTAGACATTGTTTCTTTTCACGTTAGATCATGGTTTTGGGATATATAGGGTCTGCTTTTCTTATGACAGATTTACACTTACAGTTTCCTTTTCTTGTTGGGTTTCTTTAAAGTTTTTAGTCACCCTTCCATTTGGCATTTGCGCTTATATATTCTCTATAGTCGTCACTGAGCCACATTGGTGTATATATTTGGATATTGCTGTCAAATCTTACGTATTACTGACACTAGTTTTATATCACTTCTATGTAAAATAGTAGAATTCTATGTATTTGGTCATTGATATTTTAAATACAATGCACAGATCTAGTTTCCTATTTCTTCGAAACTAATAATCCATTTTATCATGATTTGTGAAGAGTGTTACATTCATTAATAATTCAAATGTACCAATCGAATTTGATATTTATTAGATTATTTCTAGTACCAGTGCATTGTCACAAATTGTTGCACGGTTTCGATGATACTATATGTGAATAATTTTGAATCTGAGTGCATATCGGGAAAATGTCAAAGCGTTTATGAATGCACTATAATCCTTGGGTATAATGTACTATGACTGTGCCCTCGATGCCATATACTTACTGGCTAGTGCATGCATTAATGCTTTTATATTTCTAATACAGAACGATATGGAATTCTTTGTCTCTTCTATACAGTGTGTTTCAAAATGAGTACACCTTATATTTAAGCTTTCTTCGTATTATTTCAACTATGTCCTCATTTTTTCGGAACACCCTGTATACTACATCAAACACGCTTTTGTAACGTTGTTGGTTTTGTTTGACTTTTAGACATCGTTGTCAAGTGCTATGAAAACCAAAGCGAGGCTCTCCATCCGGGGATCATCAGAAACAGAAAATGGCGGGGTAGGAGAAGCTCAGAAACCATTCTCGTATACACTCCCTAAAGAAAGATCTAGTGCCATTAGTCTGGTTTAGTCAAACACCGTGGTAAAGTCACGCATTGTGTTTTACCGTTTGCTGACTCCTGCTAATTGTTTTCAAGCATCTTTATTTTAAGAGCAAATTCACATTATATGTTATGTTCTGACAATATATCACATATTTTTTATTTGTAAACTTGCTTAATATTATGTGGGTGCTGTTTTGCACTACTTCAAGAGTAGTGGAATGTGTCGATGTGTGTATTTTCTCGTATTCTTTGCAAGGAATCTGAATATAATTTGAATTGTTCCATATATCTAAGTAAAACAGAATAAAAAGGAAGCATCTGAAAACACACCTTTTGAAAAAAAGTTATCCAAAATATCACATGAATGTTTTTTTTAATTGAGATCATTACTCCTAAATAGTGTACAAATGATCATAGTTTGGGAGGCTGGGGAATTTTTTCATTTTCTTAGATTGTTCTTATTGTTGATGTGCTTTGCAATATGATTTGTTGGTACCCTGTGCTTGTATATCTATCTTTTCTCTCTATATGACTTCCCAAAATCAAGAAGGCTTTATCAAACAAATCTGAATATAAAAATCCATCTTGGGATATTTTCTATGAAGCTTATTTCAGTTTAGTTAAAAATACGCACATATATCATTTTTAAACATTCAGCAACATTTTGTTTAACATTCAAAATAATATCTGAGTTACTTCAATGTCATTGAGCAATTCAAAAAATCTCAATTAGCAGCAATGAATTAAAGTAGAAAACAATTGCTTTCACGTAGTTTAATAGAACACTCTTATAAAAATAGTGCATCTCCTGCCTAATCACTTAACATATTTATCTATATTTGTCCCGATAATATCATATTGTACTGTAATCATGTTAAGATTTTGAAATATATTTATGATAGTTTAAAGAATTTAATAACGTAAAACAATATTCAAAGGAAATTTATCTACAGGTTTGTGTCATCTTGTCAAAGATTATCGCCAAATACCGAGTAGTGGACCAAATTACACTTAATAGGGAGTTTAAGCTTGCATATTCAGTCGAAACGCCAACCTTTGCGTACCAATCGCCCATACAAATGCATCGCTTAAATATTTTCCGTTTACGTTTAGGATGTGAAACACATTGTAAGCTTAAACTCCCTAATGTATAATTAAAGTTATGATTAGTTTCCATTTGTAAACCAAATATTAATTTTATTTTCAGTATATGTATTCACCACCTCAATATAAAGAGACATTGGGCTATAACACACACACCGAGGTGTAACAGAAACATTGGGCTATAACACACACACCGAAGTGTAACAGAAACATTGGGCTATAACACCCACACACCGAGGTATAACAGAAACATTGGGCTATAACACACACACCGAGGTGTAACAGAAACATTGGGCTATAACACCCACACACCGAGGTATAACAGAAACATTGGGCCGTAACACACACCGAGGTGTAACAGAAACATTGGGCTGTAACACACACCGAGGTGTAACATTGACTGTGACAAACGCTCACTGAGGTGTTTTGTGATCAAAGCACACTGAGGTATTACGTGGACTATGATATACACACACTATCTTGTAATATGGCGTACAACATAGAGAAATCCAAGTGTACTGTACCTAGGTTACATCAAAAATTCTTGGTTACAACCTGTACTACACTGTAATACACACAGTACCTGTGACCACTATAGTGCACTAGACTTATGTGTAAACTGAACTCAGATACGATAATGAAGTGTATAAAATTATAGAATTATATGAAAGAGATAAATGGAGGGCAAATTATTATAATGGGAGATAAATTGTTATAAAAGAGATAATGGAGGGCAAATGTAGTATGAGCTCCAATAAAATACAGATAATTAGACGCAACACATTAATGTTACTTAAAAATGTGTATTGATAAATGGCTCAAACGGAGAGGGTATCTGTAATGTATTTGTAAAAACTAACTGGTGTACTTCGATGGCCATTTGAGAATTTATCTCTCGTATTTATTTCATATGGTCTCCAAAAATGTACTTGTAGCTGAAACTGTCAGACAAATGAATGTTAACTAGGCACATCAAAAAGATGTACCCTATCGAGGCGTTCAATACTGAAGTTGTTCAGCGTTGAAGATGTATTAGTCCCGTAAAAACTGAGGTGAATATTTATTATTCCCATAATGTGTGCAAGAATTATCCATTCAACAGTTTTAAGAACTGTGTTCTTTGCAATCGTTCAAACATATCATGATATTAAAACTATTAAACTATTGATACGTGTACATCAATCCAGTCAGTTTACAATTTACGCAGACTTTGCATTGTAAAGAGACTTTATGGACATTCTGTATATTCCAAATGTTGTAGGGGATATAGTAGGGTGTACCCAAACATTAACTGCCATTTATTTGATTTGAAACTCAATATGTCATTATTAAGTGATATCAACAATACCGAATATGAGCTTTCTTAGTTAAATTAAGTTAGCTATGATGTCAGTTTTATAACCTTTTACAGGAATCTAATTTGGTCTATTTTACATCACCATTTCCAAAATTTATTAACACAATTTAGTTCAAGTTCATTTCAATCTCACGATAGATTACGTAGTATACATGTATTCTCATAATAGATCCAGAGCAGCTTAGGGCTTCAAATTAGCTGCGTTGGGAAAAGGTGAGAAACAATTTACCCAAAGCTTTTGAGACACCCTAAGAAAGCTTCTCCTTTATAATGGTATATTAACACCACATGGTGTATATGTTATCCCACCTTTGCCCCCGGCTGCTCAACTCTAAGAATTTGTAAATAGTAATTAAGTAAAACAGCAAAAGCAGAAATATAGAATTGTAAATAGTTTGAATAGAAACATGTTAAAACAAATAGAAATTGTATATATTTGTAAATAATTTACGCTGCAAAGTTTAGACATTCATTGTTTATCCATTTTGGAACAATGATTTATCATAATATGTTATGTGTAATGTTGTCAAAGGTTCAAAGATGCAATGTATTTATAAATGTTTATGCATCATAGTAATAATGTTTGATCAGATAATAACTGGATTAACATCTCGTGAAGATTGAGGTTCACAGTTGACAATCACATCATTTGAGTCTTATAATTGTAATAGCCATTGATACATTTCTATGTGTATATTGTAGTAACTGCGTTTACCTTTGATTATACTTTTGTGATATCACCTGTGAACACTCAACATGTTAATGTTATTACACCCAACTAAGGTAGCAACACAATAAAATGAGCTGCAGTTTATTTAAAAAATAGATGGTTGTATCAAAAATCAAAAAATACATTCTTTTTCTATTGTTTTTAAAGAATGGAGACTTGGCAAACTATCAAAAACAACTTTGGCACAAATGATGATTGATAGTTTTCGATAGTTTCCATCCGGTAAAACGATATACAAATGTACATATACCCTTCTCTTGTTACTTTCCATCTTTAAATGCAAAACAATTTATTCATTTTGTGTTGCTATCTACATGATTGATCTAAGCTTACTTACATGTATTCTGGTCCATCCAAATACAAACAAAATCATGTTTTACACTGTACCTGACCTGTTACATGCAGTGTACAGAAGCTAGCAATACCTCCAGATGAATAGTCAATACAAAAGAAATACAATTTTCCAGATTGGATCATGGACCATTTACCTTTCATAAAAGTTAGTACGGGGTTTCAATTAGATCAACAATTCGTCCTTGGTCTTAGGGAAATGATAGCCTCGGGCATATCGGTACTTGACTATTATTCCTCCTAATACACAAGACTCATTGTTTATCCATTAGATGTTCGTAATGCCTTGGTCACATTTGCTCCGATTTTCACTACGCCGCCCGGCAGATTGAGTATTTTGTTCAAAAATTGAATAGAAATTTGAACAAAACACTCAATCGGCCGGGCGCCGGCCGATGGATCGGAGCATATGTGACCCAGGCATTACAGGTCACGGAATTACTAAGCTGACCACCCAACTGTGCTTGACGGTCCTATACAATCCAAACATCGTAATGCATACAACAGAATTTCTGTGAATTGTAATTGGTAATTGTGTCCTATGAAGTACTAAGAAGAGTAACAAGTGGTAATCGAGAGATTATGTGTTCTTATGTGTTCTTTACGTGCACCCTAATTGTAAAAGAGTAAATGAACAGAATAGTGTTAAGAATGTATATTTGTCACTTCGTGTTTATAAGTTTGTATAAAGTACACTTGAGTTTAATCTTAATCGCTTAAAATGCTGTTCAACTTGTCGGTCCGTGATGCAGGTTGGCACCCTGGGGGTACGATGGCCAAGCAGGGATTACTTCACTGCATCATTGACAACTAATGCCTGGGTCGCATTTGCTCTGATTCATCGGTCGGCGTCTCAATCGGCCAGGCGCAAATGTGACCCAGGCATTAGGTAAAATAGTTTGAATTCTCATAAGTACATACTTTGATACGTATGACTTACATTTTCCTTTTCGTTTCCAAACGTTTGTGAAAACTAGTGTAATTTATACACTTATTTTTAGGTGGCATTGCATTGTCATTATTTTTTTCCATAAAACTATGCATGCATGTAATTGGCTAAATACTAAAATATAACATTATTATATTATATAAAGTGCATGTTTGCATTAGCAGCACAATAAACATTTGTTATTTTGATCTCTAAAAGAGTCTTGTTCTCATTATAGGCTACTGTTAAGTGTTTACGATGACATGTAATATGATTAAGAACAGTGAATAAAAACGATAAGAAGAAAAGAATTGTATTACATTGTGCTTTCTATGCCGTAATGTTCCCATTGGAAATACTTTTTGAAAGACTTTAATAATACATATTATGTGTAGGGCGGGTGTCAAATAACGTCCATACTCTTTTATTTGGAGATAACGTTTTCAACAATAGAAATATTTTGCAAAAAGATTTTCTGGATATGCAGGAATCAAATTTGCAATCGTCTCTGAAATAGGTTTATATAAATCTTCAGTGGTTTCTGATCCGAATAAGAAAGAGTCAACATAGACTTAATGCCTAATCGAAAATGTACGGTTATATCTTAATTTATACAGAGATCATTCAGGAAGATTAGATGAACTGGTTCAACATCGAGGAAAATGGCATTCAGTAAGCCAAATTCAGCGTGATGATGTCCTGTTTATGGCCAGGAGGATTTCCAAAGTTTCAATCTGATTCTTAAAATGACATTAAAAAATAAGTTCTTAAATGTGTAGCCACAATCATGCATTACTCTTCCTTACCACAAATAAGATCTCGTAATAGCTTTCCTTGAAGTTGATTTAGTTTTTGATCATATTACTTAAATATTTGTATTGTGGTATTTCTTATATTCCACATCTGTCTGATATTAATTTCGAAATAAACCGAACGCCCTTGCTTGTGTTTTTCGGTGACAGACTGGATAATATGTTAATCTGGTACTATAATTTTGGTACAATACGTTACAAAATCTCTGTTTTAGAGCTGGACATTTTATGACTATCCATCCTGACAAATACTAATATGTGAGTTGATTTCGCGACTAATTAAGATAGGATACAAAAATCCAAAATTAAAGTTGTACGATTTCTGGCAAAAATATTGATCAACCTGATAGATGTTTTTAATTTAAAGAGATATTGTCTGTAAAGGCTTAGAATATTTTTAAATATATATTTTAAAAATCACTGTCTTCTATCGTTTGCTCCGTTGGCAGCATATGACTGAAACTTTTCTCTAATTAGATACACATTCATATACAATTACATAATGTTTGAAAGATAGATATCCTAAATTAAAGTTGTACGATTTCTGGCAAAAATATTCATCAACCTGATAGATGCTTTTAATTTAAAGAGATATTGCCTGTAAAGGCTTAGAATATTTTTAAGTATATATTTTAAAAATCACTGTCTTATATCGTGTGCTCCATTGGAAGCATATGACTAAAATTTTCTCTAATTAATATACACATTTTTAGAAGACATCATACGGCTTTCATATATAACTAGACATGTAAATTGAACAAGTTCAATTTAAGACTCCAGATTTAAAACTTTTTTTAAGCTAAGTCATCCAAAATACTGTAAGCTGAGCCATTCAGAATAAGCTGAGTCATCTAGAATACAGACATTTAGACAACTCTTAAGTAAGTTATCTTCGTCTCCATTGGCTTAACATGGGGATATCATAATATCGACTTTTCGAGACTTCAAACAACTATAACTATCTAACCAGAATTTGGGTCGAAATTTGGTTTGCAGATTCGAATTTCTGAGAAAATTCTACTTTTGTGTTATAACTCATACATTAAATTTTGAGAACTTTTTGTGTTGACCTACTTTCCGGACGCCATTCCTCAAAATCGGTAAGAGTAATCAAAAAAGACAGTTACAATAATGAAAGGACTGTCTTTAAGCTACATGATGAAAGAAAGATAAAGGAATAACGACGAATAGTGTCAAAGATAATTGACATAACATGGGATATCAAAATACCAATTTTTTAATTTTTCAAAACGCCATTACTTCCAAACCGAGTGTCGGATTGAAATTTGATTTGCAGATTCGGATTCCTGAGAAAATTCTACCCTTAATTCATAACTCGTACGTTAAATTTGGAGAAACTTTCATGTTGACCTACTTTTCGGACACTATATCTCAAAAGTGGGTCAAAATACTTTCTGACGGCAAAAGGCTAACACTATCAGCACACTCTTTGCTACCTGTATCCAAAATTTTGAAGCAAATAATTAAAGTGTAGTGTCAGAATCGCAAAAATAAGTTAAAACTATAAATTTGACCTAGATTTTGACCTAGGCATTTTGGTGTCCAAATTGTGAAGCTAGCTAGCTTTTGAGGTCCCTTTCTTTTATAGGCTTTCATTATGTAAAGCTGTACTTAGTCTATATCTCGTATTTTACACTTCAAAATAATCTTTTTCCCATTGCCATAACATGGGGCACCAAATTTAGCGATTTTTGAGCTTTCAAAACGACATAACTTCCGAACCAAAAGTCGGATTGAAATTTGGATTGCAGATTTGGATTCCTGAGAAAATTCTACCCTTAATTCATAACTCATACGTAAAATTTGGAGAACCTTTTAGTTTGACCTACTTTTCGGACACCATATCTCAAAAGTGGGTCAAAATACTTTTTGACGGCAAAAGGCTAACACTATAAGCACACTCTTGGCTACATGTATAAAAAATTTCGAAGAATATAATTAATCTGTAGTGTCAGAATCGCAAAAATAAGGAAAAACTTTGAATTTGACCTAGATTTTGACCTAGGCATTTTGGTGTCCAAATTTTTATGAAAAGAAGGTCTTGTGGTCCCTTTCTTTTATGGGCTTCCATTATGTTTAGCTGTGCTTAGTCTATATCTCGTATTTTACACTTCAAAAAAAATAATTTTCCCATTGAATTAGCACGGGGCACCAAATTTAGCGATTTTTGAATTTTCAAAACGCCATAACTTCTGAACCGGAAGTCAAATCGAAATTTGGTTTTCAGATTCGGAATCCTGAGAAAATTTCCTATAAGACTGATATCATGGACATTGGATTCGGAGAACTTTTTTTTGGACCTCGTTTTCGGACACTGATATCTCGAAATCGGTTTGAGATACCAAAAAACTAAATCGAACCTAGGTTTTCTACTTTTTTATGAGGAACACAATGAAAAAAACCCGGATCAAAAATATTGAAGGACGACAGAGATAATGGGAAAAAGTGACAAAGTACTGGATTTGACCTAGTTCTTGACCTTTGACCTAGATGAAAATTTGACCTAATTTCCCAGAAAGCCAGATACATTCCCTAGTTAACCATGTAGGTTGGATTAAGTAAGATGTTATAGTTGGAGAGAAAATCTGTTAGGAGGAAGAAAGAATAATAATAATAAGAAAACAGGCAAAAACAATAGACTCCAGATTTTCAATCTGGAGTCTAATTACATAATGTTTGAAAGATAGATAAGATTGGAAGATCTAAAACGACTAAAAGCTTGATCCTTATACCCAAAAACATACAAAAGTTAGCATGCAATACAAAATAAAATAGATTCCTTACAACACTACGCTTTATTCCCATAACTACACTTGAGCATTTTTCGCTCTTATCTTAATAAACACAGTGCTACTTATAGGGGCGAGATAAACCTTCAGAACCACTAACAATAATTGATGCATTATATCTGATTTGACAAATGAAGATGATGATCAGAGGAGAACCAACCTAATTAACTTGAAAATGGAACATGGGAAAAACATTACTCAGTTGTCAGCTTAATGTATGTACGTCCGCAAAGAAAATAGTTCGTATAGTTTCTATATCCTATATATTCACATATTACCAAAAGCTGACATAATTATTCAGCAGTAACTTCCCCCAATGCAGATTGCACTTTTCAGTGGTCGACTAATTGCAATTATTGGGATTTTGACATAGGTATTGATCTTTTAGCAAGCACTTCAATTATTCCAAAAAGAACTCCATAAAATGCCATATTGATAAATCAGAATTAAGAAAGTAGAAAAGCATCGAACAACTTAAGAGTAACTCCCTCTGAATCAATTACCATAGCTAGCAGCTGGGATAAAGCCTCCCAGGACATGGGAGAATAGCTAATAGGAAGTAACATTCTAACGAAGGTAATAGCAAACTGATATCCAGGGAGAATGATGAATTGACATGAATACGAAATCAAAAGAAAATTGACTTCAGATGCGCATGCGCCATAGATCGCCAACTTTAGAATTGCTATTTTGAAAAATGGATACTGATGATGTTTTAATAGAAATCCGGTGGAAATGACAATCTTATAGAACACATGTGATGTGAGAAATTAAATAATCCAATAATTATGTGAACAGTGAAATTACTCGTGGAATAGTGTGTAGATTAGAAGAAACATCGTCCCAAAAATGGCGGCTTACATTGAGAAACATTGGACGCTATATATTGTCTTGGTGCTTGTACACAATGCCTTTGGATATAGCATACCGATAGGTAAGGATGATTTTTAAAATATCTGAAACTTAAATATGCTTTAGACAACGTGCAGTGTGTACTGTATATGTTATACATTACATTTGTATTTCGATTAATTTAACTTTACTATATCTCTAACGGATGAAAAGTGTGGAACATGCGTCTATTATTGGACAAAATAAAGATGATGAAGAAAACTGTATAAACTATTAATTGCCATTCACCCATAACTGATTTGTTCAAAATTCCATCGCTCTACCAATCCATTAGTTGGGGGTTAACCTCACATAATGGTGCCCTGGCAAAATATTCCTTTTCAAATTAGATGTATTTCTATTTGATCTTTTGAGTTCTATACAGTATGTTCATGTTTTGTTTTAATATTTTAACCGATCTGGTGTTACAACTGTGTGTCCTCAAAAAGTAAAGGGTAGTTTGATATATATATATATACGAGGGAAGATCCAAAAGTTTCCGGCCTAACATAGTTCCCGATGTCTGAGAGCAACCATTCTTCACAGTTCAAATGTTGCTTATGTATGAACATAATTTATGCATATGATTAACCTCTAGGGGTCACAGCCTCATTTTGAGAATATTCATAATGAGGTCAGGTCACAGTGGCTGCACAATGGAGAAAACTGAATATAGAGCTGTGATAAAGTTTCTATATCAAGAAGAAAATGGAGGGCAGGAAATCTACGATAGACTTAAGGATGTGTATGGGGAAGGTGCTCCCTCCTATTCTACTGTAAAATTTTGGGTGGCTGAATTTAAACGTGGACGGGAATCAATTGATGATGCACCACGTTCTGGAAGACCTAAAGATGTCACTTCAGATAGAAATGTTGATCTTGTACATCGAACAATATTGGAAGATAGGCGGAAATCTATACGTGAACTTGTAGAAGAAACTGGATTATCATATGGTACCGTTTGTAGAATAATTCATGAAGATTTACACATGCAAAAGTTAAGCTCAAGATGGGTGCCCCGTATGCTCACAGAGGACATGAAAACAAAACGAGTTGCTGTTGCAAGAGAGACCTTTGGACATGTATAACACTGATCCACAAGGTTTTATGGAGAGAATAGTCACTTGTGATGAAACATGGGTGCGTCATTTTGAGCCTTCAACCAAACATGAGTCAATGCAATGGAAACATATGGGGTCCCCACCCCCAAAGAAGTTTCGCACCACCCCATCCAACAAAAAGATGATGGCCACCATTTTCTGGGACTGTGAAGGTCCTATCTTAGTAGACTACCTTCCAAGAGGAACTACAATGAATGGAGAATATTATGCTGCTTTGTTGCGTACTTTAAAAGCTAAACTTGATGAAACCAGGCCACACAAAGTCCGTCTTGGAGTTTTGCATCAACAGGACAATGCACCTGTTCACACAAGCCAAGTTGCTCGTGATGCAGCGGAAGAATGCCATCTGGAATTATTACCGCACGGACCCTATTCTCCAGATCAAGCACCCAGTGACTATTACCTATTTGGGAAACTCAAAAATCTCTACGAGGGCAACGCTTTGATGATGATAATGAGGTCAAGATAGCTGTTAACCAGTGGTTGGAGGGTCATGCTCCTGATTTCTTCAGAACTGGACTTGAGATGCTGCCAAGAAGATGGGTCAAGTGCATCGAAGTACAGGGAGACTACATTGAAAAATGACACTATCATTTTGAAAATCCATCAACTAGAACTATGTTAGGCCGGAAACTTTTGGATCTTCCCTCGTATATATACTTGGTGTGGCGGGAGACAAGGACTTAATTAATTACTCTTTATTTCCAAAAATTCGCTTATTGTAGGCATGACAGGGGTAAAGATATCAAACCACTATGCAAATAATATGCAAGACACTAGAAGCCAATTCCCAAGTAACTGTATTAGTTGTGCCATCGATCGAGGATGATACTCATCAAAACATATTTGACATCAAATTAGTACCATGTTCTTGAAATTCAATCACAAGTATGATTCATTTTACTGTCATTTATTCTGTGTGGAAGCCTTGTAGAAACGATTCTTTGCAATTCCCTGGCGTACAATGAAGGTAATGGACTTTAGGCTGAGATATGTGAGGTCTGGTCACTAATGGGATGGGAAAGATGTAGAATACATGCAAATATCTGGTCCAGACATGTATCCCCAAGCTTATCTCAAGTCATTGCGTGAATGCGAAAACGAATAATTTATTCTTACAATAAAAACAGAATTCATTCCAGAAAAAGCGTGACAAATATAAGCCCCTCTTTTGACAATGGAAGAACCGTTTTAATTGAAGATTACACTGTTAGAATATTGGAGGATACTGCGTTTACGAACATGAAATGCTTAGCCAATTTCCATAATGTTCCAAATCTTGCCTGTTAGTATGTTTTTCATTGTAATATAGAGTCTATGATCATAATATAAAAAACTGCAAAATAGGGAATTAAGAATACAGACTTAGACTTCCAGCCAACTGAAGGAGTAATAATTTCTCCGACATTATTCCTCAACTATTGGGAATTGCGCTCTTAAAACAGCAGAATTACAAAGCATTAATCTCATGTAATGTTCTAAGTTTAAGAATTCCCAAATGGTCTAAATGCCATTAACTCTTGTCTAATCTTGCTATCAAAGGGCTGTGCTCATCCACATGGATCAATATTTTAGTGTATTCTTTATAATCACATTACAAGCAACTGTCTCAATCAAGATTGTAACATTGCGCAGCATGCATCATGAAAGGCTAATATATTCAAATGTCTAGATGGCTCGAGGACGAGAATTCAATTAAGAGATATCCCAGATGTTTAATGACTCATATTAGATTAATAGAAACTAATGAGAGGTCAGTTTGATTGCGTTGATCAATTTTCGTAATGTTCGTAATGAACGTTTTGACAATGCCATCTTCGCATGCTCGGTTTTCACTGCGTTAAGACCGACGGGAGCCGAGTGGACGAAGATGTAACAATGCAATTATAAAGCTGGAGTATCACATGCATGTCAAGTCAGACATGCATGTTTTTTGAGGTAGATACGCCCACCGAATAACAAATAATTTATTCGAGTATTCATTTCTCTTAACTGTAAGAATGAACTTCCATTTGGCTGTGAGGATACATGTATTTCCTTCCATTTGGCTGTGAGGGTATATGTATTTCCTGAGAATGTGAACTCCCTTGATGACTGTGAGGTAGTGCTTCCTTCCATTTGGCTGTGAGGGTACATGTATTTCCTGAGAATGTGAACTCCCTTGATGACTATGAGGTAGTGCTTCCTTCCATTTGGCTGTGAGGGTACATGTATTTCTTGAGGATGTGAACTCCCTTGATGACTGTAAGGTAGTGCTTCCTTCCATTTGGCTGTGAGGGTACATGTATTTCTTGAGAATGTGAACTCCCTTGATGACTGTGAGGTAATGCTTCCTTTCATTTGGCTGTGAGGGTACATGTATTTCTTGCGAATGTGAGCTCCCTTGATGACTGTGAGGTAGTGCTTCCTTCCATTTGGCTGTGAGGGTACATGTATTTCTTGAGAATGTGAACTCCCTTGATGACTGTGAGGTAGGGCTTCCTTCGATTTGGCTGTGAGGGTATATGTATTTCTTTAGAGTGTGAACTCCCTTGATGACTGTGAGGTAGTGCTTCCTTCCATTTGGCTGTGAGGGTATATGTATTTCTTGAGAGTGTGAACTCCCTTGATGACTGTGAGGTAGTGCTTCCTTCCATTTGGCTGTGAGGGTATATGTATTTCTTGAGAGTGTGAACTCCCTTGATGACTGAAGAGGTAGTGCTTCCTTTCATTTGGCTGTGAGGGTACATGTATTTCTTGAGAATGTGAATTCCCTTGATGAATGTGAGGTAGTGTTTCCTTCCATTTGGCTATGAGGGTACATGTATTTCTTGAGGATGTGAACTCCCTTGATTACTGTGAGGTAGTGCTTCCTTGCATTTGGCCGTGAGGGTACATGTATTTCTTGAGAGTATGAACTCCCTTGATGACTGTGAGGTAGTGTTTCCTTCCATTTGGCTATGAGGGTACATGTACTTCTTGAGAATGTAAACTTCCTTGATGACTGTGAGGTAGTGTATCCTTTCATTTGGCTGTGAGGGTACATGTATTTCTTGAGAGTATGAACTCCCTTGATGACTGTGAGGTAGTGCTTCCTTCCATTTGGCTGTGAGGGTACATGTATTTCTTGAGAGTGTGAACTTCCTTGATGACTGTGAGGTAGTGTTTCCTTCCATTTGGCTGTGAGGGTACATGTATTTCTTGAGAGTGTGAACTTACTTGATGACTGTGAGGTAGTGCATCATTTCATTTGGCTGTGAGGGTACATGTATTTCTTGAGAGTGTGAACTCCCTTGATGACTGTGAAGTAGTGCTTCCTTCCATTTGGCTGTGAGGGTACATGTATTTCTTGAGAATGTGAACTCCCTTGATGACTGTGAGGTAGTGCTTCCTTCCATTTGGCTGTGAGGGTATATGTATTTCTTGAGAGTGTGAACTCCCTTGATGACTGTGAGGTAGTACTACCCTCCATTTGCCTGTGAGGGTACATGTATTTCTTGAGAGTGTGAACTTCCTTGATGACTGTGAGGTAGTGCATCCTTTCATTTGGCTGTGAGGGTACATGTATTTCTTGAGAGTATGAACTCCCTTGATTACTGCGAGGTAGTGCTTCCTTCCATTTGGCTGTGAGGGTACATGTATTTCTTGAGAGTGTGAACTTCCTTGATGACTGTAGAGGTAGTGCCTCCTTCCATTTGGCTGTGAGGGTACATGTATTTCTTGAGAATGTGAACTCCCTTGATGACTGTAGAGGTAGTGCATCCTTTCATTTGGCTGTGAGGGTACATGTATTTCTTGAGAGTGTGAACTCCCTTGATGACTGTAGAGGTAGTGCTTCCTTCCATTTGGCTGTGAGGGTACATGTATTTCTTGAGAATGTGAACTCCCTTGATGACTTTGAGGTAGTGCTTCCTTCCATTTGCCTGTGAGGGTACATGTATTTCTTGACTGTGTGAACTCCTTTGATGACTGTGAGGTAGTGCTTCCTTCCATTTGGCTGTGAGGGTACATGTATTTCTTGAGAGTGTGAACTCCCTTGATGACTGTGAAGTAGTGCTTCCTTTCATTTGGCTGTGAGGGTACATGTATTTCTTGAGAGTGTGAACTCCCTTGATGACTGTGAGGTAGTGCTTCCTTCCATTTGGCTGTGAGGGTACATGTATTTCTTGAGAGTGTGAACTCCTTTGATGACTGTGAAGTAGTGCTTCCTTCCATTTGGCTGTGAGGGTACATGTATTTCTTGAGAGTGTGAACTCCCTTGATGACTGTGAGGTAGTGCTTCCTTCCATTTGCCTGTGCGGGTACATGTATTTCTTGAGAATGTAAACTCCCTTGATGACTGGGAGGTAGTGCTTTCTTCCATTTGGCTGTGAGGGTACATGTATTTCTTGAGAGTGTGAACTTCCTTGATGACTGTGAGGTAGTGCTTCCTTCCATTTGCCTGTGCGGGTACATGTATTTCTTGAGAATGTAAACTCCCTTGATGACTGGGAGGTAGTGCTTTCTTCCATTTGGCTGTGCGGGTACATGTATTTCTTGAGAGTGTGAACTCCCTTGATGACTGTAGAGGTAGTGCTTCCTTCCATTTGGCTGTGAGGGTACATGTATTTCTTGAGAATGTGAACTCCCTTGATGACTGTGAGGTAGTGCTTCCTTCCATTTGCCTGTGCGGGTACATGTATTTCTTGAGAATGTAAACTCCCTTGATGACTGGGAGGTAGTGCATCATTTCATTTGGCTGTGAGGGTACATGTTTTTCTTGAGATTGTGAACTTCCTTGATGACTGTGAGGTAGTGCTTCCTTCCATTTGGCTGTGAGGGTACATGTATTTCTTGAGAGTGTGAACTTCCTTGATGACTGTGAGGTAGCGCTTCCTTCCATTTGGCTATGAGGGCACATGTATTTCTTGAGAGTGTGAACTCCCTTGATGACTGTGAGGTAGTGCTTCCTTCCATTTTGCTGTGAGGGTACATGTATTTCTTGAGAGTGTGAACACATTTGATGACTGTGAGGTAGTGCTTCCTTCCATTTGGCTGTGAGGGTACATGTATTTCTTGAGAGTGTGAACTTCCTTGATGACTGTGAGGTAGTGTTTCCTTCCATTTGGCTGTGAGGGTACATGTATTTCTTGAGAGTGTGAACTTACTTGATGACTGTGAGGTAGTGCATCATTTCATTTGGCTGTGAGGGTACATGTATTTCTTGAGAGTGTGAACTCCCTTGATGACTGTGAAGTAGTGCTTCCTTCCATTTGGCTGTGAGGGTACATGTATTTCCTGAGAGTGTGAACTTCCTTGATGACTGTGAGGTAGCGCTTCCTTCCATTTGGCTATGAGGGCACATGTATTTCTTGAGAGTGTGAACTCCCTTGATGACTAGAGGTAGTGCTTCCTTCCATTTTGCTGTGAGGGTACATGTATTTCTTGAGAGTGTGAACACATTTGATGACTGTGAGGTAGTGCTTCCTTTCATTTGACTGTGAAGATACATGTATTTCCTTCCATTTGGCTGTGAGGGTACATGTATTTCTTGAGAATGTGAACTCCCTTGATGACTGTGAGGTAGTGCTTCCTTCCATTTGGCTGTGAGGGTACATGTATTTCTTGAGGATGTGAACTCCCTTGATTACTGTGAGGTAGCGCTTCCTTCCATTTGGCTATGAGGGCACATGTATTTCTTGAGAGTGTGAACTCCCTTGATGACTGTGAGGTAGTGCATCCTTTCATTTGGCTGTGAGGGTACATGTATTTCTTGAGAGTGTGAACTTCCTTGATGACTGTGAGGTAGTATATACTTCCTTTCATTTAGCTGTGAGGGTATATGTATTTCTTGAGAATGTGAACTCCCTTGATGACTGTGAGGTAGTGCTTCCATCCATTTGACTGTGAGGGTACATGTATTTCTTGAGAATGTGAACTCCCTTGATGACTGTGAGGTAGTGCTTCCATCCATTTGGCTGTGAGGGTACATGTATTTCTTGAGAATGTGAACTCCCTTGATGACTGTGAGGTAGTGCTTCCTTCCATTTGGCTGTGAGGGTTCATGTATTTCTTGAGGATGTGAACTCCCTTGATTACTGTGAGGTAGCGCTTCCTTCCATTTGGCTATGAGGGCACATGTATTTCTTGAGAGTGTGAACTCCCTTGATGACTGTGAGGTAGTGCATCCTTTCATTTGGCTGTGAGGGTTCATGTATTTCTTGAGAATTTGAACTCCCTTGATGACTGTGAGGTAGTGCTTCCTTCCATTTGGCTGTGAGGGTACATGTATTTCTTGAGAATGTGAACTCCTTTGATGACTGTGAGGTAGTGCTTCCTTCAATTTGGCTGTGAGGGTACATGTATTTCTTGAGAAAGTGAACTCCCTTGATGACTGTGAGGTAGTGCTTCCATCCATTTGACTGTGAGGGTACATGTATTTCTTGAGAGTGTGAACTCCCTTGATGACTGTGAGGTAGTGCTTCCTTCAATTTGGCTGTGAGGGTATATGTATTTCTTGAGAGTGTGAACTCCCTTGATGACTGTGAGGTAGTGCTTCCATCCATTTGGCTGTGAGGGTACATGTATTTCTTGAGAGTGTGAACTCCCTTGATGACTGTGAGGTAGTGCTTCCTTTCATTTGGCTGTGAGGGTGTATGTATTTCTTGAGAGTATATACTCCCTTGATGACTGTGAGGAAGTGCTTCCTTCCATTTGGCTGTGAGGGTACATGTATTTCTTGAGAGTGTGAACTCCCTTGATGACTGTGAGGTAGTGCTTCCATCCATTTGGCTGTGAGGGTACATGTATTTCTTGAGAGTGTGAACTTCCTTGATGACTGTGAGGTAGTATATACTTCCTTTCATTTAGCTGTGAGGGTATATGTATTTCTTGAGAATGTGAACTCCCTTGATGACTGTGAGGTAGTGCTTCCTTCAATTTGGCTGTGAGGGTATATGTATTTCTTGAGAGTGTGAACTCCCTTGATGACTGTGAGGTAGTGCTTCCATCCATTTGGCTGTGAGGGTACATGTATTTCTTGAGAGTGTGAACTCCCTTGATGACTGTGAGGTAGTGCTTCCATCCATTTGGCTGTGAGGGTACATGTATTTCTTGAGAGTGTGAACTCCCTTGATGACTGTGAGGTAGTGCTTCCTTCAATTTGGCTGTGAGGGTACATGTATTTCTTGAGAGTGTGAACTTCCTTGATGACTGTGAGGTAGTATATACTTCCTTTCATTTGGCTGTGGGGGTATATGTATTTCTCGAGAGTATGAACTCCCTTGATGACTGTGAGGTAGTGCTTCCTTTCATTTGACTGTGAGGATACTCGTATTTCCTTCATTTGGCTGTGAGGGTATATGTATTTCTTGAGAGTGTGAACTCCCTTGATGACTGTGAAGTAGTGTTTCCTTCCATTTGGCTGTGAGGATACATGTACTTTTTGAGAATGTGAACTTCCTTGATGACTTTGGGGTAGTGCTTCCTTTCATTTGGCTGTGAGGATATATGTATATATATGATGACAAATTATACATTTTTGTATTTGTGACAAACACATCATTGGTCTCTGCAACCCGACATGTATGATGATAATGTTAGCAAGTTTTAAAATGTCATCAATGTGTACATGCATGTTACCTATAACTTATATAGTATGGATAGGGAAGATAGGGGAAAAGACTTGAATTTGGGATTTTTTATGTAATATTGTTTTCTGTGGTTATTTTCAGGAGCGCTAATAGACGACTCTAATACTCAAGCAAAGACTGCCTTCAGCTTCGCAATAATGAAGTTTAATAAAGAACTGAAAAATGAAAACAAGAAGAAATCTATAGAAATACATCTAGAATCCAACATGAAATTACATGTAGATATGTCGAATCCATATCAAGTAACGAATGAAAGTGAGTATTATTTAATTTACTGTAAATGCCATTCACTATTTTTATTGATTTATTTACCCAAGTCCTACAGATAATTTAGAGTGAAATTCCCCTAGAGATGCATCTGTCTCTGATGTTTATATCAGTAGCCACATTGTACTGTCGTGAAAGGTCAGAGAAAGCAACTAAGCAATATTATTAGGAATGACGACGCTCTCAGCATCATCAGGATGTCATAAAGGCATTGGGATATTGACGTCAATGAAAATATTGTTTAAATTGCAGAAAATGATTTTTATGCATTCATTGCCAATGCTGAGTCCTGAAATGAGAATAAATATTGTGAATTTGTGTCATTCTGCCAGGCATTTAGTCCACGCAACGCAAATAGCTTAGTTAATAAAATCCTATTTATATTCGCACAAGAGCATCAATATAGTCGTTTTGGATCATGATATCAATATTTTATTTGGTATGAATAGTTTGGAAAATGCAAATAACTGCTCGGCTATCATCAAAAAGTCGATGAATTGTGGCAACTGTTTTATATATGACAACTTAGAAATGTTTGGCTATATATTCCAATTTCAAACGGTGTGTTAATTAGGTAATCATATTTGAAATTTTCATACTTTTGAGGGCATAAAGTAGAATCTCGATTTTAAGCATGTTTTAACAGCTTGTTGGGAAGTCAGGTTGAAAACCTTTGAACTGTTACCTTGTAGTAGTTGTTTTGAACAATGTTATTCCAGTGTGTAGGCATCTTAACAGAGGAGTGTTTGCATTCATTGGGTTTGAAACATTGGAAACTTCAGATGTTATTAGATCGTTTAGCAAAAGATTCCAAGTGCCATTCATTAGTATCGGAGGACCTATCAACACAACATTTCAAGAAAACCCATACGGCCTAAGGATGCAACCGTATTACATACCAGCGGTGGTGGATATTATAGACCACAACGTAAAGGCGAATGGTTGGGATGTAGTATATTATGTCTACAACAAGGATGACATAGGTTTGTGAACACCAATGTTTAGAGTAACAAGTCTGTTCCCTATTCCTTTTGTCACTTTCCCCCTTGTGTTTCACCAGAATATTTCAGATTATGATATTAACTAACTTTTATACTGTACATATTGTATGTGCATTGCCCTTAATATATACTTGGATAAATGAAAATGTATTAGCTTGTGTATTTTAATGGTAAAATATGCCCCTCCTAAAATTTCTGTAAATAAAGTTTTATGTCAATACCTTAATGTTATCATACTTTTCTAGCCTTTTAAAAAAAGTTGCAACATTTTTTGGCACACCCTGTAGATTTCAAATATGCTATCAAAGAAAAGAAATGTTGGTCCTTAACGCATACCTCAATCTCATTAAAAGGTATACTTCAGTGAGATTCCAAAGCTGCAAAACCTCAAATGATTTTTGCTTTGTGAAATTAATTATTTTACACAGTTACCTTGCATTAAGAAACTATTGTCATTTTGATGCCTTTCTATAAACTAATTTGTAATTTAGGTATGATTCGTTTATCCCAATACTACGACTTGATGATTAAAAAAAATATCAAGGTAACCATACGTGCAGTCCCCGTCAAAGGCGTGGAGGATGCCTACAAAAGATTGCTAAACCTTGTCAAGGGGGAGATGGAGCGAGAAGAAGAAGTAAAACCCAGACGTCTTATTTTAGAACTAAGTCGGGAAGAACAACAACAGCTCATCGAAAAACACGTAATTACACTAGTGATACTTGGAATATCTACATTGTGAATTAAACACTATAATGGCGTATATTCAAAGTATACCAATACGAGTTCTCAAATACTGCAGTACTGGTAAACCACGTGATTATTTCAAAAATTTAGTAAATATAAAAAAATTAACAATTCGATTTTGAAAATTTGTTTTTGTGTGTGTGTCTGTCAATAAGATTACAAATCTGGATGAGTTGCATTCTCAGAATGATACAGATATATCTTATTGTAACAATACAACCATACGTGTTGTATATTAGCAAAATAGACTTAAGTAGTATCGATACAAATTCCATTCCTTTGATGTGTACCATTGATAATGAATTGTCGTTTGGTACGTATATGATGAAGTTTATACTTTTATCTTTATTTAATGCAGCTGAGTAGTAAGATACCGGCGTCAGCGTTTCATTACGTTCTAGGAGGAATGGTAAGTATTACTGTCTTACAAAAGTTTTCTGTTTTAATTATTCAATGACTGTGAATTTACTATACATTGATATATACCCTCAAAGATATCAATAAAATAATCAAATTATTTTGATATTCTAAGTTTGTAGGGAAGGGTACGAGTGGGGTTGGCGATTAAAAATAATTCATTTTGTAATTTCTCTTTGTGGGGATATCCTCAACAGGGAGTCTTCTACTCCTTGCATTATTTTACCTGAACTTTTAAAATGAAGAAAAAATAAATAAGAAATAATGATCATGTAATTCAAATGATAAGAGAATATCCCAACAATAATCTCAGCTGTATTTGTTTTAAAGGGCATCAATGAACTGTCAATAAAAAACTTCAAGACAGGAGGAGTAAACATCACGGGAATACAACTTATTGATAAGTCTTCCGAAACGGTTAAAACATTCCTGAAGTTATGGGCGGATCTGGACTCAAAAGAATGGAAGCAATCAGATTCAGAATTGAAGGTTGGTTGTAAAATTAAATAAATAACTATATTGATAATATTATAATAGATTGAAGAAAGCATCATCAATGAACACAATTTCTAATCAAGAAGGTGATTTAAGACTATTTCATTAACTTCAGAGCGGCTACTGTCTGAAGGAGATAAAAAATTATCAAAAAGTGCATGTGATTAGGTTAACTAAATACAGATGTCCTGGAAATAGTATTTGGTTACCAATTTATGCAAAGAAGCTTACCCCAGACACTCTATTTCATATTTTAGGCAACTAAGAAGGCTGAGATCATAAAGGTATATTTCTAATTGAGGCACAGGAATGCAATACTATTTAATTTTAATTTTTATGTTAAAAGGAAGGTAGAATTGTTTAAGTTAATAAAAAGGAATGTGTCTTCATTTTGAGCCAATAAATACGGCATATAAAACATCTACGGCATTCATTTCACTCCTTTTTTATGTTACTACCAAAAGGTGTTGACATATTGTTATGGTCTTCGTATTATTTTGACGGCGGATGGCGGTTGGCAATCGGCGTCTGTAACAAATTCTTACAACTTCCAATAATTTAACAAATATTGTGTAGACTGACTCTACAAGTTTTCAGAAGTTCAAATCTGACTTTGTATTTAAAATTTGACCTTCAATGACTTTTCCGAGGTAAAAAAGGTCAAAAGGTATTTTTTCAAGTTGACCAATTTATTTTCAAAATCATCTACAAATTCTCAAAAGTTCAAATCTGGCTATACATTTGACCTTCAATGACATTCTCAAGGTCAAAAAAGTTTACCTTCGATGACCTTGTCAAGGTCAAAAGGGAATTTTCATCTTTCTTCAAATTGACAATATTTTTTCAAAATTATCTACAAGTTCTCAAAAGTTGAAATCTGGCTATAGATTTGACCTTCAAGACCTTCTCAAGGTCAAAAAGGTCTTTTCCATCTTTCTTCAAATTGAACTTTTTTCAAATCCATCTAGTTCTTAGAAGTTCAAATCTGACTTTAGATTTGAGATTTCACCTTCAATGACCTTCTCAGGGTCAAAAAGGTTTTTTCAACTTGCTTCGAATTGGCCAATTTATTTTTTCAAAATCATCTACAAGTTCTCAGAAATTCAAATTTTACTTAAGATTGAACTCACAGGTGGTGGCATTTTGTCATGTTAATGCCTTGTTTAGCAATGAAATGAATCACAAATTTCAAAACGTTTATAGTTACACTCCACTCCATACGTTTGGCAAAAGAAAGTTCCCTTATGATCACGTTTCAAAGTCTGTTTCTGTTTGGCGATTTAGAAACATCAAATATGTCATAAAAACTATTGTAATTACTGTAAAAATTAAGATTCGAACATTCACAGGCTTTGATATGCCAATGAAAGTTTCCTGTCCCAAACTCATAGAGGGGAGTGTTGATATGCCAATGAAAGTTTCCTGTCCCAAACTCATAGAGGGGAGTGTTAACCGTATACATTTCTCAATGTTGATTCAATAAAAAAAATCAACATTGATGCAACAATGATTTTCTCAAGGATTGATTTGGTTGATTTAGTGTTAAATCAAGGTTGATTCAGGCTTGAATTAACGTTGATTCAACTCAGGGTCAATTTAATGTTGATATCAAACTTGATTCAGTGTTGATTTTTCAGGCTTGATTCAAGGTTGAGGATATCAATGTTGAATCAAGCTTGATTTTAAGGTTGATTCAGGAATGAGTTTTTTATGTTGAATCAAGCTTGATATCAAGATTAAATCAACCCCGCAGCCCCGAGTTGCCATCAACCTTGAGAAATGTTCGCTGTCTATAAGTTGTTTATTTATATATTTGTAATAACATAGAATGACACCTTCGTTCACTCGTCTCCCACAGTGAAGATTGAGCCTGCAAAGATGATGTAATGGGTGATCATTAAATATTAAACCAATATTAATATACTACTTAACAATAAAATGACATGTACTGTAAAAGTGTAACACCCATTAATACCAATTAATGTCAGATTTGAATGTACTTTTTTATAGTATGAGGCAGCCCTGGCGTATGATGCTGTAACCGTTATTTATAAAGCAGTACGTAAATTATTCGATAGAAATAGGAAGGCATTAGAGGAGGCGGGAAAGCCAATCAACTGCACATTGAGTAGCAAGTTTGACAATAAATCTGATGTTGCCCGTTATGGGCCTAAGATACTAGCAGAGCTCAGAAATGTAAGCAGAACATATAGAACATCATTGCACATATGATTGAGAAGTGTGAAAATATACTGTGAGGTTATGTTCCATGTTATGACTTAAATTTGAATTTCACGATACATGTGTGCTGATTTGTTATCATTCAATTCAATTTGCTATGATATGATATGTCTTTGTAGTGAAACTGCTATTCGACTCGTAGCTTTCTTGTTTTATTCTGACAGCAGACTCAAGATTGCTGGCTTTTCTACACACACAGTAACAACTAATTGAAAATTAACCAATTAAAAATGTGTAACTTGATTTGTTACATACACATATGACTAATGTTGATAGTTAATCGCTGTTTAGAATTATTGCTATTATTTTTTATCTCAAGGTGGCTGTGTTCAATGGACTATCAGAAAGTGTACGGTTTGACAACAAAACTGGCGAAAGGAAGGATTTTAAATTAGAACTTTTGGATACAAATATCAATAGAGGATTAGCGAGGGTAAGAAAGCATTGATCGTGTTTCTATTGGACTATTATAATAAACACTCCACAAAAGGGCATAAACATTTTTCGGTCTGTGTAATCAGTCACTATCTGGTATGTCATAATACTGTGTTTTAATATTCCAGTTTGGATATTGGGGGAGAAGAGCAAATGGCCTGACTGTCCATGGTCCTAAGTTGATCAGACCGTGGAGGGTATTTAACGAGACGAACGCAACATTCATAGTAACAACCATTCTCGTAAGTGTATCTCTCAATGTCCTTTGGATATTTCTGACCATTTCCCACATTCGCCAACTATCATAGTCGTCCTCTTGATATAGTAGTCCATGGTTTGACTCCGGGATATGCAGAATCTGTAGCACAATATAGCACAGCGACATTTGAACCAATATCTAAGGATATATTTGGTTCTTTTAAAATACCGTTTGCTGAAAAAACATCGGGCTTTTGGGTCTAAATATGTCTCATTACAAGGGGTCAGAAAATGTTAACATTTTCATTCGAGCCAAGATGTTAATCTTAGCATATTTTCAATAAATTGGATTAAAATAATCATTTAAAAATGCGTCAGTGGTTAATCAGTGTACATGTACTTACATAAATGTGCTTATTAATTTTTGTTTAATTTTTCAAATATTGGTCAAGCAGATTCAACAAAAGTGTGTGAATCATTTAAAAAATTCATATTTCAAACATATTAGGTTTTTACTCATTGAAAGTTTTATTTAAAGAATTCATCCCTATCAACACCAGGGGTCAAACAAAAAATAATTGCCTATATTTTATAAAACAATGACAAACATGTAAAATATATATACTATATTTGAAAGTTATAGAGCTATCGGAACGTCTATATGTTCAGAGGGCATGTCTTATAATGTATTATATATATAATATGAAATCAAACGACTTTCATTTCTCTTTCGACGTTTCTGCTGCATATCATCCCATTTTCTGATGGTTACATCTTCCTAGAAGTTACAGCTGGCTATTACTAGTATCACATTTTTGAGGAAAATCCAAACAATTGTTTCTCAAAGCTTCATGAATTCGACCAGGTCTTTCTTGGAAGTTGTTCTATAAACAACTGAGCAATATCTCGGAGCAAAATAAGTATAGCCGTAGCCACAATCAGTCGAGGATGAGCAAAAAGCCCTCCTTTATTGATAGTTGACCCCTGACGATGACAGTCTATATCTCAAAACGTATTAAGACCCATTTTTTAAAAACATCATACTTTTAGCATATGTCATTGTTATATAAAAATGATTCATTGGTATCATTTACATCACCAGTATTGAAAAATCAATTCAAAATGATGATGTGCTGATTACGTAACGTCAAATTCAATAACGTCAAATTAATAGTTGAGAAACCTAAAACATACTCTCAAAATTTATTTTCTGTAGCAGTGTACGTACTCCAAATTGTAAAAAGGGGATTTCACTTTTTCTAATATTTTTGACCACCGCAACTCATGTATCCTCACTCCAGTGTATTTTGTATAATCTTGTAATTTTGATATCGTTGCAGCAAAAACCCTTTATAGAGCTGAAATATCCTGAGAAGAAGGGGAATGCACGATTTGAGGGATACTGTGCCGATCTGGCTGCTCTAGTTGCGAATAAGTTGAAGATTAAGTACGAATTAAGAGTAGTTAAGGATGGGAAGTATGGTAGTCAGCTGCCAAACAAAACCTGGAATGGTATGGTCGGAGAGTTAACGAGAAATGTGAGTGCAAATGTATACATGTTGACTAGTTTAAGTGCAATTAGATTAGATTATTTTTCACAATTATGCACATTAGATTTAGATTTGAGTAAGATTTATTTTTGCAATTACAATAAATTCGTCATTCCTGTAAACCAACATGAATTAATGGTCGGTTCTCTGCAAATTAGAATAAATCTCGGAATTGTCTCACGGAATGTCTGTTCAGTGAAGTGTTCATAAAACATATTTCAAATGGATGTAGTGTCTTATGGAGGTAATTTAATTTGAAAATCATTTTCTTGTGTTATTTCAATTGGAAACATATCCTTAAAGAAGATTTTGACTTTGATGGTCTAATTTTTTAAATCCACATTATGCTATATTTACGAAAACTTGTCCCATTATTTGATTTGAGGTAAAGGCAGTATTTTCAATAGGTTTACTCGAATATATTCAGATGTAGTTATATTGAACATAAAGTAATTTCTTCACTTCAACCTAGTTGCCTTATCGTACCCTAATTATTGTTTCAGGAGATAAAGAAACACTTTAACATCAGTATACAGTTGCTAAACTTTTAAAGTATAGGGTAGCTTGCATTTGATGTACTAAATATATAGCCAAATGGATGAAAAGCAAAAGTAAAAAACACAGAAAGACAAAGAAAATCTAAGAGTAGAACCAGTCAATAGAAATTACATCTCAAACAACAATTTGAATCAAGCATACGAAGAAACTGTGTAACGTTCCACTTTCCTTAGATTCATGAACCATACGAAAAACTGTATATCGTTCTCGTTTTCTTAGATTCATAAACCATACGAAGAAATACGAAGAAACTGTAAAACGTTCACCTTCAAGACTGTGCAATTATTTAAATTGCAGTTCATCGTATGCAACACTATTTTTTTATAGGAAGCTCAAATTGCTATTGCACCATTAACAATCACCTCACAGCGTGAGAAAGTCATAGGGTTCTCGAAACCATTCATGAGTGTGGGGATAAGCATCATGATCAAGAAACCCGACAAAGCAGTCCCAAGCGTCTTCTCATTCCTACGACCCCTCTCCTATGAGATTTGGATGTGTATAATATTTGCCTTCGTTGGTGTGAGTGTTGTCCTGTTCCTAGTAAGTAGGTTTAGTCCATACGAGTGGCACGTCGAGGATACCGATGAAGGATTTGAAGTGACAAATGATTTCTCAATTTGTAACAGTCTTTGGTTCTCATTGGGCTCCTTTATGCAACAAGGTGGCGACGTGAACCCAAGGTAGGATTCTGAAACTCATGACAGATGCTTACTTAAATGAAGAACATCTATCATATGTTATTTCTATATAAAACACCGGGCAAGAGAATTAAAAAAGAAGTTATTATATTAATTACATTAAGCTAGTATATTAATATCATTCTGTTATCATTGATGTAGCTAAAGCTGAAACCTTATTTCAGATCAATGTCTGGTCGTATTGTTGGAAGCGTCTGGTGGTTCTTTACTCTTATTGTCATATCTTCATACACTGCTAACCTAGCTGCGTTCCTCACATCTGAGAGAATGAACGCGCCCATCGAATCAGCCGAAGATTTAGCAAAACAGTCAGCAATTAAATATGGATCGGTTATTGGTGGATCGACATTGGCTTTCTTTAAGGTATGATTTTTGCTCGCAGCTTGGCCTCCGTAATTAGGATATAAATTATATCCAACCCGTTTCTTAGATTTGGTATAAATTCCCGAGTGTTTCAGATAAACATATGTTCATTCATCATATTGATATTTTTGAAAGTACATGTCTAAGCATGATCCATGGACAAATAAATTCAGTTGTCTTATGGTTACCTAATTTGTTTCACTCCCTGATTTAAATTATATCCATAAGTTCTATCATAAAACGCCATTTTCTATATTATTTCCCTTTGTAGACGTCGCGCATGCAGACATATGAACGAATGTGGAACTTCATGAAGACAACCACTCCAACTCCATTTGTAGACACTAATAAAGAAGGCATTGAGAGAGTTCGAAAGGAAAAAGGCAAATATGCCTTTCTTCTCGAATCGACCATGAACGAATATGAAAATAATAGATATCCATGTGATACGATGAAGGTTGGGAGTAATTTGGACTCTAAAGGATATGGTATAGGAACACCATTGGGCTCTCAGTTAAGGTAAGCAGTAATTTGGACTCTAAAGGATATGGTATAGGAACACCATTGGGCTCTAAGTTAAGGTAAGCAGTAATTTGGACTCTAAAGGATATGGTATAGGAACACCATTGGGCTCTCAGTTAAGGTAAGCAGTAATTTGGACTCTAAAAGATATGGTATAGGAACACCATTGGGCTCTTAGTTAAGGGTAGCAGTAATTTGGACTCTAAATGATATGGTATAGGAACACCATTGGGCTCTGCGTTAAGGTAAGCAGTATTTTGGACTCTAACGGATGGTATAGGAACACCATTGAGCTCTTAGTTAAGGTAAGCAGTATTTTGGACTCTAAAGGATGGTATAGGAACACCATTGGGCTCTAAGTTAAGGTAAGCAGTAATTTGGACTCTAAATGATATGGTATAGGAACACCATTGGGCTCTCAGTTAAGGTAAGCAGTAATTTGGACTCTAATGGATATGGTATAGGAACACCATTGGGCTCTTAGTTAAGGTAAGCAGCATTTTGGACTCTAAAGGATGGTATAGGAACACCATTGGGCTCTAAGTTAAGGTAAGCAGTATTTTGGACTCTAAAGGATATGGTATAGGAACGCAATTGGGCTCTCAGTTAAGGTAAGCAGTAATTTGGACTCTAATGGATATGGTATAGGAACACCATTGGGCTCTAAGTTAAGGTAAGCAGTAATTTGGACCCTAAAGGATATGGTATAGGAACACCATTGGGCTCTCAGTTAAGGTAAGCAGTAATTTGGACTCTAATGGATATGGTATAGGAACACCATTGGGCTCTTAGTTAAGGTAAGCAGTATTTTGGACTCTAAAGGATGGTATAGGAACACCATTGGGCTCTCAGTTAAGGTAAGCAGTAATTTGGACTCTAATGGATATGGTATAGGAACACCATTGGGCTCTTAGTTAAGGTAAGCAGTATTTTGGACTCTAAAGGATGGTATAGGAACACCATTGGGCTCTTAGTTAAGGTAAGCAGTAATTTGGACTCTAAATGATATGGTATAGGAACACCATTGGGCTCTGCGTTAAGGTAAGCAGTATTTTGGACTCTAACGGATGGTATAGGAACACCATTGAGCTCTTAGTTAAGGTAAGCAGTATTTTGGACTCTAAAGGATGGTATAGGAACACCATTGGGCTCTGCGTTAAGGTAAGCAGTATTTTGGACTCTAACGGATGGTATAGGAACACCATTGAGCTCTTAGTTAAGGTAACCAGTATTTTTGGACTCTAAAGGATGGTATAGGAACACCATTGGGCTCTAAGTTAAGGTAAGCAGTAATTTTGACTCTAAAGGATATGGTTTAGGAACACCATTGGGCTCTTAGTTAAGGTAAGCAGTAATTTTGACTCTAAAGGATGGTATAGGAACACCATTGGGTTCTTAGTTAAGGTAAGCAGTAATTTGGACTCTAAAGGATGGTATAGGAACACCATTGGGCTCTTAGTTAAGGTAAGCAGTAATTTTGACTCTAAAGGATGGTATAGGAACACCATTGGGTTCTTAGTTAAGGTAAGCAGTAATTTGGACTCTAAAGGATGGTATAGGAACACCATTGGGCTCTTAGTTAAGGTAAGCAGTAATTTTGACTCTAAAGGATGGTATAGGAACACCATTGGGTTCTTAGTTAAGGTAGGCAGTAAAATGTACTCTAAAAGATATGGCATACGAAAACCATTTCCCATACATGCAAAACTACATTAAATATTTACCCCAAACTACCGGAATTTGATAGAAATCTATCACAAGACTACTTACATATATGTCATAAAAGTAACCACATTGTTCAACATTCGTCGGCATATTAGAAAGTTATGAGAGTAAAAAATTACAACTAATTTTTATGATTTCATATTTTAGTGAGCCCATTACTCTGGCTGTGTTGGAAGCCTTGGAAAATGGGGAACTCCTTAAGCTTGAAAAGAAATGGTGGCTCTCTGAAGAAAACGTTTGTAAGCAGGATGATGGAAAACCTAAGGTACAGATACACCATCGTTTCTTTAACTGCTTTTTATGTTATAAAACAATGTACCGGTAGACCATTTCCATACGTCTATACCTTGCTGCTATGGTTTTAGATATTCACATACGTACTTCACTCATCATTCATGTCGGGCATATTTGCAGCTAGGCCTGTTTAGATGGCCAATTTGAAGTAAGGCCTGTTCATATGGCTTGTTTGCAGTTAGGCCTGTTTACATGGCTTGTTTGCAGTTAGGCCTGTTTATATGGCTTGTTTGCAGTTAGGCCTATTTATATTGCTTGTTTGCAGTTAGGCCTGTTTATATTGCCTATTTGCAGTTAGGCCTGTTATGGTTTCCGGACAACTCGGACCCAGGACAACTCGGACCCTGGACAACTCGGACCCAAGACATCTCGGACCCAAGACAACTCGGATCACTTTTTGAAATGATGATTTTTATCATTATATTTGGTTTTAATTATTTTTATGTTTATTTTGACATATATTATATATTGTGAATTAATATATTATGTTAATTTGATGAAATTGTTTTAAATTAATGTTTTGATGAGAGTTAAGAAGTAAGAAATTATTGGAGCTAAAGACCCAAGACAACTTGGACCACTTTTTGAAATGATGGTTTTTATCATTGTGTGGGGTTCTAATTTTTTGTTTAATGTTTTTTTTACATATATTATATATTGTTAATTTATATATTTTGTTAATTCGATGAAATTGTTTTAAATTAAATCAACTATAATTTCAAAAGATGGCCCGAGTTGTCTTGGGTCCTCAGCTTCAATATTCTCTTACTGGTCTTCCTTCATAACTTTCATCAAATAAGTCAAATTAAAACATTTTCATCAAATTAATACAAAATATGAAGTCACAATATATAATATATGTATTAATTTTCATAAATGAAAATAAAACCACACATAATGATAAAAATCATAATTTTAAAAAGTGGTCCGAGTTGTCTTGGGTCCGAGATGTCTTGGGTCCGAGTTGTCCAGGGTCCGAGTTGTCCTGGGTCCGAGTTGTCCAGTTACCCTGTTTATAAGTCCTACCTGCCCTTGGACCTGTTTAAATGGTCTGTTTGCAGTTAGGCCTGTTTATATGGCTGACACACAATTAAATTTGAGCCACTCTCAAAGATCATGGTGTGTTTCACTTATCGCAGCTTACTGTTATTGGCTGTTATACCGTTACTTTTTGGTTTAATGCAATGACACAAAATGTAACTTATATATTTCAATATAAAGTACTTGTTTTCTTTTCAGGATGCATCAGAGAATGCCTTGAAAATGGCAAATGTTGCTGGGATATTCTATATCATGTTAGTTGGTCTATGCATTGCCATAGTTGTAGCCCTGCTTGAATTCATTTACAAATGTAACGCAGAAGCTAATAAAAAGAAGGTAAATGCGAAAATTCCCTTAGATTATTTTATATTCTGAGAACATTCAAATATTCTACCTTACATGTGCTTGCGTGAAAAAAATGTCATCAGTCTTATAACTGCTATAAAATAAATGATATTATTGTATATTTATCATCCACAGGTGTAACAATTACCGTACAGAAAAGTATTGTATTTATATTGCACAGAACGAAGTTTAAAATAAATATGATTGTATTTTTGCAGACCAGTCTATCAGCTGCCATAAAAGCTAAGTTCAACCTGGCTATAAAGGGAAATGTCGAGTATGATGAAGCTCAACAGGGAGAGGAGATTCAAAAATCCATGTCGACGGTAGAGATTTGTAAATCTTCCACCGTACAGACGCTTATCTAACACCTTGTTGTGACGTCATGGTTGCTTGCGCTTTTGCTCACTACGTGGTTAGCATGTTCAGCTTTTATTCCTACCCGTGTATAGAATGTCAAATTATCTAAATTTGTGAATATCATCATTTGTCATCATTCTGGTCTATTGAGTTTTCCATTTTTATTGCATATAGTGATTCCTCTGCACTAATTAGTTTTACATCATATCTAACTACTTCATATAACCTCTCATTTTATTAAATATTTTGGGAGTTAACTCTTTGACATTTTATCCATGGGTTTTACCTTGCATCTATTAAATGCTTTTAGATATCGTTTGTATATTTTGCATGCTGTTTCTGCATATGAATCACTCACCATTGTGAGCATGAATGGCTGCTTCTCGTGTATTTCACATTTGCTACATGTATGGCTTGCTTTTAGAAAATATATTTATTGTTAGGTTTACTATGATTATTGCATAATGCGTCTAAAATATTACGTCAACAATACGAAATGTCCCACGACGTTTTACAGTCTTACACAGATCTTCGTTTGTAAAAGTATGCAACCTGATTTTTTGATGGCTGTTGCTGTTTTGATTTTAAATATTTTACGATGTACTGAGGTTTGCGATGTTTTGTTCTTCAAATGTTGCTCTTTGCGTTTTATCATTCAATGTACGGTGCAAAGTGTTAGGGTTTTATGTCACCACCAAAAAGTGGTGACATATTGTAATGGTCTCAATTTTTGTGACGGCGGTTGGGGATCAGTGGGCTGCGGTTGGTGGTTGGCGGGCGTCTGAAACAATTCTTACAACTTGCAATAACTTAACAAATACTGTTTAGACTGACTTCAATTTATTTCGAAATCATCTACACGTTTTCTGAAGTTCAAATCTGACTTTAGATTTAAGATGTGACCTACAACGACCTCCTGGAAGTAAAAAAGGTTATCTACAAGTCAATCATCTACAAGTCCTCAAAAGTTCAATTCAGACTATAGATTTGAAATTGACCTTCAATGACCTTCTCAAGGTCAAAAAAGTATTTCCCCAACTTGCCTCAAATTGACCATTTCATTTCATTTCAAGTTCTCAGAATGTCAAATCTGACTTTAGATTTGAGATTTGACCTTCAAAGATGACATTCTTAAGGTCAAATATTGTGAGCAACTAGGTGGTGACATTTTGCCATGTTAATGCCTTGTGTACGTGTTCATTTAGATGTGTTGCAAAATTGTGTTACAACATCTAAAGAAGGGCTGGGCTGGATAACACAGTAAACAACAACTTTAAAATGATTGATTGTGAATAACACTTACATTATACAATGGAGCTAATCCCTTACTAATACACTCACAAAACGGTGGAGATTTTACTCAAAATGCCACGCCATATTTTATCCTAGATGACGTCATGAGTAAGTGTACTAAATGAAATGACAACACAATACTTTTTCAGTACAATTTCGACGATGTTTCTCTCTATTTTTCTCTCTTAATTATTCAGTTTCTCTGCGACCCATTGCAGTTTGAATTTTTGTCGATGTTTTTCGTTTATTTTCAGTTCACATACGCTGCCCCACAGCCTCTGATTGGATTCGAGGCGTACAACGCTGATAGTAACACGCATACACAAGTATAAACAATGGCCTAACATGCGAACGCTGAATACTACCAATGATAAGACAGAGGAACTGAAGACTGTTTCGTACAGTGGAAATGAAGTGTTAAATAACACGAATGTATTGCAAAAACTACAAAACCTAAAATTGGGCAACAGTTTGTGATAAAAGTGTAACATTTCTGAACATATACAGTAATGAACGTATCAGCTTCATTCAATATGGTGCAAGACAAAAGTCTCACATAAAAAAGATTCGTACGATGCAGCTATTGTTGAAATTGTATCAAATAAATTATTCGTACAATGCTATCAGTGAATGTTGGGGCGAATATGAACTTCAGAGACCGTTATATCCCTGTATTACTATATGTCGACAATGTTGATTATCAGAGGGCCATTCTGATTTGATTACAAAGCAAAGTGATTTTTGTAAATAGTGAAACATGATTTATTACATGTTATATTTGTACATAATTAAATTAAAATATGCATGGTATTTCTTTAAGATATACTCAGTATTAATAATAGCATTGCACTGTGTAACAGTTTTTAAAGCATCCGATACATTTGTTCTTGTTAATTTGTTGTTATGGATAGTCTTGTAAGATATGCGGATATCAAACTGGTTATATGCAATATAAGAAAAAGAGCCATCTGTGATTGCATTTGTTAGTTTACTAAGTACGTGTTTACAACATGGTATCCATATATTTGTCAATGTACAGATATACTATCCATATCATTCATATTTAACTGTCAACCGGTCAACTTTAAATTCTGGAATAGTTTGAGCGGTTTCTCATTAATCCTGGGATATATAATTCACACGTTCACGTACATGTACAAGTTAAAATGTGTAACCAATGTGTCTAGAACGCAGCTGTCATGTAAGAGTATGACAATCGGTGTGAGTAATCAATAGACTAGATGCGAGTAGACATAATCTTAATTTATGTCATTCAAAATTCAGTCAAGCCGATGTCATATTTGGAATTTACATGTAAAATTACATCTAGAAATGTGGTTTCGAAAAGAGTTTATCAAGGTTGAAAATTTAATTTTCTTTGAAAGGCGTTGCAAAATCACAAAAAGTGAGATATTTTTTCTTGTGTTTGGCAGATAACATTTTCCTTTACTGGACATATTTTAATTTGTATAAAACTATCAGATACATATAATATAATAAGGGTCATATAAAAAGTGAACCACTAAAACTGATAATATTTAAGTTAAAGGGAACTTTGAAAAAGCCGGTCATGTTATTTCGCCCCAATTAGCCACCTGGTTGCGAAACTGGTAACTACCTACTCGCATCTGAGTAATTCCCAATGTGTCAAATATCTTATATTATACGTGTAACAATTTTAAACTGAAACACTATTGTCGGTCCTTTCCTTTGGAATTTTTGCCCGGCCATTAGCTACGGGTCTGTAAAGTTATATGTATAAGGCTGGAAAAAATTGAAGGTTTTTTTAATTTGCTTTAAGGCATATATTGCAATACTAGGTGCACGATAAATAAAATAATGATATTTAAAGTTTTAAAAAATCGTTTGTAAAACAGTTGTGCACCAAGCTAGCAAAAAGGGTCAAGCTTGTGGAATGACAACATATTATTGATCTTATTCGAGTCTCAATTTATCAAGTGCTTCAGTACGACGGTCCTCTTGTTTTTACATTCAGTACCCACAATGTAAGCTACATATGTAAATGTCTTTATGATTATGACTTCTAAGTAATGTTGTTTACTTTATTACAGTGGTCCCTAAGTGATGAAGCAAGGGATGAGGTTGGTTTGTGAATAATAATTATGATTATCATTTGTTTCCAAATAATTCTCAAATCGTGCTTTATTTGTTCATAATTTTTTTTATTAAAAGTGTCAAATATACAGAACAATGGAGCCAGTTATATCTTAATGATCAAAAATGAATCCTAACTGACTTTATTGATTAAAGGTTCGTCAAGATGCGATCTATTTAAAGACTGAAAGAAATATAACAACAATACTAGAATAGTATGTTCTTTATGATTATATATATTTCATGATTATAATGTCTTCAATTATGCAAAGTGCATACAACAATTATTGTAAAATATCCAAAATGTAAATAAAAATGTATACACTGAAAAAAATATGAAAAAAAATTAAGCTACACACATGATAGATTAAAATGTTTCTAAATTTTAAAAATATTTACGATCAAAAAATCGTCTTCATGTATACAGGCACGGGGTCCTGTATCTAAATACATAATACTCAAAACTAAATAACTGCAGCAAATTATTTTGATTATATATCACATTTACTATCTAACTGTATCATAATTAGTGTATAATCTATTCTCAGCTATCAACATTACTTTTTTTAGTATTTACAAATGACCAAAATTTGTTCCTTAAATGAACCTTTTGTCATACGTTTTGATTTGATTGATTAAAACAATGATATGTCAGGCCTTACTCATACATTTGTAAAAATAAATATTAAAAAATAGATAATTGTTAATTTTAGCAAGTTCTTTTATCTTTTGACTGAGAAAAAACTTTTTATGCTTTTCTGGTTGGATTGTCTAATATTTGTTTTCCTTAGAGATTTCCTTTTCTTAGATTTGGTTTTTGAATCTGAACCAGTACATGCAGTACTATGATCTCCAGTACATGCAGTACTATGATCTGAGACTACATTTGAACTTGTGCTAGCACTTGTATTCTCATTTTTATCTGCACTTGAATTGATGGTTAAACTCACCATGCTTTGGCTTTCATAGGCATCAGGGATATCTTCTAATAGAATTTCAATATCACTTTCTGGATCAGAAGCCAGTTCAATAATATCATTTCCGCTATCATTATCCAAAGATTGATTTGATGATACACTGGTTTTGCTAATTGTACTTACTGCTTTTTTACCAAGGGGACCAGCCTTTGTTCTATTACGTTTTGGTGTGTCACCCATCGTTGTAGAGATCTTTATATCAGACTCTGATGTATTGTCTGACTTAGATAATTTTTCCTTTGAGATTATCTCGTTTTCAGTCCCAATGTCAATTAATGTAACTGCTTTTTTTACCAAGGGGACCAGCCTTTGGTCTATTATGCTCTGGTGTGTCACCCATCGTTGTAGAGATCTTTATATCAGACTCTGATGTATTGTCTGACTTGGATAATTTTTCCTTTGAGATTATCTCGTTTTCAGTCCCAATGTCAATTAATGTAACTGCTTTTTTACAAAGGGGACCAGCCTTTGGTCCATTATGCTCTGGTGTGTCACCCATCGTTGTAGAGATCTTTATATCAGACTCTGATGTATTGTCTGACTTGGATAATTTTTCCTTTGAGATTATCTCGTTTTCAGTGCCAATGTCAATTAATGTAACTGCTTCTTTACCAAGGTGACCAGCCTTTGGTCTATTATGTTCTGGTGTCTCACTTATCTTTGTTTGGAAGTTCACAGCTGTTGACTCTGATGTACTCACATCAAAGAGATTCCTTCTGACTCTTGTCTTATGGGTCCAATAATGCTTCATTTGTGATTGTCCCTCCAACACTGTGTCTGTTTTCCTCTTCTTGGCACTACTTCTGGGAGATTTTGCACGCTTCTTGGCAGCTTTTTGGGCAACTGAAATAAGAGTAAAATAAAGATTGAAACATTTTGCCTGTTTGTGTTACTAAAGGTAGTGATAAAACATTCATCATATTTTTCAAAAAATCTACTATTGTCTAATACACAAATCCATGAAGAACCTTACTTATCACCGAAGAATACGGCTCAATTTCAAAGTTTTTAGAAAAAAGCATGATTTTTGATTTTGGAACGAGAGAACAAGATATATGCAGGTTTCTTATATCAAAGTAACATTTTATATGTCATTTGAAGAATGTAATCCTATTTTCTTTACTTTATTGCCTATATTTACTGTTATTGAAAATTGTATATTGGATGTACGTTTGGCCCTAAAAGGGCATCAGTACTAATAAAATCCTATCATTATATGATCTTTGATTCTCAGATTACTATGTAAAATACTTCATGTAACAAACCATTTTCTTCTTTTAACTTGTTGTATTCACTCAACTTCTCAGGGAACTGCTGATTGAATGCATCCTTTCTCACCAAAGTAACATAATATTCATCTTTGGTCCATACATCCTCATCTGGAAGGCAAAAAACAGAACTAATTATTTTATTGAAATACAAAGTTAGCATGGAGCTTTCCATTGCAGGTTTCAAATTCAAACTGTTGTCTTAGATTTCCATGTAAAATATCAAAATACAAACTTACGGTAGCCTCAACTTTTTGTGCCGGATATCAAGTTACAAAATTTGTCAGATATCTTTAGCTTCAGTTCTCCACGTAACAGATCATAATGCAATCTTAGTCTCATTTTAATATGTATGATATCAAATCATGAATTTCAATTTTAGGCAGGCCCGTAGCCAGGGGGGGGGGGCCAAAAAATCTTTCAAAATCATGCAGCTTGTCACCATTCTGAGCAGTTTTTAAGTGATTTTGGCCATTTTTGGACCAAGATTGTCACAAGTGAACCCCCCTGGAATTTTTCAAAAAGTAACCCCTCCCCCTTGGCAAATCCTGGCTACGGGCCTATTAGGTAAACCTCTACATTTAAAGATGAACCTCTAAAGGCTTATATCTACATGAAGATAGGTTCACCTAAGAATTTTGGGTTATTTCCTCCTCTTTATCCCTACCTAATTTGTTCCACTCCACTTCATATTTGGCTACTGACTTCAAAATCCTCTCCTTAACAATCCTACAAGCAAACACATGCACTGACTGACATCTTCATTCAATGAAGAACAAATAAATTATTCAGTTTTGAAAAGAAGTAATTGCAAAATTTGCAAAAAGATAAGATGCTAACATATTTTGACCAAAACATAAGCACAAATTGGATTCAGCAGCATCCTGTTTTAAACAAACTTGGGGCTGGGAAGATCACTGCTGGTGTTACCATGTACATTTACTCTAGTCTTCTGTCTTTGAAAACATATCACAATAGACTAAAAATCAATATGTTTCTCATTTGCAAACAAGATTTACAGTCAACCTGGGCTTATTTTTCATTTGTATAGAAAAACGTACATACTGTAGAGATAATACTTATAGGCTATAGAATGTATATAAAAAATCAGCTAAAATGATTACCTGTGTGGAATCACAAAATGTTTTGCTTGATTACGGACTGCTGTAGATCTTGGTACTTGCATTTGCCAAGCAATTAAAAGAGGCAGCACCTTTTTTATAACTTTGTCACTTGTCCAGTTTAACCATTCTTCACCAAAATCCTAAAATGCATGCCCCCTTTATATTTTACAATAAAGATAACATAAAGTAGAAAAAACGTCATGCTTTACTTAAGCACTATCATGTGTGTGTTTGCAACTCAAATTATCAACTGGTGGGCCAAAAACATCCATATTGTCCAAAGATGATTTAACTGGGGATAATAATGTAGAGATGAAAGCACACAAAAAATCTGTTAAAATGTTTGTACCTGTACTTACAATCATATCTTTGAGTTTTGGTCTCTGCCAATCCACATTTTTATCGACATTTCCTATGTCTGGCTTCAAAAACTCATCAATAACCTCCTGGGGAGGAAACCCATCAGCTTCAACAGCCCTTTTACGAAGGCGCATCTCCAATGAATGACTTTTAAAATTGGAATGATTCAAATGCCAATTACATTGACATACAGAGTCTGAATCCTGCTCCAAGCATGACATCTCAGTTCCGCAAACTTGGCAGCCATTTTGTTCATGTATGGGTTTGCTTCCAGGGTGTCCACAGTTCCCACAATGAGCTGGCTTCTTTGCATCCTTGTATCCTTGTAGAGTTTTGTACCTTTCAGATTCAGTTTTCCATTCAATAAATCTGAAAAGGCCATATTCAATGAATATTAAATAGAGTATGAGGGTACATAAAATGCACCATTCAAAGCACATTCACAAGCTAGCAACATACTTTAGTAAGTCTTTCAAAGTGAGTTTGGTTTTTGTATATCATGGATACCCCATGAAATACACAGTACCTATTACAATAATTAATTTTTTTCAAATAGAGCGCCAAACAACAGAAAAAGGGAAAATTGAACCTCCCACTGTGGGATTTTCTAGTTTATGCCCCCAGTTGGGCATTAGTTCACACAAATGACAATTTTATCAGTATGAAAAGTGTTGGTGGACAGACATCGGTGATTGGGCAATGCTTCACCAAATAAAATTGACATAATTTCAAACACTGAACAACAGCATTTCATGCAACTTAATTAATTGTATTGGAAAGTCCTTCAATGTTCCATCCAGTCCTTTAGTATATTACTTTGGAAGTGAAACAAAATATATTAAAAGTATTATGCACAGGCATTCATCATTATAGACAGGAAAACATCATATACAGTACCTCTGAATTAAGTCTGTCCCTGGAGGCAACTTCTTGACCAATGAATGTGCCTTTTCAACACCAACATTCTCAACCCCATCATAATAGTCACACCCTGTTAGTAGGGCCAGCCCAATCAAATTACGCTGATTCAAATTCAACTCCTTTTCAATGTCTTTCATTTCATAAGCATTAACTGTCTAAAAGTAAAAAACTATTAATTTAGTATTTTAAATCTTACTTTATCTTTATCAATGCTCATTTCACAAATGGCCAAAAGGTGGAGGTGAAGTGTTCACATTTAAAGGTATTTATTGAGAGAAATGTTCACAAACACAACTTTTACTGTATGATATGAAGAACCTTGATACCTGAAAGAAAACAATCTAGAGTACAATGTATGTAACTGTAAATACCTTCTCTTCCATGGAGAAACGATACACTTTTGTAGCGCCATATAGAAATGCATCACCATCTTCTGTCATACAGGCATCAACACACTACAAGCATTTACAGTACATTTACTTAGGCATCAACACACTACAAGCATTTACAGTACATTTACTTAGGCATCAACACACTATGAGCATTTACAGTACATTTACTTAGGCATCAACACACTATGAGCATTTACAGTACATTTACTTAGGCATCAACACACTATAAGCATTTACAGTACATTTACTTAGGCATCAACACACTACAAGCATTTACAGTACATTTACTTAGGCATCAACACACTATGAGCATTTACAGTACATTTACTTAGGCATCAACACACTATAAGCATTTACAGTACATTTACTTAGGCATCAACACACTATGAGCATTTACAGTACATTTACTTAGGCATCAACACACTACAAGCATTTACAGTACATTTACTTAGGCATCAACACACTATAAGCATTTAAAATACATTTACTTAGGCATCAACACACTATAAGCATTTAAAATACATTTACTTAGGCATCAACACACTATAAGCATTTAAAATACATTTACTTAGGCATCAACACACTATAAGCATTTACAGTACATTTACTTAGGCATCAACACACTATAAGCATTTAAAATACATTTACTTAGGCATCAACACACTATAAGCATTTACAGTACATTTACTTAGGCATCAACACACTATAAGCATTTACAGTACTTTTACTAAGGCATCAACACACCGTAAGCATTTACAGTACATTTACTTAGGCATCAACACACTATAAGTATTTACAGTACATTTACTTAGGCATGTTTCATGTGCTTTCAAAATGACTATCATAAACAAATTTCGTAACCAACCACTAAAACAACAATCTAAATCTAACAAATACTACATTTTCTTGTCTTGAATGTATTATTAATGTTAAATCAGACATTGTTGTTGTGGCAATACTATTTTTGATACGTACTAATTACATTTTCAAGATAAATACACAATAACATAGAAGTTGAGAAGTTTGATTGTAATACCTTGTTTGCATTGAGTTGAGCACACAAAGCCTCTGCCTCTCCTCGACTCCACACAAATTGTACACCAAGGCAGGCAAGTAAATCACAACACTTGAAATAGCAAAAAAGGTACATGAACATATTATTCACATTATCAGATTACAGAAAAATATTAATTCAGATATTGTTCAATTGAACTGTGAAAATGAACTCTAATTAAAACACTCATATTTGCCTCACCTATTCTATTTATAATCCTATCATAATATTGTTTTCAAATATATTGTATAATGTGCCCCATAAGCCTAAAATAGCACTGGTGATCCACTCGATTACGCTGGTTACCAAAACGAACCGTTTTGGTAACAAAATGTCGGAACGTTGAAGGCACGATTTTCCTTTTTTCCTTATTTCACGCGTTGTAGGCAGAATCCCCACGACGTTTTTTCTCACAACGTGCAGCAGTATCATATGTTTTAGAAAATGTACATGTTTGCGAAAAAATAGCTCAGAGGACAACAGAATCGTCGATTTACTTCCTCACTTAAGTTACATAAACGGTTTTTCGAAAAACAGTTAAGATCTGCACTTTTAACCCAAACCGTTTATGTAACTTAAGTGAGGAAGTAAATCGACGATTCTGTTGTCTTCTGAACTATTTGTTCGCAAATATGTACAATTTCTTAAACATATGATACTGATACACGTTTGTGTTAAATAATGTCGTGGGAATTCTGTCTACAACGTGTAAAATAAGGAAACGAGAAAATCGTACCTTCCGGATGTTCCGACATTTTGTTACCAAAACGGTTCGTTTTGGTAACCAGCGTAATCGAGTGGATCACCAGTGAATAGGCTGGGTATTCTATACGAGGCACTTAAATAAATAAATATACATACATACAGGGTGATCCAGAAGTAACGTCAAAGATGTTGTAAGGGGCAGGGAAAGTACCGCAACAGACTTTTGACAGTTGATATTTTTTTTGTGAGTAGTTTCTGGCTGTAAAAAATAAATGGATATGAAAGGCCAATCTATAATCTCCAAGAAAAGTTTAAAGAATAGCTTCCAGATCAATTGGATTATCTTATAATCCATGTTTAATCCACCCATCAACAAGCTTTTTCAGAATACATTTGTCATTTTCACCATCGTCCCTCATTTTTTTTACAATTTTTCATGCAAAATTACATTGTACTTGAACACATGTTTCATCATGTAAAATATATAAGGAACTCCATGAAGTTTGTTTTTGAGTTTTTTTGGAAAAAATGAACCTCTTAAAATGCATGTTTACATAAATAATTTAAAAGTGGTGTAAAAGATGGCAATGTTTTTCAATAATATCATACATAGTTGTGTGATTTACTCATGTGTGTTGAATTTTAATCCTGCATTCACTGACTGAGTTAGCCTGTTGAAAAGCCATAGAGATTAAGAATACAAACAGTAATACTATGAATACCAGCTCATATAGAGCTTTTAGGGTCCTATGTTGAGGAATCAAGAGAAACCATTAGTGCAAGCAATTAAATGTAACCATCATCCGAACATCACCCGAAAAGTACTTAAATGGTGAAAAACTGCAGGATGTTGATAGAAAATGTGGCTATGGGAGTGGGGCGACTCTCAACCAATGAGGCCATATACATATCATAATTTCTCAAACACAGTTATGAGGGGGAGGGAGTATCTTACATTGACCTTTTGAGATGCTCCCTAAGTTTCCAGTGTTGTTTTGTTGGCCTTTTTTATAAGAGTTCATGTTTTCTTTAGTATTGAATTAATTAAAGAGGTTAGGGCGGCTGCTCGCCCCTCCCCTCCCATGGCCAGAAATTATTTCAATCATTTTTAGCCAAAACTTTCAAAAAACTCCCCTTGGCAAAAGTGCCCCCCCCTCCCCTCCCTAGTTAACCCTTAAACGTTTTTTTGTTTTTAACACCCTCTAAAGGTTTTTGGGGTCCGTTTGGACCCCTAGATATATTTTGCAATTTCTTTGCAACCAGAGAAGAATTTTTAATTCTGACTTCAGTTTTATATAGGTTAATCTATTACCTTTCAGAATATGTATGCATTATTTATCATGAATGCATGGAAATATGTGTAAACCTAATCGTAAGGGGTCAGGTGTTTTAGCATTTATATATAACACTGTATTAATTGAATATGTTTCAGTGATAGTGATGTTCTTTGGCCTCAGGTAGCACAAAAAGTCATAATGCGATCTATATGTGGTTTGTTTTATCTGACAGGAATTGAATTAATTGAGGATTAGATGGAATTTCATGTTGATAGAATGATTGATATAATTATTGCAAAAACCATTTAAGGGTTAAACTGCTCCCCCTGGTTAAAGCTGGCTAGGGCCTGTAATGTTCGAGAAATGTGTTACACAAGCTGTGTAACTCACTTGTGGGAGAACTTGAATGAGTACTATTATGACCCTCGGGATTGTTGTTATCTCTCAGCTGATTTAACTTGGGACATTTGTAATGATGTTTTCCCTTACATTTTCATTCATCAATCAGGCAAATGAAGGCAAGTGATTGAACCAATAGGGGACCATAAGTTTACGCGTTTCATGTGGACGTTCATCAAAATAGTACAATCTTAAGCTCCCTAATAACTGAAATATTTGACTCAACAACTGACCCTATAGAATCATTTTTGTGTATATTTGTTTTCTTTAAAATGTGGAAGAAAACTGGACATTTCGTTAAAAATATGTTATTTTAAACCCTAGGATGAAAAAAATAATTTTCTTCATCCTAGTGTAAACCATAGAAATGATGATTGTGGTTAACAACAAGATAGTACACACCACACACTCAATGGAATTGATCGTGATTTTCAGAGACTCTCAATGATTATATGACATTAAGGTAAGTGTGTATGTTGGAATATCTATGCAATCAACATTGGAGACACATGTTGTTTTTTCAGGAACGCATAACTCATTCCATATATGATGTTCATCTTTTAGTTTTGCATGGAGGTCAGAGAGTGCACTAATATACCTTTGAAAGAGTACAGAGAATCATGGTTTTATAAAATGTTAAAAAATGAGAAAGTTCAGTTACTTACTTTTTAAAAATACAAAATAAGTAGGTCACTGATTTTTTTCAATTTTGCATATCTTAAAAAATGATGCTCAATGCTCTTTTCTATGTTCAGTAGTGCACTCTAAGTGCAAAACTGAAAGATGTACTGGGTATTGAATCAGGTATGTGTAATTCCTGAACAATAATGAGTCACTCCATTGAGGATTGCGTACGAATTAAAAACATACACACTTACCTTAAATGTGATAATTTAAAAGCATTGAAATCGAAGCTCCATATTTTTGTTTCCAAGCTATTATTAATAAACAAATGATTTCATATCATAAGCGAATTAGTATTTCACGTGAGATATATGATGAAATATCTCACTTTGCTATACAATAAACATGACTTTTTTAACAAGTCATATGAAAAATATTTTAACAAATAGATCCATCGGTGTAGAACATAACATTGATAAATTATTTCACTGCAGGATTTTATTCATTTCTTTTTCATTTACTGTATAAAATCACATGAAAAGATAAAATAATTAAAGAAGTACACAAACTATTCAGTGAAGTATACAGATCAATATGCAGCTAACATCTCCTTTGTACTTCCAAATGATCATAAAAGTCATCTATGCATACGTGCTTCAATTCTGTATTTGAATAATCGATCTGGATATATATTCAAATAAGGAAGTTTGTTATAACATTATCATATAGAAACATGTTCAATGTTTTTCCGAGTCTGCATCAAACTATTTGTTTTGCTAAAATTATTGCGTCAGGGTCAGGATAGCTAATTCAATAAGACCCGCAATGCCCTTCAAGGCATTCTTGAAGTTTGGTCTGGCATTAACATGATGAAATGTCACCAACATACATAATTATTAACTACCTTATTGTAACTCCAATTACTGATTACTATAGTAACTGCTATGAACCTTTTGGTGGTGACACATATACAAGATCTAAACTGAACAGTAGCAGAATTGTAACCAAAATCTTTCATACGTATTTACATGCAGTTTCTCATTCAGCCAGTGTCATTCTTTCAGATTCCCATCTTTCAAGTATCACTATTACTTACGCAGTTTAAAATCAACTATTCTTTTTTTCACCCATACTTAATTCATCATATTCATTCACTCAAACTATCGGTCGATTCACTATCAGTAACAGGAATTAATCTGTTTGCTGTTGCAGCATCCATGATTTTGGGAGCCTTGGTCTTGCGCAACAACACAGTGTGGTGTCTTGCAATTCCCAAGTACCAAAGCACAGATGCTACATGGGCACAGCAACCAACAGTTCGTTGGCCAGTCTTGCACTGACAGTACCAGGCTTTAATTGGATTCTCACCATTCTCATATTGTATCCACAATTGGTACTTAGTAGCACCAATGAACCTGGAGTGGATTTTAATGCGGATCAGGTCATCAGCATCAGAATGCACACTAAGCTCATATGCCCCATCCTCAGTGAAGTGTTGCTCAGTGTATGCGGGAGCCTGCTTTAATTGGTACACCCCGAATGTGATGCTTCTGAGATACTCTTCAGTGAGTCTGGGGAAGTCGAGCACTGCATCTGATGCATCAAGTTTGATCCAATCTTTCCTAGGGGGCATATCTTTCACTCGCTCATACAACACATTCACATCATCTCTCATTCTCAACATCATTGCCCTGGCTACATTCACATCCTCTGGCACACTGTTAACAATCGGACCTCTAAACGCATTCAAAGTTGCAGTGACCACTTTCACCAATTTCTCAAGCTCACCCACATAATCACGATTCAGAACTTCATCCAACATCTTCCATTTTTTCATTCTCCCATGATAACTTTCAACCACCCATCTCATTTTGGTTACCATTCTACTACTGTTCGCATCTTTACAGCTCAACTGTTTTTCTGACTTCCTTATAAAAGCCGGCATACGACACTCGTAGCCCTTGAATTCTAATGTTTCTATTATATCTCTGAAGCCCCGGTCTAGAATGAATAAATCCAGTGGCTCTAGCCAAGAGAATAGGGTAACTTTATCACCTGGGGCTTCAGTACACATATTCAATATAGACAAAGTGATACCAGAATCGTTATTCTTGCCATCAGCATAAAAAGGGCCTATTGTATCGAGAACATAACCATCTAGAAAACAAATACTCATGAATTTGAGCAATTGCCTCTTTTTTTGGCCACTAAACATCTTTTTACATTGTTGATAATTTTGTACTCTTTGTGTATAGAAATAAGTACCATCCAAGACAAGGGCAATGAAAGGATGAGTCTGGGAATGAGTCTGGGTATCGACTTAGAAAATATTGAAAATTGTAATGTCTGAAAAACCAACTCAATTACACATATTATTAAACTTCAATATCTTATCCTTCTTCTGAGATTACAAAAATATTAATTTGTATCATAATTGATGAAGAATATTGGCATCAAAGACAGTGCATATCACTTTGTCAGAATTGAAAAAAAATCAATGGCAAACATTAAATGAATTAATTATGCAAAAAGTTTGAAACTTATCTTCCAAAACATTGGTTACTTTCTTTGTATAGACATTGAATGGTATTTCTGGATAAGTGAATTGGTGTTTATCTGGGTAATCAAGGGATTATAGTCACTCAAAGTTACTGAGCATCCAGTTTTGAGACTTCAATTGTGTTGGTGAAGTTACACATATTCCAGTCAAATTCATGCTGAGCACAACATTCCGGTTTCAATTTTATAATCTCTATCCGTGACCCTGGTGATGAAGAGTCAGAATCAGTCAAAAAACCTAAACCGGAAAACTGTGCTCATTGTGAAAACTAAAAGTGAAGCAACTTTTTTTCTGATATTTCTCATATCAAATGGCAACCATCTTGTTTTTCCCCCTTCAAATTAAACTGGCGGGAAATTCAAAAATTTGAAAAAATTTTAATCCTTAAATATATTTTTCAAAAATATGATTTTCTCTTTAATTCTTCATGGGTCTTAAGTTATTTCTTCTTTGTATGTCATACATGTTGCCATTGGAGTTTTTTCTATGATAATGACTATTTTTTTGTTTGTTAAGATACTTATTCTGACTCTCAGTAGGGGGTTAATTATGCATCAAAACTTGTGAAAAAGTAAATATACTTATCAAATATAACTAGGTCAGTAATAAAAACCATATTTCACATTCATTTGACTGAGGGACCAAAAGGGCATATACCCAGACACATCCTTTGCCCAAACAATTCAGATCCAAAATGAGTCATATGTGTATGTAATGCTTCATCTCTTGTTATATGGCCAAGGCCAAGATAAACAGGTACAAAGTTGTCATATAGATCATGTAAAACAGCATGAAATGTATTTGAAATATTTTTGCGACCTGATTTTGGGTTCATGGAAAATGCTACTGCTATTTGAGAAAATGAATCATTTGTTTTAAGTTTCATCCAAAAGATAAGAATTGCATCCTCCTTTGTCCTGCATTTTGAATTTCTTAAGTTTTTCAAGTATGGAATAAATTGTAATAGGGTTGTCTTGCTCAGACCGGTATATGTTAAACAATCGTTGTCATCAAAATTCGTAAATTGAAATCTCTTGACGTTTCCCAAAGAGTCTATGAATGTTTGCAGTACTTCTAGTCCTTCATCTTCTCTTATTTTCTTTATCCCCTTCTGATGAAAGTCATAATGGCTATTAACATGAACATCGTGTTTGACGGCATCATTTATCAAATGTTCACTACATACATTTACCCCTGGTTTCAAAATTAGGCGATGCGAGTATGCCAAGTTTAGTTGCGCTCTCTGGGGCACTGGGATCCGTGTATGGCCAGTCCTTCTTGAACCCCCACATATGCCACACCTTCTACCCCCCATGTATGTTGGATCAATCTAGAAATAAAGACATGAGATAATGTATTTGAAACTATTTTGAAAGTGGGGGTGCCAGGTAATGAAGTTAATAGTCTAAATAATTCATTAATTTTGTGAGCAGTATTGAAAGGAAAGCTCAGTATTATATTTTAAATATCAGTTATTGGAATGTAAATATTACTCATTCCTCAGGTATTAAAACATCAGAATTCTACACCAGGTTTTTGAAAGCAATGATGCAATTTAAGTTCAGATTTGCTTAAAATATGCCAGAAGTTAATCATTAAGTATTGTAAGTTCATTTTTCACATCCAGTATTGAAGGTTCACTACTAAAAACACAAGGTATTGAGCAGTCTGAATAAGTACTATTTGCATATACATTGAATGATACAAGAGGGTATAACTTGAATGTGGTGAGAGTGACAATGTAAACTAATTTACAATGAGTAAAATTATACCAGTGAGAGTAGATAGTTTATAGTAGTATGGTAACAGGATGATACTTACTGATAAGATTAAGTAGTGATAAAGATTTGCATCTGTGGCTAAATGTTTTGATAATAATACATACTGGGGGGAGTATGCATCAATGCTACTTCATAAAAATGAAACGATAACTTCCAAATGATAAGTACAAGGTTATACATTGATAAACTAGCACTAGCTGCTATAGATTTTGATGATGATATATATACATGAGCATTTAAATTGACGTAAAATCATACTGGTTAGAAAAGTAAATTCAAATAAGTACCGCTTTAAAAGCAGTAGAATAATGGGATGTTTGTTGGTGAGATTAAGTAGCAATAAAGATTTTCATTGATGGGGAAATGTTATGATAATAATAACATACTGGGGAGAATATGGATTAAGAGCTTCATGCAGGTGAGAGAATAATTTCAGAATGATGCAAACTGGCGAGGGAATGTATTATTAAACTAGCACTAGCTGCTAGACTATTTGATGAAAATACAAACTAGTGAGGATTTGCATTGACGTCAAATCATACTAGCGGGAGGTAAAACAGGATGGTGGTGACATTAAAAAGTAGCGGCAAATACTTGCATTGGTGGAAAAATGTTTTCATAATAGCAAATACTGTCACATTCTGAGAGTATGCATTTGAAATGATTTGTGCAAGTAAGAGAATAATTTTTCAAAATGATACATGCTGCCGGTGGTATGAAATGATAAACTACCAATAGCTGCTAACTTATTAGGATTTACATCGACATTAAATCATATTGGTGAGATTAATTACTACAAAAGATTTGTATTGTTGGGGAAATATTTTGATGCTAATATACACTGGGAAGAATTCGGAAAAGCAAAAAATGGCAAGGGTATATGATATTGATAAACTAACACTAGCTGCTATAGATTAGATAATACATACTGGTGAGAATTTGCAAAGAAGTAAAATCATACTGGTGAGAAAATTAATTGTAAAATAAGTACTACTTTAAAAGTAATACAGTTATGGGATGATACTTAGTGGTGATAATACGTAGCTGTAAAGATTTTCATTGTTGAGGAAAATGTTATGAAAATAATACATACTGGGAAGAATATGGATTCGGAGAGCTTCGTGCAGGTGAGAGAATAATTTCAGAATGATGCAAACTAGCCAGGGTATGTATTAATTAACTAGCACTAGGTACTAAAGAATTTGATGAAAATACAAACTAGTGAGGATTTGCATCGATGTAAAATCATACTGGTGAAAAAATTAATTTAAAACAAGTACCTTCTTCTAGTTATCCTATGGCAAGTGAGGTTTCAGGTACATAACAGCGGGATATAGAATTGATATCTTGGAGGAAGGGTACATAATATAGAGATTATTCTATATGAGGTTCAGGATATTGGGATTATCCCGAGGCCACAATAATATATCATATTGGAGATATCATATTGGCCAAGGGAAAATCCCAATATCCTGAACCGACTATAGGATGATCTGTTTTTCCCATACCAATCACATTGTTCAATTGGCCAAAGTTCAGAAACGTTGCAACCAACCGTGGAATTATTTAAAATATTCATGTCCAGTTTTTTATTCTTGTCCATAGCCGAATTTCCCTGTTCAAATCTTTTTTTGAATTAACGGGGCATACAGCGATTAACAGCGATTATGACGTAGCGGACAGATAGACTATATCTGCCCGCTGGTGATAATATAAGTTTTACAAACCGGCTTTATGTACCTGTAACAAGTGCAAGTATGGGATAAATATATTTATCCCATACTTGGACGTGTTACAGGTACATAAAGCCGGTTTGTAAAAACTTATATTTTCATCAGCGGGCAGATATAGCTTTACGTCCCGCTGCGAGCGGGCAGATATAGAATATCTGCCCGCTACGTCATAATCGCCGCTCGTATATTTGTTCATAATTTGTAACATTCGCGTAATGACTGTAAACGACAATGGAGAAAACACAGACAATCGGGATCTGTTTGATGGTTTAAAAAAGGGAAGGAGCATCCACTTAAAAAATTCGAGAAAATAGATGTGGGAATATTTGAGAGAACAGAAAAATCCACCCACGGCCAAGAAAACAAAACTGGACATGAATATTCTAAAATATTTCCACGATTGAACAATGTGAACCAGATGACCAAGATTGGTATGGGATAAACATATTATCCTATAGTCGGTTCAGGATATTGGGATTATCCCTTGGTCAATATAATATATTTTCCCTCGGGACCTGCGGCCCTCGGGCAAATATATTATATTGGCCTCGGGATAATCCCAATATCCTGAACCTCATATAGGATAATCTCTATATATCCTGCTGTGTATATCCCGCTCCAATATTCCCATGCCATGCTTATGCTTTTAGGCAGTATAGCAACAGTCAATTTGTTAGAATATCTTGTTATTGCGAAACTCTCAAAATAGATGCAGCAGATTTGGTCTTGAAAATAATGAGAATGAGAACTTTCAAGAAAACATTCTTTGATATGGTTGTCCTGAAACTGTCACTTGTGAAACCTCACTTGTCAAAGGTTAAATTATCTACTAAAAATTGACAAACTGAAGCTTAAATTCCAATTCTAAGCACATACATCATTATTGTTCTGGGCTAAAGACTCTTCTAATGTGTTTGTCTTAAAAATAAGATAACTGTATATTTGCAAAAATAGACTACCCTCTTTTTGAGAAGAATATTAAATCAATAGCATGCACTCAATTTAAACATTTACTCCACAGCCATTGTGCATCAGAATTTTTCTGGATTACTGCTTTTACTTCTCTGTATCTTGTATAAATGTATCTTGACAGTACATTCTCACCAGTGTGTATCATTATACTTTTTACAAATCATACTTAGCAAACAATACTTACAACAATAAATACATTGGTAGCGTCATCTTCTTCACCCTCATCTGATGCATTGGTATCATCATCTTCTTCACCCTCATCCGATATATCAGCACCATGATCTTCTTCACCCTCATCTGATCCATTGGTAGCATCAGTTTCTTCACCCTCATCCGATCCATTGCTAGCATCATCTTCTTCACCCTCATCCGATCCATTGGTAGCATCATCTTCTTCACCCCCATCCGATCCATTGGTAGCATCATCTTCTTCACCCTCATCCGATCCCTTGCAAGCATCATCTTCTTCACCCTCATCCGATCCATTGGTAGCATCATCTTCTTCACCCCCATCCGATCCATTGGTAGCATCATCTTCTTCACCCTCATCCGATCCCTTGCAAGCATCATCTTCTTCACCCTCATTCGATCCATTGGTAGCATCATCTTCTTCACTCTCATTCGATACATTAGTAGCATCATCTGTCTGAGCCTATGGGAAGAAAGAGAAGTGATGATTGTAACCATCTTATGTTCACCACTTTCAGTTTGTCCATAAATAATTTTAAATAAAAAATATTAAGGTATAAAAATTCAAAAATGAAAAAATACAGTTACATACACTCTTGAAAACATTTCAGTAATCACAATGTATAATTAATCATTTGTTAGTTTGAATTATAGGGCTTATAGACAATTAACTTATTTCTATCATGACAATTAGATTTAGAATTATATCTATGGCAGTAACAAACAAACATTACTCACTTTGGTTCTCATTTGGGTCTTCTCCTTCCAAAATATCATGTAACAAGCTTTACAAATATAGGAAACCTCACTAAAGGATATTCCTTTCTTTTTGAATGCATTAGCTAACCAGTCAATCAAAATGATTTTCCTTCTTTCATTTCTGGATTTATTCCCAAGATTTATGTTACAGACGAGACAAGGTATCTTTGACGAAGGCATGGTGTAAACACTAGTACTAGATACATGTATACCTGGGTTTCACTAATGTATACCTTATGCATTGTCAGTGATAAACCAGATACAGAAATCCTGTTCAAAGTTAATATTATATGAGGACAGGTAAGAATTTATCATATGAAGAAGTATTCAGGATTTCTTAGGTGATCGCATTTTGCAACACATATACAGGTTTAACTGTACTCCAACTGCATAATACAGTCGACTTGACATATTCAGAATTGTTTGAGAACTGCTGGGGGTATGCTCCATTGATCAAACAGGGTATTATCCAAAGTCAAACCATCCATTCATTAAAAAGTTTTGAACTAACTTTATGCTACACTAATGACATCTTATCTGAATGTGCTGTACTAAGAGCATGCCAATGGCATTCCCCATTGGATCCCCAAATATTGGATTATAGTAATCCTTATGGAAGGAGTTTCTTATATATTTCAAGTGATGAAACATGTGTTCAAGTATAATATAATTTTACATAAAAAATTGTTAAAAAATTGATGGACGATGGTGAAAATGACAAGTGCATTTTGGAAAAAAGGTTGTTGATGGGTGGATTAAACACGGATTATGAGATAATCCAATTGATTTTGAAACCATTCTTTGAACTTTTCTTGGAGATTATAGATTGGCCTTCCATATGCATTTATTTTTTACATCCAGAAACTACTCACAAAAAAATTATCAACTGTCAAAAGTCTGTTGCGGTACTTTCCCTGAACCTTTCAAAAGTATTCATCAGATCTTCATGAAATTTGGTATACATGTACCCACAACATTTCTGAGTTACCATCTCAAAGATTGGAATTCAATCATTTCATTGGTTGAAATTATGGTTGCTATAGTAACCCGATATCGCGTAACCCGGGGCAAATTACTTAACGTGTAATGCGTAATCTCAAAATATCAACAAGATCTGAAATTGTTATATCCTCAACATTTTATTTCACAACAATATAAATCATACTATTGCACAGTTACTAATAATAGTTCATTCTACATAATTGCCACCATTTGCAACACATTTCTCATGTCTGGATACCCATTCCTTGAACACAGAATTAAATCCATTAGAACTCATTCCTTGTAGGGCTAGTACTACGGCATTTTTCAATTCCTCACAGGATTGAAAATTATTTCCACTAAGGTTTCTTTTTAGTTCCCCATACAAATAAAAGTCACTGGGGGCAAGATCAGGTGAATAAGGGGCATGTTCAAGTTGTTGAAATCCAAGTGTTTGGACTGTGTTGCTGGTCAGGATTGCAGTGTGCGTAGGGGCATTGTCCCAATGCAAGATAAACTGCTGCAGATGTCCGGGACGCTTTTTCCTCAGGAAACGTTGAAGATCACGCTTCAGAACCTGAAAAACAAATGTTTAATGGTTGTTAAACCAGTTGTTTCATTGATTGGATTTGGATTTGAATCATGGCCATGGAGTTATAATTATATTGACAGTGAACAACATTTAAATACTTTAATTTAAAAATAAAATTCACAGTATGATGTATTATTAGAACAAATGATATCTTACCTTTGCAATGTAAACGGCATTAATTCTCTGGCCAATGGGAACAAAATGGGTTAACACCATTCCTCTAATGTCAAAGAATGTCACAACCATTTGTTTCTTTTGTGGAATTCCTGGTACTATTTTAGGCTTGGTTGGTGTTGGGGAGTTGTCATGTTTCCACGATGAACTTTGTTGCGTGGTCTCTGGGATGTAGAATGATAGCAATGATTCGTCACTCGTAATGATCTTGTTAAGAAAGTCATCTCCATCTCTCCGATATTTTGCAAGAAAGTCCCTTGAAGCCTTAACACGCCGGTCTTTCTGCTCCTGTGTCAAGTCATGCGGCACCCATTTAGCAGACACCTTCTTTAACAGACAGTTCTTTGTCAGTATCCGTTGCACAGTCCCATAGCTCAGATCGTGTTTTTCAGCCAATTCTCTGATAGAAATTTGCCTATTGTCCATAACATCAGCTTCAATTGCTTTGATGGTTTGATCATCGAATGACGACACTGGCCTGCCTCCTCGCTGCTTGTCTACCACTTCATCATATCCACTGGAATACTTGTTAAACCACCTGTAAATGTTTCTCTCAGCAATGGCAGCTTTACCATATGCCTTCTTTATCTGTCTTATAGTCTCTTTTACACCTTTCCCCAACTTTACACAGAACTTAATGTTTGTTCTTTGCTCTATTTTACTCTGACTTGGCGCCATCTTGAATTGGGTGGGTTAGTGTCCTTGGTCATGTTAGTATTTGTCATGGATGATGGAAGCAATTCAAAGAAATTGAAAGCTTTTTATGAATGCCTATTGTGACATCACAACTATTACATATTTGTTACCATGGCAACAAATATAAAAATCATAGAAAACAAACAATGAACATTTTCAAATGTTACTGACTTTTTAAATTAGAGAAATTCACAAAAACGTTATGGTTTCTCTTCAATTTGCCCCGGGTTACGCGATATCGGGTTACTATAGCAACCATAATTTCAACCAATGAAATGATTGAATTCCAATCTTTGAGATGGTAACTCAGAAATGTTGTGGGTACATGTATACCAAATTTCATGAAGATCTGATGAATACTTTTGAAATTACAATGTCTTTGACGTTACTTCTGGATCACCCTGTACATACATATTTGCCTCACCTATTCTGATTTGCCTCACCTATTCTGATTTGCCTCACCTATTCTGATTTGCCTCACCTATTTTATATCCTGGCTATGTCGATAAAAAATGAAAGTGCATGAACACTGAACATGGATTATCTCATCAAATAGTAGAACTAAGCATATAAACACTGAACACAACACTGAAAATGTTCAGCATATGAACACTGAAAATGAAAAGCATGTGAACACAGAAAAATGTACAGTTGAAGCCTTAAAAGGTATCTGTGAAAAAATAATAACACACATGGAAATAGGATGTTTCATACCTCTGAAAGCTTTTCTCTTAAATATCGTCTCTGTTTAGAGGAAGATCCGCGTTTAATGAGACACTTTCCTTTGACACTTGGGGCTTCTCCATCTAATACAAATATTGGAGTGATACCATTCTCCAACAAGCATGCTGTCCGGAAGAAAAGATTTCTGAAAATTAATAAAGAGAAAGATGCATGACAAATGGCTGCATATAAATATTTTCACATGATTTTTAACAAACATTAATTATTACTATTATCATAACAAAAATTATAATTATAATAATAAATTTGCTCTTTATTTTCCTATTAGTATTTTAAGGTACATCTAACAAAAACATACTGTAGGTTTCGCCTCAATCTATAAATCACCCTGGATTAGCCTGACAACGGTAAAGTCAGATACCGTTGTCACAAATGGCGGACATAACCGTCGCTTCAATTAGATTTTCATGAATTGTATGTTTAATAGAGCACCGAGACTAAATTCCTTTGGAACAACAGATTCCATTGTCATTGACGATATCAAAGACGCTATATTGTGGCGATTCACGACCCAATTTGATCAAAAAATGGGATTTCATATAATACATTATCACAAGGGCTTACTGCATGCACAGAAATAGCGACGATGAAATCCCATGAAATGAGGACCAAGTAATTAACCAGTTGAACAACGGTTATGTCCGCCATTTGTGACAACTGTATCTGACTTTACCGTAGTCAGGCTATTCTGGTGTGATAAATACTGACTGAGTAAAATATGTGTACATGTACTGTATGTGAACACTTCTAAACTGAACATAAGTTCCACTTCAGCTATCCTGATAGTGAAGATAGTTCCTCTGTTCAGTACAGGAATGTGTACCTCAGATGTGGTGACTTGACAGGGTTAGCAATTCGATTCATCTTCAGTTCACTTTGAATAACCCATGAGCTTAGGTCGACTGCTATGGCTTGACCTGACAGTTCTTCAAGAGACTTCACTTGCTTGACTCTATCCAGGAGACTCCACAAGTCTTTAACTCCCATTCTGAAACCTAAAGGAAAATATGTATAAATGTATTTGCCATCTGGAGAAATGAACATACATGTAGTACTGTCTACAAGTACCAGTGATCTCCCCAGCATTAAAGCAAGTGAGCGTAGTAGCCACCTGAGATTTTGAAAATGCGCTTGCACCCACCTGAAACTCCATTTGCACCCACTTGAAAATGAGAAAAATCATGGAAAATGGGCATATTTTTATAAATTTTGGTCCAAATTGTGAAAATGAGAATTTTGCACCCACTTGAGAAAAAATCCTGTAGAGAACACTTCAAGTACTATACAGTGCATTACACAGTGCATTACACAGTGCATTACACAGTACATTACACAGTACATTACACAGTACATTACACAGTACATTACACAGTGCATTACACAGTGCACTTCAAGTACTATAAAGTGCATTACACAGTACATTACACAGTACATTACACAGTGCATTACACAGTGCACTTCAAGTACTATACAGTACATTACACAGTACATTACACAGTGCATTACACAGTACATTACACAGTACATTACACAGTGCATTACACAGTGCACTTCAAGTACTATACAGTACATTACACAGTGCATTACAGATATTCGTAAAACATAACCATAATATATAAAGTGACACCAATAATCATGCATGCATAATTCCATCATCTGAAAAGTTCTAGTCCATGCATATGGGTGATTCATTTTCGAATATTTCCATTAGTAGCTATATAGAGTACATGTAGCTTAACAGCAGGCACCATGTTACATCATGGTACATGTAAGTACACTGAAGGATTTATATGCGCATTTGAATTTTTTCAAGAAATCCAGCTTTTTGAAAACATGGTAGATCAAATTTATCACCTGGGGCGTGGTCCGCTTGATTCTGCAGGCTTCATTATACGGTCTTGAAAGCTGTACAAAGGTCTTGCGTTAATTCATATTTCACGATACTAGTAGTCTGACGAATGTCCATACTATAGCTGGAATAGCGTACCACACAATTGTCTGTGAAACCACAAACCAGTTCGATAGAGGGATCGAGATAATCCTGTATCAGAACATTTGACTGATTGATGTAATGCACAGTATTCACATGGGGGAGTTCTCTGATTGGATTGTTTCAAGTTGCAATATAAAAGAAGATCTGGATTATTTACTAGACTCTATTACTTCGGTCCAAAGCCTTCTCTATAAGCTAGAGACTCGAGTAAAGACTCTACATGATGTAGGACATTTTACATTTCAAATTGTAGATCTAACACATTTTTGCATAGGTTTTTAATTGTGAGGGTAGAGCTAATAAGACCAATACAACAAGATGTAGGGAGTCAATGCTAACAAGTATTGTGTCTTTCTAGCATGTAGATTTATATAAAACCTGTAAAATATAAGAAATTTAGTCAGCAATATTAATTTGTTGTATTTACAAACCTGAAAATGTTTTTGTGGTGTGCCAATTTGAATATTTTTTGTTCGAGCTTTTCACGTTTAAACTGCATATAATTTGTCATATGAGTGAAAAAACGGAGCATTATTAGTATTCATTTACATTATTTAACAACAACAGAAGTTATAACTAACACATTTATTATCTAGATATATTTGTTAAGCCACAACTGTTCGGTACAAGTTCGAACAATCACACAATCGGCTTCGTTCGGTGATTTATTGAACATTTCCAAGATGGCTGCGCCCGTGTGAAAATGTGAAAATAAAATTTGGTTAAGATTTTGCTTAAATTCAGAGTCATTCGGAACGGAATCACCCTAAAACTGATATTGGCATATCAATAGAATAGAAATTGAACAGAAAAGCCTACTTTCAAGATGCAGCATTCGAAGGTTTTCATGAAAAAGACCAAGAGAGGGTCAATTTTGAAAATCGTACGGGAGCATTATCTCCGAGATGATATCTGGTGCGGCTCTTCAATGTGTAACATTTGTTTACATGAATCAACGCCACTACAGGCCAACCCCAGTAGTGCAAGTAGTGTCTGCCAATCACCGCATTATCTAATTGTTGATACTAATGTGGTGCTTCACCAGGTGAGCGCTTGACGTTTTGGGCGTCAAATTAGACTTACCCTCATGAATGTGGGGGTGATTTGCTCTTAGTTTTAACATTTAGTGAGGTTTGCCTTATCAACTTCAAAACATTTTAAAAAAGCAAACCGAACCCACATTTATGAGGATAATTAGACTAGACTAGATCTACTGGCTTTTTTTCATACCCCCATAAACATAGGCCAAGGGAAAAGTAATAGTAAGCTGTATATAGAAGAGACAGGTAAACAATTAGGATTGAAAATTTTTTCAAAAACTTGCTGTCTTGGTACGAGTTCTCCTTACTGGTATCGAGTCGTACCACCAAATCTCCCAAGAATCTTCTCCAAAGTGTTTTCGAAACGTATATTGTTGAATATTTCAAATCTATATCCTAACTCTTCGATAAGACTGCATAAAAAAACACCAACTGTACGAACCTGCAATTGCCCGGCAAGCTGAAACTTCCGGATACATGGAATCTTGAATCTTGTAACGATTGATTTGATTGGTTGTAATTAGAAGTTTATAATTCCAAGAAAAATGTTAATTTCACCATTTAAATTGGGTTTAAAAAGATATTATATGAAACAGATGTTTTGATAAATAATTATTAAGTACACCTTTATAGTTTTGTACTTTAATTGATTGTTATTTCTAGAATATGAATTACATTTTAGAGAACCAGATAGGTGTCACTGGCGGCGGTTATCAGGAACCAATCAAATTCCTTGTTTCAAACTTTCATTTACACGGAAATCCGGGTAACTTGCCAGACAATTGTAGGTTTTCAGAATATCTCGCCTCAAGACGGCTTTATTCACTCTATATCACTTGAATGGGGTTGATTCATAGGTAAGAATTGCGAACTATCAATTTTGGATCAACTCTGCATTGTTTTTTGAAAATTATACACAAATAATGTTAAAATCGCCATGTTAACAAGTGGCCTAAATCCTAGTTGTTCACCTGTCTCTTCTATATACGGCTTACTATTACTTTACCCTTGGCCTATGCCCATAAATGTGGGGTTGATTTTTCAAATCACCCCCACAACTACTTCTGCATTGAAATTTTGGGGTTGGAAATAAGCTGGATTAGAACTAGAATATTGAAAGCCCATGGTTATATAGGTAAAATTCAGCTTTGTGTCAACTACTTACTGACCCAGGCTACTGACAAGATTTAAAACCCCAAGATTTCAATACATAAGTAGTTGTTGGGGCGATTTGAAAATTGAACCCCATATTTATGTTTTTTTTTCCACAGCCGTACTTCCCTAGAATTAAAAAAATTAAGACTTCAGTACTGTAGTTCATGAGTAATGAGTCAATAACCCTCGATAACAAGCTGCTACAACTACTAGCAGTTGTGGTGGCTGGCCCTTATTGCTCAGGGGTAGAGCATCTGTCTAAGTAGCGGAAGGTCCCGGGTTCGATTTCCATATGGGGCATTGAATTTTAGCACACTCCCTTTAATGTCCATTATCTGGCTTGCTACACTACAGTTCTTTGTTGGCTGATCAGGTTGTTACAATACGATGTCCCTCTTATAGTTAATCTCTTTGGAGTCTCCATACATGTATATGTGAGTGCCATTAAAAGAGATGTTCCATGATATGAGTATTTGCTATCACCTAAATTCCTATTACTTTATTTTATTTAATTCATTTTTATTAAATTAATTTTAATTACAATTTCTGTAATTCAGATGGATGTTCTTGATGATGAACACATCAGTAATGTGATTATTCTCACCACAGTTCTGGAGGAAGTCAGGAGGAGAAGTACCCCTGCTTATAAACGTATAAAAGATCTTATCACAAACCCAGAGAAACACTTTTATACATTTGTCAATGAGTTTCACAAGTAAGTATAGATTTAACATGGAGTAAATCCAGTGTTTGTGAATATCTTTTAAAAGAGAAGATACTTCGTATTTTCCTAATTAAGCTAAACCATTGTTGCAACTATGAATATAATGATGCCATAGTAAGAGAACAATGGACTTAGGAATTATTAACTCTAACAAAGTTTCTATTAATGGCCCTCTTAGTTCCATAATATTTGTTCAAAACAAATGAAAAACTGGTGTGGAATATGCCGTAAAGTGGCAATAAATTAAAGTACAGCTTGTCTTGCTCTGTCTGAAAAATTGCCTAAATTTAACATTTGTAGAGACACCTATGTTGAAAGGCAGCCCAAAGAGAGCTCAAATGACCGTAATGACAGAGCAATCAGACAAACAGCATCCTGGTACCAAAGTCACCTGAATGAACTTGAGGACTGTAACACAAAGATTGTGCTCATCACAAATGATAGAGCAAACAAAGAGAAGGCCAAGGAAGAAGGCATAACTGCATTTACAGGTTAAATACTTTTTTCAATAGAATGTATGCATAAAGTAAGTTAAGTGTACAAAGAAAACTCCTCCATTCAAACATTCAAGATTAAACACCCTACAAAATGCATTATGATCATGAACTTTTAGTTTCTTTTTTGTACACTGAAAATTGCCACTCTAGAAATGCCTTTTTACATAGACAAGTGACACAATAAGTTCCTTTGTGATGTATACTGTCCAAAACCCAGTTGAAAAATTGAGATGGAAAGGTACAGCTATTTGTCTCCTTTATTATGTAGAGCAAATTACACGGACATGATTGTAATTACCAAGAATTGGAAAAATCATATTTTCAATAACTTATATTTTGTTTCAGTGAGAGAATATGTGAAAGGACTTGGAATCCCAGAGTTGCTTGACAGACTGGCCAATCTGGACAAAGGCTCTCAGGTAAAGGAACATGTACAAATACAATTAAGAAATGAGAGCATTTTGGCATAAAATTATTGAATGACCTGTTATCGTTGATTGAAAGAACTAGAAATGATAGAGATGAATTGAAAGTGAGTCTTGAAAATTCAGTGAGATGCATTTATGGTTCATTGTAAATTATAGACCAGTCAGACGGCAGTATTTATTAGAGGTGTCACATTGACCCGAAATTGACCAGAATCTTGGTCGGGTTAGAACACTCAGGAATATCGTAAATTATCGTAAAATGCTTTATATTTGGCAAAAATTTCAATCTTCTAGCTGGCCTTTTATCTTGTATGTATAATTTGCAAATAGAAAATAATTTACAGTTTTTCTCAATTTAATGCTAAGTTTCTATTTCTACTGTATAGTGACATGTTCCTTCATTAAAGGCTCATGCTGGAGACAACATACAATATCCTGAACACAAGAGCTTGGCCGAAATACAAAGAGGGGTGAAGTCTGGCCGCTACAAACAGGGGAAGTTCCATCTAAGCAGAGAGAACTACTTAGAAGCAAATGTAATGGTGAATGATGATGATAAGGATGACTCTAACTCCGTAAGTAGAACAACTCATTTTTTATGTGCCCATGAATAAACAAATAAAATCCTTAAATTCCTGTGCCTTTAGATTAATTGAAAACAACCAGATTCTAATACAGCATGACTTGAGGACTTTACTTTTTGAGAATGTGAATCAGAGTTCCATAGTTCTGTCTTTGAAGGGTTTTGTGGCAATTTTTGAGTATAAAGAAGAGCCTCATACAAAGATGTGATCAACTTGATTCAGATTGGCATACATTGATAGTAGTATTAATTTTAATTGATGAATGAAGTTTATTAATGATGGTTCATATTCCAGATATTCCTGCAAGGGGCCTATAGTATTAACAGGTCAGTGTCAGGTGACATAGTTGCCGTGGAGATGCTGCCAGAGGAGGAGTGGACGTGTCCCTCATCTATGATGCTAGAAGAGGAGGAAGAAGAGGAGAAAGCAGATGAGGAGATTGGCACAGAGGTGAGGATAAACAATAGCTGAAGTTAATAGAACAAAATAAAAACTACAACTTTATTGCCAAAAGTTCTTTTAGCGAGAATTGGAAAAAAGTAAAAATTATAAATGCCATTATAAGAACCTTTTGGTAAAATTATACATTTAAAAAAATAATATATAGCGCTGATATCAAGAATACATTCAAGCTAACAGATTTATTGGAAACTGTATTAGAATGGTGAAGAAATTCATTGCAGGCTGTATACATTTTAAAAACCTAATGAATAAGTATATAATGTGCAACATTCAGTTTGAAAAAGAGTAAACACAAAGTTTGGTGTGGTGATGGCATATTGTGAAAAAATAAAAAAGGCTTGCTCAAATTCATCATTTAGGTAATTTATAAACAGGTTTCTATACCCTTGTTTAAACTTGTCAGTTTTGTAATTCAGGATGATCTATTGGAAAAAGAGTCAAAGGCCAAAGTTAGAAAGAAGATAGGACCAAAACAACCAACTGGAAAGGTTGTAGGAATCATCAAAAGGAACTGGAGGCAATATTGCGGCATCTTACAACCGTCAGTCTTAAAAAGAGTAAGTTTACATATTATTATATATTTACGTACAGTATACAGTTTTACTGTAATGTAAAATCTGTATTATGTTAGTACAGCTTGCTTTGTATAAAATATTTGTTTATTGCAATAATTTAAGAAATCTACATGGTTCTCCAAAAAGAGTATTTGTTAATCCACCACTCAGAGGTTTGTCCATCCACCCACCCCTTCCATGTGTGGAGTCAGGAATTTGAAAGACAGTATTGACGAGAGGGTGGGATTTTGACAATATATGACCAGCTATTATTGCTCCAAGATGAGGAAATTGAAGAAAAAGTAAATAGTTGTTTTTTTAATATATAAGTTGTTGATTTCATTGGTGTATTTCCACTCCAGGCAACGAGACATTTAGTGATTCCTGCTGAGAAGAGAATCCCAAAGATTCGTATAGAGACCAGACAAGCAGAGTCATTGGTTGGCCAGAGGATCATTGTACAAATAGACTCATGGCCAAGGAATTCAAGATACCCCCAGGTTTGTTTTACAGTATTTTCTTTGATTGCATACTATATGCAGCTTTCAATATTCCCTGAAATTGAGGCATCAAATTCAAAATTTATTGATCATCCCTTGTATTGTGTGCAGAAACGAAGGCTTTTTGGGGATTTTTTTTTTATTTATTTGAGTCACAATTATCTCACACAGACACCATCAGGCAAACAAAAACAATTGGGGAAAATCCAGATTATACAAAACTTGTACATGTTTTTCTTTGCAGAGAGATATTATCAGGCAATTCAGTAAAATGCTTATGGAAGTAAGATTGTTTGTTTATTGTGCCACAATGGTGATATATTGTTATAGCTACTGGCATTTGTAACTGGTACATGGCATCAGTATGTACATAGTGTAACAAAGGGTTACACTTTTGTAACTGCAACCAAGTAGTGCTATTTTGCAATGTTACTAACTTATTCCATTTAGGGTCACTTTGTGCGTAAGCTGGGAGCTATTGGGGATAAAGAGACAGAGAATCAAGTTTTACTGCTGGAACATGATGTCCCTCATTCCAAATTCTCAGAGAATGTATTGCGATGTCTTCCTAGTGTACCATGGACCATTACTGAACAGGTTGGCCAGTCATATATTTAATTATATTATGAATATTCAGAGTGTTTCGCATATATTTAATTATATTATGAATATTCAGCGTGTTTTTGTATGTGAGTAGATGCTCATCTTTTTAATTTTGTGATCAGTTCTTAACCAATGAGAGCGAGAGGGGGAAAATTCCAGTGATGTCACAAAACTGTTCATGCCCATGAATGTGTTTTAGTATTGCAGTGTTGAAAACAAATGAATGTATGATTGTAGGATTTGAAATATAGGGAGGACTTGAGACATATCACAGTGTGCAGTGTTGAAAACAAATGAATGTATGATTGTAGGATTTGAAATACAGGGAGGACTTGAGACATATCACAGTGTGCAGTGTTGAAAACAAATGAATGTATGATTGTAGGATTTGAAATACAGGGAGGACTTGAGACATATCACAGTATGCAGCGTTGACCCTCCTGGCTGCACAGATATTGATGACGCCCTTCATTGTAGGAATCTGGACAATGGAAACTTGGAGGTTTGTGTTCATATGATATTAAGACATTTTTACATGTTTCATCCTTAGACTGTACACCCCCTAGACATTAAACTCTAGTAATTGTTGCTTTTGCTAAGATCTAGTCAATCCAAATTTTTCTCCAAAACAATCAGTAATGTCCCAATATTATTGCTCATATAACATGCCTCTAGTTACTCTAATCATGCTTTTAGGAGACTGGATATCTTAGGGGTTAGCGGTGTTCTGATTGAAATGTCCAATGTCTATAAACCATTTATATTCTAGATACTTCATAGGGGTTATTTGAATTACAATTGTGAACAAATACAATACATTATTCTTCACCAACTGTCTTATCTTCTAGGTGGGTGTCCATATAGCTGATGTGAGTCACTTTATTCGTCCCAACACTGCCATAGATGATGAGGCCTCAAATAGAGGGACAACTGTATACCTGGTAGACAAGGTAAAAGAAAAAATATATTACTTACCTTTAGCAAGAGCATAACTCATCTATACTATAGGTGAATGGGTTTTGTTTATTAGTAGCTTACATTTTATTTCAATTTTATAAAGCATGATATATTTCATTATCCTACACTTAGTGTACTAAATGTATAATAACATGGAAAAATAAATTTGATATTTATTGGCAAAATGAATATCCGGAGGATATCGTAACGATATACTCCGGGCGGAGGATATCGTGACGATATACTCCGGAAAACCCAATATGCGGAGGATATTGTGACGATATACTCCGCTTGTTGATTTCCCGCCAAATTGACTCTATTTGACATGAAATTCATTTTACAATGATATTATACATTCAGTAAACTCCTTGTAAGTGTAGGATAATAAGAACATCCTATGATTTTTTTCAGAATATCATTTTAATCTACTCGGTGATATTGATATACAGGGTGTCCAATAAATAAGGTGAAAGATATTGTAACTTTCTTAATATTGCACCAATCTTGGTGAAATTTTCAGAGTTCGTAGATCAAACCTTTTTACCTTTATTCTGTGAATTTAAAGGGTCTTCTATTTGATTGGCCAGAGTTGTGGTTGCTATAGCAACCGAAACAACAAAAAGGCGGGGCAAGTTTGTTTACGTCACAACTTTCCAAAACATATTTATTATTTCTGATAGCTTTATTCATACTCCCAGGTCTATTACTACTACAAATACAATATAAAAACAGTCCTAAAGTCCCATTGTTATGGAAAATAAGCTATTCAACATAATGTCCATCTCTAGCTATACACTTATGCCTATTCACTCACTCTCTAAACACACTTTCAAACCCATTCTGTTAAAAAACGTCCAGGAGAGAATTTTCTGATGCACTGTGACAATGCCCCCTCACACACAGCTATGTTCACTAGTGAAACTATTAGGGCACTGGTGCTACCCCTACTTGCACACCCTCCATATTCCCCAGACCTTGCACCCGATGACTTTTACTTATATGCAGAACTCAAGCGTGACTCGAGAGGAAATAAATTTGGAAGCACTGATGAACTCAGATCACATGTCTTAGCAAGACTTCAGGAAATGGACAAGAATGGGTTTGAACGTGTGTTTAGAGAGTGGGTGAATAGGCATAAGAAGTGTATAGCTAGAGATGGACATTATGTTGAATAGCTTATTTTCATAACAATGGGACTTTAGGACTGTTTTTATATTGTATTTATGGTAGTAATAGACCTGAATAAAGCTATCAAAAAGAATAAATATGTTTTGGAAAGTTGTGACGTAAACAAACTTGCCCCGCCTTTTTATGTCCCCACCACATAGTGTGGGGCCATATTGTCGGCCTAGGCGCGTCCGTCTGTCCGTCCGTACGTCCGTCCGTCCGTCCGTCTGTCCGTCCGTCTGTCCGTACGTCCGGGAGTTTTCTCCAAAACCGCTACAGATATCACCTTCAAATTTTCAGGGATAACTTATGAGTGCATACAGATGTGGATGAAAAAATTTTAACTCGATACCTACTTCCTGTCGGCCATTTTGAAGTCAAATGCTAAAATCCTTGTCTGCAAACTTTAAGAAAAACGGCTTCACAGTTGCTTTTAAAACTTTAACATCTTGTTCAGCTCACTTCATTCTAGATCTGATTAGGTTTTGGACCTGTTAGCTCAGTCATGTCAGCCATTTTGAATTTCTTAAGAAAAGTTAGCGCACGATAATACTTTGTATCATATTGAATGGTGTTTTTGAGTTTTCATACTTTAACTATTTAGTAGCTTTATAAATAATTTCAGATCTACTTTGTTGTAAAAGCCTATGTTATTGTTAAAAGTAGTAATATGTGATAATTTTGTAAGAAGAAATCAGCAAAAACACATAATCACTTTTTTATTGTCGGCCATTTTGGATTTTTCCGTCCTAAAATCTTGTCTGTGAAGTCTTGTCTACGTGTTTTCAGGTGAACCGTTTGGTGGATCAATTTCAAATTTTCAGGGATGATTCTTAGTATAAAAATCTAGATCTGATTTGTTTTTTGGCATTCTGGGTAAATGTCAAGGCAGCCATTTTGGATTTTCCATCCTAAAATCTTGTCTGTAAAGTCTTGTCTACGCGTTTTCAGGTGAACCCTTTGGTAGATCAATTTCAAATTTTCAGAGATGATTCTTAGTATGGAAATGTAGAACTGATTAGTTTTTTGGCATTCTGGGCAAATGTCAAGGCAGCCATTTTGGATTTTCTGTCCTAAAATCTTGTCTGTAAAGTCTTGTCTATGCATTTCCAGGTGAACCGTTGTGTAGATCAATTTCAAATTTTTAAGGATGATTCTTAGTATGAAAATCTAGATCTGATTAGTTTTTTGGCATTCTGGATAAATGTCAAGGCAACCATTTTGGATTTTCCATCTTAAAATCTTGCCTGTAAAGTCTTGTCTACGCGTTTTTAGGTGAACCGTTTGGTAGATCAATTTCAAATTTTCAGGGATGATTCTTAGTGTGAAAATCTACATCTGATTAGTTTTTTGGCATTCTGTGTAAATGTCATGGCAGCCATTTTGGATTTTCTGTCCTAAAATCTTGTCTGTAAAGTCTTGTCTACGCGTTTTCAGGTGAACCATTTGATAGATCAATGTCATATTTTCAGGGATGATTCTTAGTATGAAAATCTAGGAACAGATTAGTTTTTTGACATTCTGGGTAAATGTCAAGGCAGCCATTTTGGATTTTCCATCCTAAAATCTTGTCTGTAAAGTCTTGTTTACATGTTTTCTAGTTAACTGTGTGACGGATCAATTAAAATTGTGTTGGTAAAGTCTTGTCTACTCATTTTCAGGATAACCATTTCATGGGATCACCCATTGGTGGGGACATTTTGTACACATTTGTGTTCTTGTTGTTGTTTCGGTTGCTATAGCAACCACAACTCTGGCCAATCAAATAGAAGACGCTTTAAATTCACAGAATAAAGGTAAAAAGGTTTGGGCTACAAATTCTGGAAATTTCATCAAGATTGGTGCAACATTAAGAAAGTTACAATATCTTTTACCTTATTTATTGGACACCCTGTATGCACTCGTTCGCTTCGCTCTCTCGTGCAAATATCAATATCACCTCGTAGATAAAAATGATATTCCTCAAAATCATAGGATATCCTATAATTATGTTGACTATGAACTCCCAGTGTGTTTAAATCCATTCACGCTTTGATGTATATTTCTAGAGAATAGACATGGTGCCAGAGCTGCTCAGTTCAAACTTGTGTTCATTGAGAGATGATGGTGACAGACTGGCATTCTCTGTGTTGTGGGAGATGACACATGATGCTTAGATTGTTAATACCATTGCTTTCATATATATTTGTAGAGAATAGACATGGTGCCAGAGCTGCTCAGTTCAAACTTGTGTTCATTGAGAGATGATGGTGACAGACTGGCATTCTCTGTGTTTTGGGAGATGACAAATGATGCTAAGATTGTTAATACCATTGCTTTCATATATATTTGTAGAGAATAGACATGGTGCCAGAGCTGCTCAGTTCAAACTTGTGTTCATTGAGAGATGATGGTGACAGACTGGCATTCTCTGTGTTGTGGGAGATGACACATGATGCTTAGATTGTTAATACCATTGCTTTCATATATATTTGTAGAGAATAGACATGGTGCCAGATCTGCTCAGTTCTAACTTGTGTTCGTTGAGAGATGATGGTGACAGACTGGCATTCTCTGTGTTTTGGGAGATGACATGTGATGTTAAGATTGTTAATACCATTGCTTTCATATATATTTGTAGAGAATAGACATGGTACCAGAGCTGCTCAGTTCAAACTTGTGTTCATTGAGAGATGATGGTGACAGACTGGCATTCTCTGTGTTTTGGGAGATGACACATGATGCTAAGATTGTTAATACCATTGCTTTCATATTTTTAGAGAATAGACATGGTGCCAGAGCTGCTCAGCTCAAACTTGTGTTCATTGAGAGATGATGGTGACAGACTGGCATTCTCTGTGTTTTGGGAGATGACACATGATGCTAAGATTGTTAATACCATTGCTTTCATATTTTTAGAGAATAGACAATGTGCCAGAGCTGCTCAGCTCAAACTTGTGTTCGTTGAGAGATGACGGTGTATTCTCTGTGTTGTGGGAGATGACACATGATGCTAAGATTGTTAATACCATTGCTTTCATATATATTTGTAGAGAATAGACATGGTGCCAGAGCTGCTCAGTTCAAACTTGTGTTCATTGAGAGATGATGGTGACAGACTGGCATTCTCTGTGTTGTGGGAGATGACAAATGATGCTAAGATTGTTAATACGAGGTTCACAAAGTCCTGCATCAGATCCAAGGTAAAATATGAATTATTGACCCCTTTTAAGGTTGACAGTAAAAATTGTGAGGTCTAATAATTAATAAAGTTAGTCCAGCAATAATTCAAAGTTTGATTGAATGTTTAGTATTTTTAGTGTATTTTCCATTTTAGGCTTCTTTAACATATGCCCAGGCACAGCTGATCATAGATGAAACATCTAGGAATGATGAGCTAGCAACTAGTTTACGAGGATTGAATAGACTAGCAAAAATACTGAAACAGGGCAGAATAGATAAAGGGTATGTACTTGCCGTGAGAGGATGACTATTATGTTTGAGGCTCAGTATTTAACTCAGTAAACACAAACATGACATATTTTGTAAATGTATATTTCCATATATTCCAATATGGAATACTCATGATACTCCATTCAGTAAGGCCATCTATAAATTGAGTGATTGCTATTTGACCATACATTACAAAGATGTTCAGTCAGATCAAGCTGCTACATAGTGATCCTTGTTTTATTCAGAATAGTTTATTTCCTATATTGTTTTCATGTGAGAATGTCATAAAAATAGTACTGGCATTCCTTGTCCTATCATTGTTAGTATGCAAGTGGCATAGTAGAAATATACACTTTTGTTTACTCCAGTGCTTTAGTCCTGGCATCAACAGAGATAAGATTCCACATTGACAGTGAAACACACGATCCAATAGATGTCGAGACAAAACAACTCCGCGACACAAACTCCATGGTTGAGGAGTTCATGTTGTTAGCTAATATTTCTGTGGCAGAGAAAATCAAAGAAGATTTTCCTAATTGTGCAGTACTGAGACGTCATCCTTCCCCGCCTCCTTCTAACTTTGACCCTCTGATCAAAGCTGCTCAATCCAAGGTATGAAAGTGGTTTTCACCCCACCTCCCCCCTTCGCCTAAATCTTGCCTTTGTGATTGAAAGTGCTTGACACGTTGACATTATATAACACTGGCAAATTAAGGCAATGTATTTAATAAATTGTTATCATACCTAACCTAAATAATGAATATTATTTTGGACTAAATTCTTACCCAGAAGTTAAATTGACTTGTATCAGAGAATCATTATCTTGTTCAGTGCCACATTTGAAAACTTTTAAACTTTATATCTTAATGATACAGTTATGCAGCTAATTATTCGTAAAGATACATATTACGTAAATCTACTTTTCCTCCAGGGCTTCCAAATGGACATCAACTCAGGGAAGGCCCTCCAAGTTTCTCTGAATGAAGCTGTCATCCCTGACAACCCTTATTTCAACACTATGCTGCGTATCCTCACTACAAGGTGTATGATGCAGGCCCTGTACTTCTGCAGTGGCATGGTGCCCGAGTCTGACTTTGGGCATTATGGTCTCGCTGCTCCAATCTATACACATTTTACATCACCTATTAGAAGGTATCTCTTGTTCAGAATTAAATTCAAATATTTTTATGTATAGGTTTGATATGCTTAATTATAGCAAGTTTCTATTTGCATTCCTATTTATTGAGATACCCGGTGTATGAATATTAATATGAATCAAGGCTAACATGATTCTCAAAATCCTCCATTTCTACTTAAACGTTAAATTATGATAATTTCTTTCTTTCAGATATTCTGATATCTTGGCACATAGACTCTTGGCTGTGGCTATAGGACAGGATGCTTCATATGCGGATCTCCTGAACAAAAAGAAAACACACTCCTGTTGCGACAATCTCAATTATAGACATAGAATGGCTCAATATGCTGGTAGGGCCTCAGTGGCCTTACATACACAGGTAATGCATATAATCTCAATTATAGACACAGAATGGCTCAATATGCTGGTAGGGCCTCAGTGGCCTTACATACACAGGTAATGCATACAGATAAAACTATATCAGTGAATATACTGAGTACATGTACATATAGTTTATTCACTTTTGCTCCATTAGAAATCTTGTTTTAGTCGTGTGACTAAAACTTGCCTAAAACTAATACTTGCCTATTTATGCATTGTATATACACTGTGTGTTTACCCTTTTGTTATTATGTGATTCTAGTTGTTCTTCAAGAAAAGGACGGTTGATGAAGAAGCATATGTGCTGTTCGTAAGAAAGAACGCTGTTCAGGTTCTCATACCCAAATATGGACTTGAAGGGACATTGTACGTCAGTAAATCAGGGGAGAAGAGCGAGTTTGAATTCAATGAGGAGGTACTGTTTATTTGTTTGATATTTAATATAAGAAATAAGTTAGTGAAAAAAGAGAAAGAACCAATTGCTATTCAGAGCATATATAAGAACAAATTCTCAAATATAGTGCATACCTGTGACAATCAATTGAAATGTATTTACACATGATATGCGTTGTAATAGGTTTCAACCATTATTGACATACATAGTATTTAAACAATATGTTTGATATAATATTGAATTTGTTGCATTACTTTAAACCTGAACTTGAATGAAACATAAACAAAAGGTAAAGATAGGGGTTGATTATTATTATATGAGGCTAGAAGCAGCGTCAGACTAAAACAAATTCACCCAATTTTGTCATTGTGATTGTTTTATTCCAGAATTTCACACAGACGGCTCATGGTGTTACCCTTCATACATTTGACCCTCTCATAGTTCAGCTCAGTATTGATGCTTCCAATGTGCAACACCAAAAGCTAAGCATCAAACTTGTGAAGCCAGTTGTGAGTACATATTATATACTTATGAAATAAATCATTTTTATTGCACCCTTGGGTGCTATATTGTGATCAGTTTGCTGTTGGGGCAATCTGCTGGGTGGGTGGGTGGGAGGACATCCTGATAAATCTTTGAGGGATTTATCTGAAATTTTCAGGAATGTTTCTACCTACAAAGGTTTAGAACCTATTAGATTTGGGGCGTTCTGGGTAAATGGTAAGGTGGCCATTTTTGGATTTTCAATCCTGAAAACTGTCTATTCTATAAAGTAGACAAGTTGAGAGCTCATAAGTCCAACAGTTCTCACTTTATTTGAGGATAAGATTGCCCCAACCATTTGATACTCTTTATCTGCTCTAAATCCACTAAGTGAATGGCAGAGGGGGATATGTGTTTTTAATAATATGATTTCTTTGTTTTGATGTTTTAAATCAGTTTGTTATATAATATAGAGTAGACATTATGTGCTTTGATATATGTTTAAAGGGTGACGCATATCGTTTAGCAAATCGAAGGCTCGTTTCTGGTGTTGCTCACCGTTTAGTATAAAAGGCCAGATCCCGGAATAATACTCAAGGGTTCACAGGTTCAATGTTGTTGTGTCAACACCTCTAACTGTTATATAGCATAAGTATATTATGAATCGTCACACATTTATAAAAGGGTGATTTTTTTTCAATTCCAAATTTATGGGTGAAGTTTCAGGATCTTCTATTTGTGTATAATAAGGAAAAATTGGCATCTAAATTTCCCCATAACGTAATAACACATAGCTTGGCATATGAAATATCCTACAAATGAAACAAAGCAGTTCTAATACAAGGATTTATATTGGCTGTTGTACATGTACTGTTTGAACGCAATCATTCCATGGATAACGTTTTCAAAATCATTATAAACGGATTACTTTATCTCAAAGACAATTTCAATAAACTGGATTTTACAGAACTCCCCTTATTTCTTAAAAATGGACTGATCCAGTTGATGCGCCTGGAGCCGCCATATTGTTTTTATACGGGATGCTTATTGGAACCCTTTAATATTGTTTTAATGGGATTTAATCATCCATAATGTACCTGTACTTTATGATAATGTTAAATTAGCTCAAGATTTTGACTTCTTACTCATTCACACGTTGTAGATTCCTGGCTTTAGTGTTTACCCTGCTCTCATAGATATGGTACAACTCCAGTTTTTGTAACCAACCTGCTTATATATTGTAGATTCCTGGCTTGAGTGTTGACCCTGCTCCCACAGATGTGGTACAACTCCAGTTTTTGTAACCAACCTGTTTATATGTTGTAGATTCCTGGCTTTAGTGTTGACCCTGCTCCCACAGATGTGGTACAACTCCAGTTTTTGTAACCAACCTGTTTATATGTTGTAGATTCCTGGCTTTAGTGTTGACCCTGCTCCCACAGAGATGCAAGTAGAAGATGGACCAAAACAAAAGAAACTGAAGAAAATTTGAGTGCTAGGCATACTTCAAACGTACTATTTCCTCAAAAAACAAACTGCATCCCCTGGACCGTACAATGTGTAATATCCAATTAGACTGTCATTACAATGCAGACTGCATCCACTGGACCATACAATGTCTAATGTCCAATTAAACTGTCATTACAAATTAAGACAAATTGGAAAAATGGACATTACAATTTTCATGTCACATATTGCTCTGAGATGAATATTTCAGTTCTCTAAATAATAAAAGATCTAATTTTATTAGAAAACTACAGCCTTATAGTTAGGGGTGGGACGGATAACCGAAATACCGAAAAACCGCGGTTCATAGCCTTCGGATCGGTTTTCGGATCACGGCCCTACTTTCGGATCAGCTTTTCGGATCGTTTTCGGATTAATATTTCATTGGTCAAGTATCAATAAAACAGTTAAAAACACTGTTTTACAGCAACATTTTTGATATTCCTAGTCCCTACCTTGTCTGTCTTGTCTGTTGCTAGCTCACTCGTTTACTAGATTCGTTTCGTATCCGCGTATTTGATCCCTCGGTAATCAATCATGTGGTCCCTGGTACTATATTCTTTAGTCGTGTATTCTAAATAATATGTATTGTTCATGAAATACTATAACATAGATTCCATCTATAAAATATTGAGACAAAGCAGCTAATCATGTCAATCAATACAAATCCTTAAAATGAATGAACCGAATCGAAAAAACCGAACCGACGGCTGATGATCCGAAAAACCGAACCGAACCGAAACGAACCGTCCCATCCCTACTTATAGTTGGTGTTTACATGACCTGAATGGGGCATCAATTAAACATCAATGGGTCAACTCAATTTTCATTCTAAGGCCCCTAAATAATTTTAATCCGTAGTGATTCTTAACTTGAGCCATTAACAGAGTTAAATATCAAAGCTTGAAAACGTCTATCCCCTAGTAAGCAATTTAATTAATATGACAATTTCTCAATTCAAAAAGAACTTGCGCTTTTAAAAGGCAATTCATACACTTTCTAAATACATGATTTTTCTTTGATAAGTATTATATTACTTTCCATGAACTTGTAATGCCTGCCCATGTTTGTTTTTGGCTCTGCATTAAGCAAACAACACTTGTGAATCCTTCATTTAAACATATCAATTCCTATCAATTCCCTATTAATCCCTACTTAAACATGATAGATGCTCTCACAATCCTCCACGTCATACATTGCTCGAGAATTTTCTTATTTTGAAGATTAACTGATTTAAGTTAGGAACAGGTGTATGTTCAAAAAGCTATTTTGTCAATCCATCTGGTGTCAGTGGTTACACAAAACACTGAATAGTTAAAAATCCTAACTCTTATAGATAATATTCTCATATCTAAAAAAGTGGGTTCAATTATTTTTAGAAGTACAGGGTGTCCCGAAAGTATGGGGCCCCCCCTAGGCAGACATATACCAGTGTCATCATAGTAAGTGTCATATATCATTTTAAAGCTTATCCAAAGTTACATTGATTCACCAAGTATCATGGTTCAACTCTCAAATGTGAAAACGTTATAGGCATTTCAAAATTTAGTGTTTGGTCAAAATAAAGTTCAATTTTACGCAAAATCACTAGTCACTAGTATGTACATGTAATTTACTTTTCTAGTATCTATTTGTCATACACTTTTAAAACAGTGGCACATTGGAAAAATTCCAGTGGAGCAGTACATATAACAAAAAATTACATAAAATAGACTACATACAAGGGGCGATCCATATATTCTGATAAAAATGCTCTCATTTTGTGATTTTTTCACATATCCCTCTCATTTTTCCAGAACTTGAAGATTTTGTAATTACACATACAATGCTAAAATATTATAGCTATATCTTAAATTATTTTTGAGATAAGGTTGCCATGGTAACCTGTATTTAGGGTAGGCAGGTCAGTTAAATTATAACATATAAAATAGATAAATTTGTTAATTTAATCATTTCTCGGTACCTATTTCAAGCAGATCAAACGCATATCCAGGTCATTGCAAACTATTCGTTGAACTGCTCCATACCGTTGTTGCCCTTGTTTGCTATTTCCACAGTGGAATTGTTCTTATTTCATAAATTGCATTTCAAATTATCGTAGTGTTATTCTCTGTCTGTAAGCTCTTCTTGCAAGCAGATTGGGAATGATATTCAACAGTGACTAGCCTTCCTCTTTACAATACTACTAGAGATCCTTAGAGCAGATATAACACCTTGTCCGTACACTATACATGTACAAGTCCATGTATGTGTATGCAGTGTCCTCTTACTTATTCTTGATACCACATAAAATCTAATGGTACTCCTAATGTATCTGTTAATGTCACACTCTGCAACAGCCGCACTAACCTCATCTGATCTGTCACTTTGATATTTGGTGTGTCTCATGACATGTGATTTCAATTTGCCCATCCTGTCATACACTGCTATTGTGAGTTGTTTTGATGTTATAGTGATCACAAATAAACATTTGTCTAGCAACAAACAACGAGAAACAATACCAAACGTTTTTTTAGAAAAAATAAATGATTTCCGCATGCTTTAAAATAATTAAAATAACAAGCTATTGTGATATTTTATACGTTATAATTTAATTGACCTGCCTACCCTTAATACAGGTTACCATGGTTACCCCATCTCTTAATTAATTTAAGATGTAGCTATAATATTTGAGCATTGTATGTGTAATTACATAATCTACATTTTCTGAAAATATGAGGGGGATATGTGAAAAAATAGCAAAATGAGAGCATTTTTATCAGAATATATGGATCGCCCCTTGTATATACAAGTGAAATGAGTTTAAAATATCAATAGTCAGTAAAATTGTTTGATATGCTTGTTAAATAAGAAACCTTGTTACTATTTGCCCCAAATACTAAAAACAACATATCCTAGACATCATTTTAATTTCTCATCTAAAAGGAAGCATTAAAAACATAAATATATCTGGTGAACACAAGGTTTAATTGTATTGTAAAATTTATTTCATGCATAATAATTGTGAGTTCAGTAAAACCTGCATAAATGGAACACTTTGGTGTCCTCAAAAAGTGTTCCACATAAGATGTGTTCCACTTTAAGAGGGGTTCATTTTGCATAAGTTATTTCTGGTCTTTGGACTCTTGAGACTTGTAAAGTGTTCCACTTACAGAGGTGTTCCACTTCTAGAGGTGTTCCACGTTACAGATTTCACTGTTCATTTAAAAAATCTTTGTATTAAATCATCAAGTGGATGAAGAGCACAGAGTTTGCAAGAACCATCATCACATTTTATTCCCATCCTCTTTCTTTGCCTTGCCTAATTTGATTTACCTCACCTTTTTTGGATCCTGAATAAAGAATAAAATACCAAAGATAAGATACTCTAGTATTCCTCCCATTATGTAATGGAGAAAATGGGGTTTCAATAAAAAAGCTTTGCATGCAATGTGGTATCACACATTATTCTTGACTTAAATGTTTAAATCTAGAAAATATTTTGAACTTTTTTAAAAGCATTCACCTGGTCATTGTGATCATGTGACTTATAAGCATACATGTAGGCTCTTTTTAGATACTGTACGCCCGGTATTATTCGCGTGCGAATAACTTTCGCGCTTTTCGCGAGGGTGTTAAAATCGCGAAAAATTATCGTCGCGAAATTGCAAATTAAATCCCCGGGAATTTGTTTTTACCCGGGGCTCTGATGCATTTCGTTTTATCTACTAGTTTGGATCGAGTTATAGTACTTCAATAGTACTGTGCAACTCCATGACTTTACTATGCGCATGCGCGGCAATGAAAGCGCACGTGCGCACGATTGTTCACGTGATCGTAGCCTGCAATTTGATTGGACATCATATACTGGGGAATCCCCGAATACGATAAAATACAGTATTCGCAAAATTTAATAGCCGCGAAACCGTGTTTTCGCAAAATTCGCGAAATTAAAGCTCGCGAATAATACCGGGCGTACAGTAGTGTTATTGTGGTCAAATGACGCATTTATCATCATCACATAAAACTGTTAAGTTAATGCTTTAATCTCTCAGATCAAAAATAACTCCTAGGTAAATTAGATACACCCAAAGTAAAGGAAATTACGCTGGTAAATGATTACATTGAGATTTCAGGTCTTAAAGGTTCACTTGAGATAAAATTTCATCAAATAAATATGACATACCATTTCTCAGTTGCCACTAATTAGACGTAGCAAACCAAAGATTCAAAGCAGGTAAGGTTGGTTTCACTTAATTTGTATATTTGATTTTATTTCAAATAACACAATTAGCACAAGTTTGTAGCTTATTACTTTAATACTTTTCAAATGATTAATAACATATTCTGTTTTAATTATCTTAGTGTCATGATTTTATTGATACTGTAATAATTACAACTTCCAATTTTCTAAAAGTTTCAAATGTATAAAATCTAAAATACTGGTTGTTTTCATGAAAATAAAACAAATATGTGTATCTGGACATTTATTCAACTTTATAATTCATTTAACTCATTTCTTGATCTGATTGTTTAGATTCCTCAAGATCTTGTGTGAAGAGAGTGAACTGATCACCATGAGATATCTTGTTGTTCTTTTTGTGGTGTTCGTTGCTACAGCAACTCTTGTTCATGGTGGGCGGCCAGTTTGTGACCTGAAGTGTGAACAATGTAATAGTAAGTACTTTTTCACAGGTATAAAATGCTTTACAAATTCTAGTAAGTTTTAGTCGATATAGACAGATATAAAAAAAGTTAGAATCTATTTTTGGTAAATTTTTAGAGAGGCTTTTATCGTCTCTTGCTGGCCTGGCTATATCCATGGTCATTTCAAGATATGACAAAATGTTATTGCAAAAAAGATACATGACGATATATACAGGGTGTGCAAAATCTAGAAAGATTGGTTAAAAATTGTGAAAATGGGAGACCTAGTGTGATTACTTAGGGAACACCCTGTAACATGTGACAGACTGATGGACATGTTTTGCATTTTTATGTTTAGAAAAATTTGGAGATGCAGAGGTATGCAATTTCCTCAGAGATGTGGCAGAAAGTAAGTACTTTTGTATTCTGAATAAATGCATGTACACTTTTCCACCAGGCTATATATATTTTGAATATTCAGGGTTTACATCAAAGTAAATACTGGTAGGCTTACTCCATTCAGTGTACAAATATTTAAAAACAGGTTCTATATTCTGACATTCTCAACATATTTGAAAACATCAACCATTCTTAGAGTAACACACTCAAATAGGGCCTTACATGGACAGTGCTTAGCA